CCACAAAGCTCGCCTCGCCAGGAGACTATGCAGTGGCAGAGCATTATCGGTTTGGGCCTGACAGTCCGAGACGAATCTCCTTGGGGTACTTTCAGAAAGTACTACGATTGTGACCTAGCTGGCCCCGTCGCGGTATGCGTTCGGTCCTCTAGTGACCGCGGTGTCTGGGCGGTGCGCCAGTATCCGATTGAGGACGCTGACAAGATACTGCGGATCCTCCGCTCCATGCGCCATGAGAACCTGGCCTCCATTCGGGAGTGTTTCCGCACTCCCGAGCTTCTGTACACACTGGGGGGATTTCGACCCTCTCGTTCTGGATCATATCGTCGCTTGTAAAGCCTTCCCAGACGAGCAGGAGCTGGCAGCCATAATGTCTCAGGTTTGTTCCTCATTTCCTCTCACCTATCTGCCAGATGGCCAAATGGCTGATTATGTACAGCTCGTTGACGGGCTGTTATATCTCGTGGCGAACAACTTCCATCACACATCTCTGGACTATTCTAGCGTCATTGTGAATCTCAATGGGCAGGTCAAAATCGGTTAATTTAATCCATTACTACCTTCCAAGTCAATCTCACCTAACAAGGCACGGTAGCACGGATCGATTGCTGTGTGTTCCGGCAACAGGACACGATCGACATCAGAGACCTGGCACCAGTCTCGAGAATCCTGATGGAATTGATGCAAAAATATGTCAAAGAAGATGGGGCAGTAGGAATTGATAATCTCGACCGCTGGAGAACCTGCCCGGCTGCGATCGAATTTCTCTGCGCGACGACCTCGGCAGGCTCTTTTGAGGAACTGAAAGAGGTTTGTTTCCCTCAGTTTTTTTCCAAAACAGTTCTTTCAAACGGTACTAATAATATCTAGCAACGACTGTTGACGGAAATTCCATGCTGCCCAGGGAATCTCATCGGACTTGCGTGGTTCGCGTTGATCTCTGCTCGCACATTCTACTCGTACACGCCAGGGCCCATGAAGAACGATTAAAGCAGAAGTCAAATTTCCATACTGTCACCCTCTGCGTTGTCGGCCACCGCAGCAACAACTCGACTGATAAAAAAAATCCATGTACGGTACGGTAACTGACGATCTTCATGTTCCCATGGTCCAAGCTTTTGTTCTGTCTGCTATTAAATAATACCCGTTTTGATTTTGATAGAAAAGTTTTGAATTAATTGCATCATCGATCAAGGTCTAGCCGCTGGTTTTCAGTGTAATGCATGGCCCTATTAAATTCATGATTGACCAAGTGGCTCATTTAGCTTGGCTGATCAGGGAGATTCAGCGACCAGATAGGCAAAGTTTCCATCGTAAATTGTATTTCGATCACCCAATATCACATTTTTACTAGTTTTTTAAGTGCATAGAAAAAGACTCCAACTAGCATTATATGCTCGGGTCTACTCATTGCATTTGCTGCATGCGATCTCCCTATCATCTAATTACTCCGGCTGATATTCCAGCTCCGAAAGCCTCACGCCACGATGCAAAAAGCCCTTGACGGTCTTTCGGATCTGGTCTCTGAGACTACCTGCTGCTGAAACTAGAAAGAAATTAGTATACGATAGAATAGAGCCAGGCTACAGTAGGGTCACTTACCCATCACCAAGATCCGGCCTTGCTCATCGTGGATGTTCGGTAGCCTCTCAATCTGGTCTCCCGATGCCTCGAGCGAGACTACGTTGTCATAATCGGGTGCGCCTTGGTAAAAGCAGGCTCTTTCATGTTTTCCTATTGGCGTCTTATCATGAGCAAGCCCTTTTTCCACGTAGATTGAAATGCTGACAATCTGTAGACATATTACCATCAGTACCAAATATAGTTTCCATTTTGAAGCCGGTGACATACATAGCCTTTATCTATAATATCGTCCTCCAGGAGGGGGTTGAGCAGGTCCTCGGCTGCGCCGACCATTTCTAATTTGTTAGTGCTGGTGCTGGCTGACTGGAAACGGAAGGGTCTTCTCACCAATTGATTCTATCTGCCACACCAAATGGAGCCGACGGACATGAAGTGTGCAGGTATTATATCCATGTATCATCTTCTTCAGATACGGAATTGTTGCGGCGATCCCAAAACCACTCGCAATCAGTAGCACGGTTTCATACCCGTCAACAATCTCACTGGTACCATGTGGTCCTGTGAACATGGCCAGGAATGGTACCGGATAGCCAGGAGCGCCAGCGGCAAGACTCAGTAGGTCTGATGTCATGCCACTGCGTGGCTGCACAAATAATTCAATCATGTCATGCCTTCCGCGCGACCACGATGTGACTATGAAAGGGTGCGTTTGAAGCCACGACCAAGATCCAACTGACGGCATCCACAGGTTGATATACTGGCCCGCATCGATCTTGATAGATCGGGACAGAACCAGACGAATCTGGGTCGCTTTTCTGAGCTTAGGATGTGTAAGAGATCCTTCTGGAGTGAAGGATACAAATGCCCGAGGAGCACCGTGGCCCGAAAATAGCCCGTTCGTGTAACATAAGTTGACAATCTCCAGGAATGTAGTCAGGGCCAGGGACGCCAGCGGCACGTAAAGGTACAATTTTGGCAAACGACTCTGATCTGGGAGATGTCGCCACGTACCATATACAAAGAAAGCAGTCAAGATTTGGTGGCTTCGGAGGAAGATTTCATAACACCGTCGACGGAGCTGGGAGAGAGAGAGGAGGGCAAGAGTGGCTAAAGAAGATGATCCCTATCGGTGTTAGCCCTGTTTTTATGACGGCGAGAAAGAAACGTACAATCAAGGTAAACAAGTTACGTGTTTCCCCAAGTGGAAAATTAAATCCCCGACTCTGGCATTCTGCAACCACGTGAAAAGACAGCAGAGCAACGGACATCCAACCTGATGCCTGATGGATCTTGCAGCAAGTGCGCCAGGTGATACCCAGAAGGCCAGCCAGGTAACCGAGGTGAGTGGCTGAGAGGGGGAAAGTAAGGTTGATGAGAGCCAGCTCTCCGGCTCGACGGCCAGCTTGGGCGATGGAGTTTGTATGGAAGAAAACCACTGTGATAATGAACACAATGTAGGCAAAATAGATGAGAACATGCAGCCGGGACCAGGGGCCCCAAATTCGATGCCTGTGGATGAGAGCAGGAAGTGTGAGGTGCCGAGAGATCAAAACAGAACAGGCCTCGATCCAGCTAATCATAGTGGTTCGGGTCTGGATCAGGAAGAGAGCTAAAAAGCAGCCTCCAGCAACGATTGCATAAATCGATGACACATTCATCCTGAGCGGATCTTCAATTACGATGGACCTTGGTGGACTGCATATGAGGGGAGAGCGAAACCTCTTTTAAATGAAAACCATTAGCCACGGCATCGTCATGTCCCTATTGGCGATACCTTGCAGCGAAGGCGGGTACCATCAGGAAAACTAACCAGAATATTTCAGAGAGCCTCGACTAAGTGGTTTAATGTCATAATTTCCCAGCTACTGTAGAGGTCAAAATTAATTAGTTGCCCTTGAGAGTGCTGGAAGAGAGTGTGTCAGAAAATGAAGGCTATTCAAGACTCACCAATACATCTTTTCTCGCTCTGAATCAACGAATCAGGATTTCCAAGAGCCGATAATGTAATGGAAAGGGCTATAAAAATGAGGTTGTTCTTTCCTTCTATTCGATGTATTGTGAGCACAGGCTTCTTGGCTATTCCAGCGATTCTGAGCGCGCGACTTTATCTCACATCAGGACAGGTACATACATAGTTAGCACCGAAAAGGTGCTGCATGCAAGCATTCGCTTAAAGATGGTGGCCCATAAAAAGCAGTCTGAATAGAGCGGTGAATTGAAAGGGCGAGGGCAGTAAATCAACGGAAGTAAAAAAAGATTCCGCATTATGTGTGCTCAAGAGGAGATTGGGGTTCGGCTTGGCATTCTTGAACGTGCGAGTTGAGTGGCGAAATCCACATCCCTTGCTTCACAATTATATTTTATGCGTCTTACTGGCTAGATTGACATCTGAAAATGCTCAGGCGTGACTCTAGACTGAACAAGTGCAGTCTGCCTCTACATTTTTGGTCTCGGCATATACAAAATTGCGCATCTCACCCCGTCTAACTTCGTAGGAAGGCCTCTCGTAGCTCAGTATTATGGGGGACAATATTATGATAGCACACGAACAGAACGATATATTTCGCCCGCTCCTTTACGCCACTCACCTTAAAAGCACGTCTTTTTGATCCTTCATAGCTATAGGAACGGACTCGAGGCTCGAGGAAGCGCGACTTGAATCCTGGGAGTAGGATTGGAAGCATGCCGAATCACGGTATTCTGTGACTCCTCGGCCAGGGTATAAGTATCCAACGTGCAGTCGAACCTGTGACCATCATAACCCATCGGACTCCCGACTGGCGTACACCCGCAAAGGCAGCCTGCGAAATGACCCCCAACAGATACGTGTCATCCACGGCCCTCACCTCTGATCTCCGTTCCATGCGCTACAGTGAGTCTGCTGTGCACAATCAAAATATTCCTACTAATTCCCAATAGCTTTCCTTGAAAATCCAAGATGACACCAAGCAAGAACACGTTTCTATCTTGTATTTTGCCAAATCGAGGAGCAGGTATCGCTATTTGAAAATCACCAACAGAATCTCATTTCTGAACTCGAACGTCTGCGCAATTATTCATGGACCTCGTACCATGAGTATAATAAGGCAATGGGAGAGCTGGAGCAGGCCAAAATGCATCAGTGATCTAGACACGGATGACAAGGAACTATTCATTGCTCCGTAAATAACACTCTATTTGATGGCCATGAGGAACTGGCAACACGAATCCCTATTCTTTTCTCAAATCTCATCTTCTTTCATAATCGATACTAGTTTCTTAGACTACAAGCTCTGGCAGACTTGGGCCTCGTACAAGACTGTGTCCGACTATTTTTATTGTATTGCTGGGACCTTGAAGCTGGAACTATCTATGCTGGCTTCAATCGAGACAAATTTTGGCTTCACTAGGCCAAAAGAGACCCCTATAGCCTCATTCTAATCCTCAGAGGAGTCGCAATTTATTAAGTATCCATGCGCGTTTCGCACCTTCGTAGTGGCCCCGTTCTCATTGAGGTATGATCTGGTAGCTTCGAGATCCTTGTATTGAGGACTACCAGCACTAATCAACCATGTAAGCGGCGAGCAGTACATATCATCCAGGGAATTTACCTTGGCACCGTTCTTCAGCAGAATTCTGGTGGCACCGAGAGAGCCATTCTCTGCGGCCCAAGAGAGAGGTGTTCGTTTATTATGATTAAGGTCATCGACAGGAGCATCGATATCCAGCAGACTTTGAAGAAGCGCAGTGCAATCTCCCATCGCGGCATAATGAATGAGCGACTTCCTATACGGGCCTCTGGGGTTGCATATGCCCCTGAGTTGGATCTCGTTATGTGTTTTATCGAGGTAATTCATAATGTCTTTGTTCAATCGGTTCTCCCGCATATTCTTCAGACGCTCAAACTCCTTATCAATGACGCTCATGGTAGTGTGCGAAGCCATGTGAACTTGATTATATTGTATGGTGTCAACACTGACGTCAATAATGACATTCCAGACGACAACCAAGCTGGGATCGCGAAATTATAGCTTTCTATTTATAGCCTGTAAAAATTGAATATTGGCATTCACCTCCAACTTTATGCCATTTTATACCTATCAGATTTCTGCCCTCTTGAAATAATGTCTGATTCAGGAATGGTTAAACGCACTCTTCAGTTATACGACCTGTATCCGAAGACTTCTTTGCCGCAGAATCATGTTGCCGACTAGTATAGCAATCCTGGACGATGCTGTCAAAAGCTAAAATGTTTCGAAGGTCGAACTAATAATGGAAAGGTGACACTCACCAACGTGGAAACAATATTGCCTCACAAAAAATGAGTCTCGCATGATTGACTCCCGGGTGGATAATTAGGTTAGAAGCCGATGCCATAGAGGACAGCGAATATCAATGGCGAAACTCATTAGCAGGCCACATTAGAAGAATTCCAGGAGCCGCACAATCATCAGCCAAGATATAGGTCCAGCATGACCGCGAGCTCGCCGGTGTTAACGGAAATCTCATTCCCATGTGTCCCACCTTAAGACACGCCAGGTCAATGCAACGGCACTCAGTGCCGGCGCTTACGATACTGTTATTTCTCCAGAAGCAGAAGTCCTCTTACGTATTGACTCTATGAAATAAATGAGCCACGAAGATAAGGGATCGTATCGCTGAGAGGGTAGGTTCAAACTCTCAACGCTAACGTTACGACCTAGATTCGCGATCTAGCCTATGGCTTCCCCTGACCTACCACTTGATGGGGACTTTCAGCGATTAGAGTTCAAGGTACTCGAGGAGAAACAGCATGTACAGTATAGGCTCTATGCACACATGGAAGATTTCGAAAACAGATTACCCCCGAGAAACAAACCCTTGGTTTGCAAACCTCCCAAGAACGTTGTTCAGACAGAACATCCCGAAATATCTTTCTTGTTGGCTTGAATGACCTAGCCTTTTATCAATACATTTCAAGTTTGCGATTATCAGGCCATCGCATGTCATGCGTGGATATCCCCCCTGAGCTAGCACGTGCAGCAAGTCTCTGCAGAAGCGCAACTATCTCGATGCTCCCTCTTTTCCTAGCTTGGTCCAGGGGAGACACACCATCATTGTCCGCAATCTCGGGCTCCAGATCCTGCAGCTGCGCCAGTTGACAAATTAGTCTTTTGTTGCCAGTGTTTGCTGCATGCCACAGTACCGAGCGGCCTCTCTGGTCTCGCTCATTCACCACCAGAGTCTTCAAATTTGAAAGTAGAAGATCTATAATCTCGTTTCTCTTGAGATCAAGGCCGTCGTAGACAGCTAGAAGAAGTGCGCTATTACCCGCGAAATCTAAATGATTGACGCCAATATGTTTGTGATCCAAGAGGATTTGCATTGCAAAAGGGTCGTCGTATATCACAGCCAGATGAAGTGCGGTGTATCCTCGGTCATCTTGCATGTCGATATTGAGTCGCGGATCTTTCAGAAGGATCCTCACGATCTCGTATTGTTGATATTCGAGGGCTATCAGGATTGGAGGTTGGGATTTCGGGCTCCGAACATTGATATCAATATCATGTCGACGAAGTAACTTTTGGATGTTTGACAGGTTTCCTTGCATGATAGCAAAGGACAGGGCGGCTTGTGCCCATTGGTTGGGGTAAGAGACATCTAGAGACTTGTCGCATGGCAACGGACCAACTAGATCAGAAGCTCCTTGGAGGGCTGATATCATCAGACGGGTCAGCTGCCTTTGGTCGTACTTATACTTGTATGTGTGGTAGTGACTCACGAATGATAGGTGGGAGGTGCGCCATGATTTCGAAAAGGATGAGATTATCTCGCTATTTTGATACCTCTATTTTCGCGATGTGAATAAGAGAGAGCTCGTTGCGCTATTATGCGATGATTGTTTCATCACAAAGACATGCAGGGCAGTATTTATAGCGAGACTTTGTTGCAAGCGGCTTTGATCTCAAGAATATTTGATCTGCATTCACATATTTGTATACGTGAGCTCCCATAGTTGGGCTAATCCGATTACAAGTTTATTTAGAGTTCATCACATAATATTATGGACCTTTGAAGTTCTCAGAAGAGCCTGATTCCGAGGAGCAAGCGGTCTCTACTCCTAGGAACCTGGCTGTCAAGGGCTCACGTACTGTAGATCCGGATTGTGTTTTTCAGGGCATTAACAACCAAGAGTAGAAAGCCACAAGTTGATCTTAGACACAAGACTTAGCGCGAGAAAACAGAAGAAAATTAGCTTCCTCTTGTTCAGAGTAGCATAGATGAGCCGTGTGGAACCGTACCCTGCACGAATCGTGTATACTGCATGCCAGTCCCTGGCATATTTTGACATAGTTCCCAGGAGCTCGATGTAAATTTTGCCTTGCGCAAGCTCAAATCTGATGGCGAGGCAAATATTCTACTGCAGACCCAATAGGTGCGGCTCACGAGCGACTGCAGGACAGAAGGGTTGGTCTTAGGTCTGTTGCTTCTTCCACTCTTCCTTGGTAATCTCATACAACACTTCACCATGCTCAGTACCAGGCAGCGGATCCTCAAAACTAAGATGAAACGTCCTTTCATGTCTCATTCCACATTTCTCCATCACATGCCGAGATCGCTCATTGATAAACATCGTGCTTCCAATAACCCGCTCCACCATTGGGTTATGCAAAAATGCATACTCAAGAAGTAGACGAGTACCCTCGGTTGCAAGACCCATGCCCCAATATTGGCGACGGAGCCGGTAGCCTACTTCAAGCGTAGCTGGCATTTCCTGCTCAGATCCTGCGAGAGAGAACCAGCCGAGAAACTCGCCTCTAGGGCTCTCTGCAATCCATCGGCCGAACTTCGGCCATCTGGCATAGTAATCAATGATATGCTGAACTTCGAGATTGACTTCCTCCATTGAGGGTGGTTTATGGTCTAGATATGTCATAACACCTTCGTCGTTGTTCAGGAGACAGAGAAGCTTAAAATCATTGGGAAACAAACGACGTAGGGAGATGCGTTTTGTGGACATCAGTATCGGGTTTGGTGCAGCGGCCATTGTCAGCAGAATGTCCCTGGTTATGGTATGAACGGTTACTGTTAATCCACTTCATGCGATAGATACGATATATTTTAAAAAGGGCTTACTCGCATAGAATATATATATTGAAGAGCACTCAAAGTCTCACAGTGGGAATTAACGAGATTCCTGGGTCTCACACAAGTGGTTTGGTTCTTCGCCATTGAACTGTCCCCGCAGTAGGTGGTCGGGGTCCAAGAAGGGTTAGTGCGGAGCCAGTAGGCTGGAACAAAGCCTACTAGGGCCTATGGGCCCCAACACAGCAAAAATACGTGGATACGTGGACACTCGTGATTGTACTGTGCTCCGTGCACTGTGCACTCATTGGATGAAATATTAAGTACTTGTTTAAGGTTTACATCGAAGTGGACCAAATGAGACTTTTCCGCTGTAAAAATAGTTATGATCCTTTCCTGAAGAAAAGTAAGTACTAAAGAGATATTCTATTATTTTGCCTATTTTTGTACGCCATCAGGCAGCAGTTTGACTTAGTCGGTTTTATACCGTTCGGTTTTATACCGTCAAAATCCTTATCATATCAGAGGAAGCAGTTTCCGTAGGTGTCCCACCCATCTATCTATTAATGCATCGCCGACAACTTCAAGGTCTCATATCGGAAGTCCCTCTTATGGAATCTTCCTTATTGAAAACTCGATTGCTTTACGGTAGTTATGATGCAATTCTGATTTCAGAACAGCAGGTTTTTGGAAATTGGCTTGCTCACCAGCCTGTGTCACAATCTACACGTGACTATTATTTCGAATTCCCTAGTAACTTAGGCCAATCCTTCTTGAATCTTGATTACGACCAATATGATGACATTGAATTCAAGCTCGGATGATTTAGAACCAGTTGTCCCAGCCCAGACTGTGGCTATTTCACCTTTATTCAAGGCTCTCGAAAAAAAGGCTTCACATTTGTATTCTTGATGGAAGGAGGAAACTGGACGTAAGTCTGTCTTTGGTCCAATGCGCCTGTGGTGGACACCTGGAGTCATCTAGTCGGCATGGCACCCAATCGACTGATTCAGTTGATGCTAGTACTATTACTTCTTGCATTTACTTTGATAATACACTTTCAACACTAACCGGCTTGCCTTGACTTTCTTCCCACCAAAGTGCTTTGCAGCCTCGTGAGGCATCTCTGCAGCCAGGACGTCAAAAGTTTTTGAGATAGAGAGAGAGAGAGAGAGAGAGAGAGAGAGAGAGAGAGAGAGAGAGAGAGAGAGAGAGTGTGTGTGTGTGTGTGTGCGAGTTGGATTATAAACCACATCCCACAAGGTTGGGTACGGATCGTATTTTGGCCTAGTTGGGTAAAACAACTTCGCGAACGATATGCAGGCTACAACTACTTTCTAAATACATCTTGATTGATCCTGAGATTGTTCCAAATTTCCCGAACGATGAACTTTGAGTCTCACCTAGTAAAGCCTATCGTGACCTTTTTACTATTTGTGGTATCAGGCTTCCCTAATAGCGCGGCTATGGTGGAATTACGAATGGGACGGACAGTAAGCGTTCGATTTTAGCTACATTTCTGTTAAGAACTGTGAGAACACGGACAAAGGTGAAGCTAAGAATTTGGAGATTGATTGTGTTGCAGATGTGATTTTGATTCGAATTCGTTTAGTCACATGTTACTTTGGCTTATTTTCGAGCTGGAACGGTGACGGCTTATTGTGAAAACGGTGAAGACCTTTAATTGTGAGTACGGATTTGGTTAGAGTGATAGGATCTTGCGTTAAAGGAATTGATCCTGGCGTTGGATGCGATGGATCGCTGGAGGACAGAAGCATACGTCGTTACTTGATTTTGGGGCGAGGTAGTGGGCGGTATCGGCTGCGGAGGCTGTGGAGAGTAGGTCGGTGGGGCTATTTGTGGTTCTAGGTCGGTTGTGGCGGATAGCGATTGAGTAAAGGAGCCGAGGTTAGTGTTCGAATATTTCTCTCCTGTAGCGGGTACTTCTGGTGTTGATTAAGTTGTTGTCTGTGTGCTGGCGTTTGTGGTCGTCTTCTTGAGTGGTTCGCATTCCAAAAGAGGATAGTGGCTTGGAGTTGACTGCCTCGGTAGAGGGGATGCGTTGGTTAAAATGTCGAGTCTGTTGGCAGGCTCGAGATGTTGTTTCAGCTCGTCATAGATAACTCCCATATACAGTTGTCCACATTTAGTTGCTATGTTTCTCGGGAAAGTACGCGTTGGAAGCTGTCTAGGCGTTTGAAAGATTGACTAGGAAAGCAGCATGCTAGACCACCGAATCTTCGTTACGGTTGGTAGTGAAAGCCATATTGGGCTAGTTGAAGCAGAGTAACGCCATTGAGAAATTGTGATTGGAATGACAGAGCTCTGGCAGTGATAGTGGAATAGGTGGTCGAGATGGAGAATTTCTCCTGGGTGGTGCGTTGTGGGGTAGGTCGTTCGGGTGGAGTGGGAGGAGTCGCGGATTTGGAGACAGAGGACGTTCGGCGGAGGGCTGGGACAGACTTCCTGCCTGACCCGGGGTCCGGAAGCTGAGAATTCACCCTAATCCCTCTCTAGATCGTTCGTCGCAGGGTCGCCCACTCGCCGGCATCCTGTACAGCGCGTGCGCCCTGTAAGTACGGGGCTGCTCCTATCGTGTACAACCGTCCCTTTGCCTGGCCGCTTATTTCCTTCTTTGTAGAACCCGGGTTCTCTATCTCCTTATCAGTAACGTTTTGCTATTATGCCGCCTTCGGGTTAAAGCCGATCAATTTTTCGAAGGACGATGTAGATAAAAAAAGGATTGAGAGATTTAGAATCGAGGCTAACGTCTGTATAGAACATTTCCCGAGATTGAGAATATAATGCGTTCTTGTAATCGGCCTGGTGGTGCAACGCGATTTACACTAAAATAATAATATCCACGTTCGACCCATGCAAATTACTGATTACAAAACCAATCATTGAAGTTATCTGGGACAGACTTATCCTTGACCTTCTCGCACACCTTCTTGACTTTCCTCACAGTATCATCACTCAGCGGCCCACGACGAAGTCCCTGCATTGTCAGTTTCAGCTGACCAATACTGCTGGCCCCAACAACCATATGCCAGTTCAGCAGTCGAAATTTTAGCCTCGGTCGCAATCTTGGCCCAATAATCCAGTGCATCCGGAAAGAGAGGCTTATTGTAGAGTCCATAGTAAACCATCCGAAACATCGAATTGGGGTCCCATCCGCCCTGATAGCCCACCTTTCAGCATATCCTTTTTGGACTTGGCTAAAAGTCCCCCTGCTAGCGGGCTGCAGACATAGAACGCCAGATTGTACATGCTCAAGATCGGGAATAATTCTACCTCCTGCTTCCGGGAGAGAGGATTGTAGTTTCCTTCGTAGACTCTGGGTAGACGAATCTCTTCTGCTTTGCTAGCTGAATGACAGTTTCCACTTTATCTGCGGGAAAGTTCGAGATGCCAAAGGACTTGAATTTCCCGGCCCAGTATAGCTGGTTGATTCCTTCAAGGTTTTCTTCTAAGGGGCTTTGACGGTCAGGGGCGTGGAGGTAGAAGATGTTCACCTGTAATATTGGTATTACATCCGTCAAAAAATCCTTTCCGGATTAACTTTCTTTTCCAATCAACATGTCTTACTTACTTTGTCCGTATGTAGGCGGCTTTCGCAGACTCTCTGCACCCGTAATGACTTTCTCCTCCGTGGAGTTGCCCGGCGTGAGCCCACCAGAATCCTTCATATCAACGACAAAGTGAGCAGCAGCATTGGTCTGGCCCAGGAGCTACTCGCTCGATCCGTAGATCCGGGCCTATCAATTCGCGTGATGCCATCTTGCTTTAGCGCCTGTAGCATCTCTTCGGCTTCAGCAACAGTGTGTTGGTTACCTTGCTCGTTGGAATCCAGCTGCGCCGAGAACAACGGTCAGGTTCGGGGTTGCGGTGGCCATAGTTAATTTTGTGACGGACAAAAGATGTATCGATAAGTTTATGATTTGATACTTGTTACTTTGAAAATATCGGTTTTAAGAGGTAGATACCTCTATTTATGCCTATCACTTCTGCCTACAATGATTGCCTCGAGGAGAATATATGTGTAAGGATTACGAACGTAATTTGACACTGACAGCGCAATCTCCACGGGGAGTAGATCGCTAGTTGGCCACATCCAGAGCAATATAGAGGCTATACGGGTATTTCAGTGTCATGAAGTCAGTCTCCTGGGTTATTGCATGAGTCAAGGGGCGTGCGTACCGTATTGTTGATTGGCAAATTTGAGAGCACTTCCTAGCAACTAAGCTCAAACCTGTATTTAGCGGCGGCGGAAAACCAACAATATCAGGGATGCCCTGTATAGCCATGGAAATACAATAGATTCGCTAGTCCACTAGCGCAGCGGAACCAAAAGGGGAAATACCAAAAGATGAGCTGAAAAGGTGTTGATTCTGGTTCTCCAGAACTGCTAGGTAGACCTGGACATAGAACCGCCAAGAGACCTCTAAAGTATAGACTCTCCTAATAAGGAAATTTTTAGCTTATGAATTGTGTTTAATACACTTTCATACCTATGATCTATTCTATAGGGGTCGCTGGGATTTGGCGTATCCCAATCATTTTGTATGGCTAGGGGTTTTGGGGTTACCGCAAATACCAACCAGAAAACTGTGACGATCTATACGTACATGGGAGGATCGACTCAACGATAGGAACAAACGGGGCCGAACCGGGATGATAACAGCAGGTGATGCTTATCGTGGGACAGCTCAAACACCACCCTCATCGGGGCATGTCCACTGGGCCACGGCGGAGTATGAAGGTCGCTAAATAGCTTCGTCATTTCCCTTCAACGTGATTGCTTCTGGTTTCTTGGGCCTTATGGGGCTTATATTCCTCTTTCTCTCTAGATAGTCGACGGATCACGATTCTTACGTTTCATCGATACAGTAGTAGTGTTCCTTTCAACCATATCAGGCTGAGGGAACCTATTGCACTATTGGGATCCCTTTCTTCTCACGTTCTTCCAACCCCCTAAAACTGGCTGATTCATTTTTGTAATTGTCCTGTCTCCTTTCTCGAGCGACACCACTTTCACTAGTATTGTAAAACTAGCTTTCGGGCCCGAGTGCGAGGCGGGTAGAAAGAAGTCGGATACTTTTTATGTCCCGTTTCCCCCTGATTTTGGTGCGTATGTGCGGTCGTGCTCAGCGCTAACCGCACCGGGCCGGACCGTATAATCACGGCGGATTCATTGTGGTCACCGTAACGGGGATTAACACCGGACACCACGAGAAAGGATAAATCCATTGTTCTAACACCTGGCGAGGACTGTTGCCTAGTGCGAGCTCACTAGGGGCGATAGATAGAGTAGTTTTTGAATTTAGTTCCACCTCACATTCTTTACACTTGATTCCCAGAAAGTAAAACCAAACTATGGGAATCATGAATTCATGGTTGGATATTATATTAAGCGCTTAAATCTAGATCGCTTTCTAAAATAGTCTATATTTTACAATACATCTCCAGGAGTATGCGGGATATATTTTACAGTATTCGTTCTTTCTTCAATCAATCAACTTTCGCATCCAAGATTGGTTCCGCTTCGCCTACAGTACTAGTTAGGCTTACTAGCCATTACTGCCTCAGCTTGCTCCGACATCCTCTTATTTGTAGTACTCAAGGTTATGGCAGCCACGTTACCGGAAATCCAAATCACCATACCCAACATCAGGAAATATAGATCAATCTTTAATCATCATGCCCTAGCTGTAAATTTATCGCTCCATAGTCTCGACATTATCAAACGGCCCCAAAATTTTCCCCAGGCCTTCAGCTGGGGATTTTACGACACCAGCTAACCCCATGGGGCTTAGTGCGGGCGCGGAAGAGCCTGGGCTCCGTGGTAACCCAATGACAAATTCAACACTCATGCAACTCCAACCCTCAAAGACAGACTCTTTCTTCAGGGGAGGTGAACAAGGACGTCAGAATCAACTTTCTGATGTGGATCCTGCATGAGAAACTTGACGTGGTGCCCGTGGATTGTGCTTAGGACTACTTCCTCGGGGGCACATGCAGCCTATGGCCGCGAAAACCCAAAGGAATAATCCAAATCAAATCGAATCAGCCATGTCTGACACTACTCAGTCTATTAAGTTCGGGATATATTCCCAACGCCCTCAGAGACTTTGGCTCTTTGCTAATACGGTTTTTACCAAGCTAGGTGTGTGGTGGTCGGGGATAACGGTGTTGGCAAGACCACCCTCCTAATCCAATACACAGCTAATTATTTTTGTCCCCCGGAACGAGTCCCCATCGTTTTTGACAATTATTCCACCAAAGTTAGGTAAATCCTCCTATTCTAGAGGATATAAATCGAATTTCACTGACTATTTCATTCATTACCACCAGAGTCGGCGATCAGTCCTACGACCTGGGACTGTGGGACACCTACAAACCCGAAGAACATGACCGCCTCCGCCAGCTTTCATACCCTGGAACAGACGTCCTCCTTGTCTGTTTCTCGGGATGGCCATCCTTTGAAAATGTGGAGATCTGGCTGGATGAAATCCAATATTTCTGTCCGGGCGTTCCGTGGTTGCTTATTAGAACTCGGGTTGATTTGAGGAATGAGCAAAGCTCCCGAGCTAATAACGGGCGGGGGAAACAAGTGACAAGAGAGGAGGGTCATAAGTTAGCTAAGAGATTGGGTGCTGTTAAATATATCGAATGCTCTGCTTTGGAGAAAATTGGTGTGGAAGAAGTCTTTGAAGAGGTGCCAATCCCTGTCACTCTCTCCTATTCACCGACTATAGCTGACCATATATCGTTTAGGTTATCATCGCATCGCAGCTACCAAGGCCCACCGGGGAAAGGAAGAGGTCATGCATACTTCTTTCAGGATAGAATTACTAGGTTCCTCACGACATTTACGCTTGTGTACACCTAACTTAATATCACTCTGAAGATTTCCGCCATAGCGGTTTGTACACGAAGGCTATGCTGTTTGTGAAAAGAAGGTCCGCAAAAATGGGGTTTAAAACTCAAAGCTAGGAGAACATACGAAGTACAATATACGCCGTAAATGAATTCCGATCCCCACCTCTCAATATGACCAATGAATTGGTCCAGCGTTTAATTGCCACGAATAGAGCAAAATTGACATCGTCTATCGCTTCTTGAACATTCAATGTAGTGGGTTGAAGCATATTCAAACTGAACTGGCTGGCAAGTTGCTTCTATTTTAAGCGGCTAATCCACACAGCTCATCGTGTAAAGGGAAGGACGAGCCACGATTAGACTTTTCCGCTGGAGACAGCTTACTATAGGAGGGACATCAAAAAAGTACTGGCTTAGCACTTTGATCGGATCTCTGTGTCCTATTGCTGAGGTTGGTCTTTCATTTCCTTTTCAAAGTGATCAGGAATGGAGGTTTGCGATAGCCCATCGGCTACTGTGGGAAAAGAATCCGCAGCATTACAGCAATTCAGACCTGATGATATCCTATTGGTGCACCCCTATGTCAGACTTCCACTGAGTTCCGACAAATGAGGGTCATCGATCATGTGGAGTCAGGGTCAATGGGATCTGTCCAGGGAAGAGAAATTTTTCGGTTCGCCCGAGATGTGGTCTCACGTGAACCTTCTCACGAGCAACTAAGTCATAAGTGGCTAGCTCTCTAAACCAAGCCTGATTGGTTGTTCTGATCGGCACGGCCCGACGGCCTACCGCGTCATTGGCCAGCACAATGTCGAATTCAAAACATTCTTATGAGCCTTACTCCTCGGCTTTGAAAGCTAGAACGGTGACGCTGAAATTATTCGCTATGACTCACGAAGTGACAATGGTACATCACGTATATGTCGCAGAGAAGATGAGCCAGCGAGGTCGACCGACACGTCATGTGAGCAGTACAACAGATAGCTCAGACTTCAGCTATGGAGAACTAATAAAGGGAGCGACGTACCCAGCAAAATGCCACCCAAGAAGAACGGATACGGCGTCTCGAGGCAATGCTAGAGCAGCAGCCCCACTGATCGCGACGACAACCACAACGACGACGAACGAAGGACAGTCAACACCAGCACGATCAGCGGCCGAGACGGAGCTCGAGCCCCAATGAACGGAGACTATCTATCGGCCGAAGCCACGTCTACCGGACCCAAAGCTATTCAGTGGAAGCACAAGCGATTTGCCAACCTGGCTCATTTTGATCGAGGGTTAAGCTTAGCGTGGACAGTGAAGCTATCGGTTACCCCCAGGAAAAATTCATGTATGTGTTCTCTAGATTAGAAAAGCTCGCCTGGAAGAACACCGGAACCTTTGTAAAACGACGCCGAAACACCGGTGAACCACAAGCGTTACTCGACTACCTCGAACATATCTATGGAGACCCGAATATCAAAGCACGCGCGGCAAGACGACTGCACCAGATAGGCCTCTCGATTGTGAATTAAGTTAACAATTTCCGTCTGGGGCCATGGTGTTACTATATTAAGTCGTGTCACTGTATATTTTCGGCTGTTCAGATTAGACGAATGGTTGTCCAGCCCGTGTCGTCATCGGCCATTTCTAGGTGGGCCAACTCGTGGCAGCAGCATTCACCAATAAAGTTAAAAGAGCTCTCCGTGCCGCCAACCTTGCGAATAACGAAAGGCACCTTTGCGCCTTTTATCACGCATATCATGTCGCCAACCTCGGTTGTCTCCGGGCCCCAGGTTACCCCTCCAGCTTTTGTGACAGCCAGTCTTCGGCCCACGGCGACGGATCGGACGGCTCCGAAGAAGCCCTCATTATGATCCGTGATCGTGACTCCTGGGGCAATACCTCCCTCCTCGAAGGCCCGCTTCAACGCGGGTTCAGTCGTAGCACCGCTCTGTTGGGCGGCAAGGAGAGCTAAAAAGGCAAAGTAGCACTGCCAAGTGGCTTTGCTCAGCCCGTATGGTCGATCGTGCCAACCATGAAACCACTGCATGAAGTCACGGATCATATGCCGCCACGACTTGACTCGTGTCGGCGGGTGGAGTAAGCAAACTGTCGGGCATGGCCATGTTGCCTTTCCAAACCCTATCATAGGCTTCTTTATCATCTCCCTTCGGAGGCGGTTGGCGATCCTGTGTGGGCTCAACGCCTTCCCCGTCCGTCATGCTCATCCACTCTTCGTGGAGCGGTTTGAATCCTTGTACTTCTGATCGGAGCGTAGAAACGGCAGAAATGGTGTCAAAGAAGCGACCAGCCAGTTTCAAAGCATTAGGGTCACTCTCCTCCCAAAGTATTTCAGGGTTTGTGCTGCTTGCGCCTCCAAAAACTGGTCGACCGTGGTGTTCCGGGCTAACCAAAGGCACAATACGATTGTCTAATTTAATTGAATAATCAGGGACCCAGGAAGGTAGGTCGGCCACCCTGCCTCCCTGGTAGAATGCGTCGACGGATGAAAGTAAGTCAAGGTTCTGATCTTGGAGCAAACGTTGGATTGTAAAGGCGCGGTAGGCTTCAGCTGTGGACAGGCTATAGTCTGGAATAGCTAATGCTCTGTTTTCGGGGACAGTGTGATCGTGACCCTCTCGTGCGCATGTCGAGTCGCAACCATGGATCTATTTCTTGTAAGAACTATTTTTATGCTCTCGCCTCCTCGGACGTAACGAGACGGGAAAATTCACGTACCCTTGGAGCCATATACTCCAGCCCCATGGCGTGGCGTAGTTCCACACCAGCCGCCATCATAGAGACGGCAAGGAATATTTCGGCGGGCACGTGGCCTTCATCTTGCTGAAGACGTAAGTCGTTTTCAATATTTCGTGGTCCGCTCTCGCCTCTGTCGTCCCCGGTTTCTTCTTGGCTCGTCGAAACCTGCTGTTGACGCTAATCAGTCCCCTTAAAGCGCTGCTGACTGCGATTAAGCTTCCACTCACATCATTCACACCGACCGTCTCGGAAATACTATCTTCAGCAGGAGCTTCATTTTCAGTGTGTTGTGTAGCCTCTACTTTACTAAACGACGAAATCTCACTACTTGGCTCAGGGCTATGCAGCCTCTGGTCAAAATGCACGTCAGAATCGTAGTCGCTGCTTCCGATAGACGACGAGTCACCGCCAGTGCTTAAACAGTTCTGCATCCTTTTAAAGGCCTCAATCCTGTTGCTAAGGTAGGGCGCATCTTCTGGGCCACATTTGCCGTCGACTTGTGAAGTATAAATGTCTTCACAAAGCCATAGACTGGTTTCTAGATCCGTCGAGATACGACGAAACATGACCAATTCGTCCGAAGAGGTGATCCCATCTGCGTTCTTGTCCAAAAAGCGCCGAATCGCTATTTGTTGAAAATCGACTGCTTCCCACAACCTGGAGAACCAGACCGATCTCTCTTTCCGAGAGCTGCCACTGCAGCTTTCGAGTAAACACTCTAACAAGGTAATGACGGTCCTGTAGTAGTGATTGACGTGTTCCACCAAAGCATCTATCCGTGTGTTCGCGGAACATAAGGGTTCCAACCCTGCATGTTGCTCCCATTTTGTTTGAGCCCAGTTGATGGTCAACTTGCGCATAAGAAGAGGCTCGGAGGTACTCAACCTAGCAAGCTCGTCTTCAGTAGTAGCGATGGGGACCTCCCCTAACGATACGGGACAATCAGTATTAGGGAGTGCATAGAAGGCGAATACTTTGTCTAAGGGATCGGTAGACTCATATTCGCGGAGATCGTATGCCAGTTGATACGGATTGACTTTCCCAGTACTGAGTCCAATGCGAGCCTGAATAGCGAGGTTGCAGAATGATAGCAACCGCTTTGCCTCTTCGAAGAACTCGACATGCTCGGATACAAGGCTTCTCATGACTCCACACGCCCAGCCTAGCCTTTCATAGGAGACGCACGGTCCAGTTAGGATGTTGGGAGAGGGAAGCGATCCGCACAGGATTCTTGCATCTTTGGCGACAACTGTTTCTACCACGCACCAGAGGCGACGGAAAATTGGGCGCTTAAGAAAGCGTACGAAGGATTTGATGTCCTCAGACGATAGTACGTTGAACGAAGGTCTGTCATGCTTGGTTTCTTCTACCATTCTCTGAACGGCCGTGATGGCTTTGTCACTGTCTTCATCGGCCTCACCCAGCCAAGCTATAACGTTTGTAGCACGGCGGTAAATGCGGGGGACCATCCTCGCATGAGACGAACGCTCGATGAGATTTTCCTGGTTGATACAAATTGCGTCAACCCAAAGCTTTACCGGCAGTCTTGCATGGCGGATTCGTCGAAGGGCATCCCGGAGGCTGGTTGTGATCAGAAGTTTCCGACCTTCGCAAAAGAGAGGATGCCGAAATTCGTATAACTGCCTCAGTGGGGAATCGATCAATACTTTTTGGCCGGCTGCGACCAAGTTTTCGTACTGGGACTCTATGCCAGAGTAGGAGAGCGCCCTGTATGGGGGCAGCGTAAATGCATCGAGACGATAAGACTGGATATTGCATTGGAGGGCCGACGAGCCCTTTCCGGGAAGGAGCTCAAGCAGGCGGAAATGGTCGGCAGTAGTTAGATCGGTATAGGTGTATGTTAGGGTAGGGCCAGTGGTGTCAAATGTCAAGGGTTCGTCGTCGCTAACGACTATGGCGGTGGTGCGCTGGGTCCCGTGGAGGGAGGGCTTTAACTGCACAGCGATATTCATGCTTGGCTGAACAAGATGAGGTTAACCCGAATTTGTGGGAATGAAGCAGGACACGCGGATACCCGAAGGCAGGGGGAATTAATACGGACACCCCAACTGTTTAGTGGCAGCCCCCCAAATGAGATTATGTAATAGGGAATTGATAACTAACTAGTTAACTAGTGTAATGGGGATTTCCGCTCTCAACATCGGTATCCTGTAGTCATGTGACTAAGGCCTTAGCAACAAGGCTACTATTTCGTTTCGTGAGATTAAGTAGCGTTCGTTCGATAGTATCAATAACAACAATGCATGTTCCCCCTTATGAATTATTCTTTCTGCTGAGGCTACTGAGGCTGAGGTTGCGGTATCGGTATATCGCATGTCCATGAAGACTCGAATGTCTTATTAGTCGCATCTCGATAGCGTCACGCTTTGTCTACTACTCTCCTGCACTCTGCGAGTGTGGTGGTTTTGCCCTCTTGCAATCGACCCGTCTGCCAACGCAGACTGCCAGCGAGCATTCCCATATTACATTAGTTAACTAACTAACTAGTGTAGGTGGGATATCCGTTCTCAACATCGGAATCAGGTGATCGGAGCCTTAGTAACAAGGTGTCCACTTTGTAACTACTGGGAGATAGTTATGTAACCTTCGTGATAGCGCTGTTACAGTAACCTAGAATACACACACTCGTTTCGGTTCACGAAATTCGTCTTTGTCGCTGCGGTAGCACATCGTTTGAGGGAGGCTCGAATCCCCGAGATGCAGGGAACAGTCGAGGAAATCGCCGAGGGAAAAGCTATGCGCGCAGCTGAGATGGTGATTAATCCCTATTCCACCTTATTTTTCTTGTTCACATATTGTGTGATGACTTGCTTATGACGGGATATATCAATGGAACCGTCCTGATCGAGGACAGTGCGCTCGGATTCAGTGCTCTGAACGGTCACCCTGGACCCTACATGTATGGCTCCTAGTGTAAATGGGATTAACGGAAAAAGATCGCGGCATGAGTGCTTGCTTGGTACTTTTCGAGATTTCAGATCGTAGCGAGGTAGTTTACCTGAGCATGTTTACAGTGACACAGACAAGTTCCGCATGTGTCCATCGTTTTCTACTTACTCCCCTTCCATTTGCGATGGGCTCGACCATGCTGATCGCCGGGAAATATACTTTTGGGAACCAGTTTTATTTGCAGGGCCTCAGGAATCGATATTTTATGCAAATCAACACCTTGAAAATAGCATGTTAGACAGAAATTGATGCTAGAGGAAGCAGGAAAACAAACATCCCAACACCATGATATCAAAAGTAGGCTGGTCGATGAGTCTGCATACAAATTTATCCGTACGATGTTGAGTGTCAAATATTCATCACCGAAATGCGCAATTATCATCGTCGAGAACAAGTTAAATGATGCCGCAGATTTTGTTTTGACTGGTAGAAGCTCATGTTTATGAAAGTTGACACGATCCGTTGTTGATGTTTTGATTTGGTAGCTGCGTCACGAACGTTGAAGCGACGTTGAAATCCTGGAATAAGACTTCAGAATAGTTTTTCATCGAGATGAAAACTGCGTTTCCAATCGAAATAGCATATAATCAATCGTGAAACGGTTCAACAGGCCACGATATGAGGGCCAACTCAGTCGGACCCTCGATCACAGCTGCGCGAGCGACAACGCGCCCGCGGCACTATAAAAATATGTCCCACAGGCCTCAGCACAACGGTATCTTTCAAAACACGCCCCAGTCAGCCCAACTTAAGACATGGACACTTTTCTCTTCCACCTCGCCCGTCTTTTGTACTGCAACGATTGAACATATCCAGCCTGGCCTATGTCTTTTTCCAGGATGAAAAAGGACAAAGTGGCACATGTCTGCATCGAATATGGTCTGCACCTTGGATCTTCTATCTGTGGTACGGAACCTGATTCCTCATACTTGTAAGTGTACTGACGCTCACAATACCGTCTCTAGCTTGTCTTTACTCGATAGAAAAATACGTTCATGGCAGGTATGTGCATCAACCCTAGCACTTGACACCATGCCGACGGGAATATTCCTTGAGAACCATCCCTGTTTCTAGTGTTCCCACTAATAGAGTCGACGTCTCTACCTTGCCTGGATTTGGCAGTCTTACTCGGGTTGTGAGAATAGTGAGTGAAGCAGACCCTCCCTGTTCTCTCTGCTGACCATGTATGATAGATCGCGCCGAAAGCAGAATGATTCCACTCCAGATACCTGACAAAGAAGTAACGGCGCAAAGCTCAATTAGAGAAAATAATAATTTGGAGGGGGTAATGGAGAGCATGAATGGGTAGCCTGGAAATCTTGAAATGATCCATTAAGAAATAGTGGACGAATTTGCGGGTCGATAAATAGTGCGTGACTAAAACTAGCAAAGTAAATACTGTAAAACCTGCTTAGTACGATGTAGGTTTAGTGCGATATCCCCCTTAGTGCGATAAATTTTCGGCTAAAAATTGGATCCACCATACAAATATCGCTAAAACCTTGATAAAGCGGTATATCGTAGCCTCCTTTTTACTCTTCTACCTATATCGTACTATCGAATATATTACTAAGCCATATTACAAATCAATCTAACCAATCAGAATGCCCCGTCAAGCAATTTCAAACCGCCAAAAGGCTGCTCTCAGGGAGCAACATCGACAATTTCCTTCTGCTACACAACAACAACTAGCTCATTGGTTTAATGAGAAATACAACCATCGTCCTACACAATCTACTTTATCTGCTATTCTATCATCAAAATACGAATATCTGGATACCAATCCTTCTGACTGCGTTATCAATGCAAAGCGACGACGTACTGCAAAGTGGCCAGATCTTGAAGCTGCATTAATCCATTAGATTACTCTTGCTGAAGGCAATATTCCAATATCTCAAGAAGTTATCCGAGAAAAAGCTCGGGATTACTGGACTAAGCTTCCAATGTATACCAATCAACCGATTCCGACTTTCAGCAATGGATGGTTATCTGCCTTTCAAAACCGAGAAAATATTCGGGATCGTCGACTATTTAGTGAACTTGGAAGTACTTCAGAAACTGCAGCTGAAGCTATGATTCCAATTCGACATCTTTTAAAGACATATAATCCAAAGGATATTTTCAACTGTGATGAAACTGCTCTTTATTGGAAACGAGTTCCTGATCGAAGTCTTACTACAAAGCCTTTACCTGGACAAAAGCAACAAAAAGCAAGAATTTCAGCTCTGTTTTATTGTAATGCTGATGGCTCTGAAAAACTCTATCCTTGGTTTATTGGAACAGCCAAAAAGCCTCGTGCTTTTGCTCGCGCAAAGATTAATATTGAGAACTTGAATCTTCAATGGAAGTAGAATTCAAAAGCTTGGATGGTTAGCAAGTTTTTTGAAGAATGGCTTCGATGGTTTGATCAACAAATGGTTAATCGAAAAGTTATTCTATTGATGGATAATTTCTCAGCTCATGAAGCTGCAGCACAATCTATCAATAAAAGTTCTTGGCCATTACAAAATACTTTGATTGTTTGGCTTCCTCCAAATTCAACAAGCCAATATCAGCCATTGGATCAAGGGATTATTCGGACTTAGAAAGCCTATTGGAAACGAAAATGGGTTTAATTCATGGTATCTGAATTTGATCAAGGTCGAGATCCTATCAAATCGATGAATGTTCTCAAAGCATTACAATGGGCAATACAAACTTGGGAACTTGATATATCAGCTCAATCTATCAGTAATTGTTTCAAAAAAGCATTATTTGATGATAGCTCTGATCAAGATCCAAATACCCAGCTGATAATTGATGAAATCTCATCCAATCTCTCAATATTAAGACCCCAAGTGGTTGATCTTATGAATACTGAGTGCTTTCTCAATCCTGAGGATGAAATAGTCCAAGATGGAATTGAGACCTTGGATAATATAGTACTCAGTCAATTCGAGGAAGAAGTAGATGATGATGATATATCTGTATTACCTGATATACCATTGGTATCAATAAACAATGCTATAAAGGCGTTGGAGACACTATGCCTATACGAAGAGCAGCAAGAAGAAGGCTCAGCGCAGATGATATCCAATCTTTATAGGCATGAGAGAGTGATACAGACTAGGAAGTTAAATGCGCAAAAGCAGAGCGATATTAGGTCCTTTTTTAAATGAAATTTTGCATGTGAACCAAAAATATATATTTGAAACATTATACTGCGATACCTCCTTAGTACGATACAAATTGGCTGTGCACGGGGCATCGTACTAAGCAGGTTTTACAGTATATGAGTTAAGTCGATTTTTTAAATAGAAAGCTGTTCTTGCACAGATGCGACTTCTAAATTAAATAAAAGGAGATGATGCCGTTTTTAGAAGCATGTTCTGTCTCGAAATCTTTAGGTTTTCAAAACGCTTTGATAAATTAATATTCGGAGTCAAATCTGTGTTGCAAAAAAACATTAAAAAAAATTGGTACTTAAGAGACTAGCCAATGGAAAAGTGATAAGTTTGTTGGTCTTCCCATTTGTTCATTGCTCGTTGTCTGAAAAAAAAAACTAAAAGAAATTAAAAAATTTTTGCGCCTCTTCGAGAAGTCCGCCTAAATAATTATTCTTATGTTCTGCGCATTTATCGGCATCTCCGTTTGGTACAGTAGCCCTAGACGGATGTGATATCGTCCTAAATCTCGTACTACAGGGTTCACCGTGCGCGATGTAACATTAGGACATTCAAGCGATGTAAATTCATTTGCCATAAAAAGGGGGTAGGGCCTGCGCAAATTATCTGCTACACCATTGGGGCCATCTTTACTCGGCTACTTTTCTAGCCCCACCTTTTATGGGGCCAAATGAGAGAAAAGACGGGTTAATGGGCCGCGGAAAAATCCCTTCGATAACATCATTCGGACCGGTTTCGCGGTGGTGGTTCTTACGAGGCTGTGACCTGCCTCCCTTGCCCCCAATTTTTCGCGCCCTGTCAAAATTAACGGCTAATCATGATTGTACTTTGCTTTCAAAAAGCAACCGAGTTTGATTAAATTTGACCGAACTTGTTATGGAGCGTGGAGCGTGCCACTCCATCCAATGAAAGAATTAGCTAGTTTTTCTACCTTCGTTTCAAACAATTGTTCCTGCTCAAATTCAGTCTAAAGCTCGTATTCAGGGCAAGGGAAGCTTCATTGGAAGCTTATTTACGAGAAATTCCTTGGTTACGAGCAAGAGAAGCTTCATTGAAAGCTTATTTACGAGAAATTGTGCTGCAACCAAGCCATCATAAACCCACTGTTCAGCCTCAAGAAATTGAGGTATAAGACCCCCAAACCTTCCCAGAACAGAATTCCCACCTCAACCAAACCACGGCAGTTCGAGTATCCAAGAAAACAAGGGCAAACCCTCCTCAATACCCTTAAAATAACCCTGTAAGGATTGACAGTTTATGAAAATTCAAGGCTGGGCTGGGCTAATACTCGAAAGAGACTATCTGCCAAAATGAAGGTCTTGTCCATCCTCACCGGTTTTGCCTTTATCTCTATCTCCTCGGCATGGGATCTCACCTTTTATGACGAAAATTACCACAAGCATCCCGCTTCCTCCCACCACATCCATGCCTCTGGGACAGAGGACGTCCGCTGCAACAACGTTCGATCCGACGGTCCCCGATTCGGCACCATCGTATTTGACGCAAATACTCCTTTCTGGCCAGACCCGAGTGTATACACTGTGTACTCCGGCGCTGATTGCAAAGGGAAATCTTACACTGGGGCGCCAGGAGCGGTTGATCTTGGCTCTCCAATGGTGATTAAGAGCTACAAATTGCATTAGTCCCCCACTACTGCGAAAAACGAGGGTTCAACTTTCGGTCACATTGAACACCAACGCCATGACGCAGAGTCCCATTTTTTGATGACGCTCCCATTCCAAGAAAGGCGAGGCTCTAGGTTTGTTTTCAGGAAGTGCAACATTCTACATGTACATACTAATATAATATATATCGTTGTTGTAGCCTGCATATCCCTTTGAAAGTTGATTGTCAACCATTACATAATGTCATGAGAACAAATGCTCCGAAAAGAACAACTTCGGCGCAACTTTGAAAACCCGACCAACCCTCGTTTTGGCGATTCCTGCTCAAGCATAGAGATTGTCTGGGCCCCAGGAGCTGCGCAAGGTCCCAACTACGTATGTCAGGGATATACATGAGGCGTACACGCTAAGCGGAGGACACGGACCCACATGGCGCATCTGGGTTCCCCTGAACACGAGAAAGCTATCTTTCTCTTGCTTCCTCGCGCTAGGTCTTGTATCTAGAGTCGACTATAGCTTTCTTTAATATTGATTATTCATCCGAAAGACACGCTACTCATCAACAGATACGTGAGACCCTCAGATTAGATATTAACCAATCATTCAACCGAAGGCCTGTGTGCATGTGGGCCACTCACGGCACTAATTGGTCATATATTCAATCTGTTGTCCTAAGTATTTTCTCATTTACTGCGCGCAAAGACCGATATCTCCGAATACTCCGAGATTGTCTCTTGAAGCGGACACTGCGAGGTTTGGCCAAGCCCAAAGCCTAAGAAGGCAGCGACGTTTCGGTGAACAATTTCAAATCCCTTGGCTCCGTCTAAAGTTCCAACCATCATTTGAATGGCCGGTATCTTCTCAACAGGCAGACGCAGGAGCTTCAATAGAAACGGCAAGTCGGAGAATGCGTAGTGTTGAATCTTGGCGACTTCCAGCTCTAATTTCCACCCCTGCAGATTTGACCAAAACTCTTTCTACGTTGAGTCTGTCCTCTGGGTCTTGTTTTTATGTCCGAATAGGAGGAATGGTCCCTGAAGGCCTTTTTGAATTACCGGTCCAAACATTGACCCGTCCAAGTTTGCACCTGCAACAATCCGACGGTCCAGATGCATGGCTGCGGCGGTAGCTGCACCCCCGACTGAGTGACCATATATCGCAACGTGCCGAGTTCTTAATCCCGCAGCCCCTGTTCCAGGGAGTAGGGCTGCGACGCCAGCCTTTGTGCCCAGCTGATCCAGCACGAACCTCACATCCTGAGCTCTGGTTTCGAGATCTAGTGGAACCTGCGCGTCACTGATGTTTGCTGCAGTCACGATGCTTCCGTCTGGGAACTCCAGAAACTCGGTATCATAGGGATGGTCAAGAGACACCACGATGTACCCGGCGCTGGCTACAGCCTGCGCAATGGCATTATAGAACAGTCGTGTCGTGCCGAGAGCAGGCGAGAAGATCACCACCGGAAAATAGAGGTGATGGCCTCGTGGCAGCTCTGGGCATGCCTGGAAAGAGATGGATTGAAGCGAACCGTTAGGAAGTCCGTATGCGCCGTATAGTTCGGAGTAATATTCGGCTGTTGCGGGGGGCAGGTAGTCTTTCTTCTTGAGAGCGACTTTGCAGTGGGTGGGAGCAAAGGGATCGACTCTGGTCTTTTCGACCATTTTGGCCGTGTGATAAAACACATCGTATTGTCCGAGTGAGTTGGGGATCACCACTGCAGAGACAGACATGGCCACAATGGGCAGAAGGCGAAGAATTTGAAACATTCTCAATTACCAAAAGATACAGTCCAGGAGAAAAGTAGGATTAGAGTAAAGTCTTTGAAATCTTGCTAATGTAGACAATGAGATTCCAAGCACAATAGTCAGAGGACCGCCCTGGCCTTTATACATCAGCAAAGCACCCGTAGCAACTCACGAATACAAATTTCTCTCTGCCAACGTAAATGAGGTTCCCAAAATGGAAAGAATAGAGCGTTAGTTGATCAGATTTAAGTCAGTCACCAAGAACTATCCAGAATTGCTAAAGCAATGTGCATCGGTGCGTCGCGATATTACTTTCTAATTGGGGTTAGCGCCATCTCCCGAATTGCAGCCTGATGTTGGAGTAGGGCTCGCTGGAAAATATCCATTTTCATGGTAGCGGTCATCGGGGGACAAACAAGTGATGTTCAAGTAATGTCGATCCTTGTCTCGCGACATTAGTTCCAAATTGGGTTAGCGCCATCGGTGTCACGACATTGATTGTTGTCGGAACAGAAATGTACGTCCAATCAGGTCCATGGGTAGTTGTCTGAATTGTTATGCCTGTACCCATACAAACTTGTATGGGTGTGAACATGACTAATCTCGGCTAGTCTATAAACAGCAAACTAATACACATCCTGACAATACTGAATCTCCACCGATACTGACAATTGTAATTGGGCTAGCGCCATCAGCCACGCCGCAGGCTGCTGCCGGACCTGGTCTCGCTCGAATAGGTCCATTTTCATCGTAGTGGCCATCGGGAATACGCACGCTTGAAGTGTTTGTTAGAGAATTCTCCAAGGTTCTGTCCACATCTGCAACGTTGAAGGGGAGAATGGTCGGCCGCTGGACAAGCGAAGGCGGATGACGCGCTGCCTCAGCTGTGCGAAACGACGCATCAAGGTCTGGATTCTGAATCATAAATTATATGGGATCCGAGCAGCTAATATTTAGTAGTGTGAAGGGGGATTTCCATGTGCTTGTTGCGTTCGACAAAACACGATGTGCATTGCCCAGCAGCAATCGGGCTACGGTATGACTGTGTTTGTCAACCAAACACAGCAAGATGATTTTGGTGGCGCCCACCGAAGTTCTGATCAAAAGGGCATGATTGTTAAAAATAAACATACTTCAGGAACTCACATACGGATAAGGGTACCCGCCTTCTTGATTATTTTGTTTCTTTTATTCAGCAGAACATGTTCACGATGGGCTTCTCATCAATAGTTCCGGACTTGCTTCCTCTAATTTCAACTTCCCCGCTCTTGTACTATGCAGTGATTGCGGTTGGTGCTTTAGATGCGAACCGACATACCGGTGGACGAGTATTACAGGGAGAGAAACTCTCCTATGTGGATTCCATGACCTTTTACCGTAAGTCAATTAGTATTTTGCGGTGCTGTGTCGGAAAAAGTAATGTGATGCAAAGAGAGGACGCTCTCTGGGCCACCTTTTTTCTAGGGCTGTTTGAGGTATGCTGTTTATCAGAAAGGGTACCCTCTATCGGATGCATTAAATCGGGTTTGACTGACATCGATACACCTAGTTGCTTTCAGACGATTCGGGCCAAGGCTGGGTTAAGCACATGCTCTATGGAACATCAAAAATGCTCCAGCTTGCAGGACCAAGTGATTGCATGTCAACGGCCAGAAGGATATTCTACGACCTGTTTCGTATTCTCGAAGCCAGTCGAGCATTACTCTTCGATGAAGAAACAATCCTTTCTCAGGAATGCTGGCTTCGACTCCAAAACAGCTTGTCGAGAAATGCCACTCGCTGGGACCCCTTGGAAGAGATTATAACGCTCATGATTCAGGCATCCGCCTTCACCCTACGGTAAGTCAGCAATACCAAATGAGCGACTTCTTCTATTTTAACAATTCGAACGACAGAGCCGGTGCTATAATTGATAAGATTCCTGAAGAAGAACGTTTCACGGATCCATCAGTTGCTCTGATTGCGGCTGAGGGACTCGATGTCCAAGGAAATATCTATAACTGGCACACGAAGACGCTGCTGCAGCTGGTCCAGGATGGTCCTAATGAATATTCAAAATTAGCTTTGCTATATTATCACGCGCTACTAATCTTCCTTTCTGGCAACTATGACTATTTCACCTACTGGGATAATATCCCAGCCCCGGTGTTATCCCCTGCTGAAGTTTCTGAACACCTGAGTTCGATCCTGTATCTCTCGGGAGAGGTGTTGCGCCACTCCAAGATCCCAGGAGTGATGCTATTTTTCCCAGTAACTGTTGCAGGAGCTCGAGCCCGGACGGTCGATCAACAATCCGAAATTCTGAATCTGCTCAGCCTGGTCTTCTGCAAAGGGTTTGTGGTCGCAAACAAGATACGGGAACTGCGAAAGAAGGAGTAATACTGGAATAAGTGATTGAAAAATACGCATGGCTCTGATAGGATCCCTGAAAGTCGTAAAGCACCCCCCTTCTTAAGGATCCGTGTCCTAATCGTGATTCGGTCACGAAGCCAATTGGCCAATGGAATACTCTCGAGCCCGATACAAAGGAGCTGCCAGGAAAATCATGGAGTTGAACATGGTATGGAATTTAAGCACATATTCGGCCATAATCGTCCCTCTGCCGATCTGGGGATACCGTTCGACTTATCTTCACCCACACTGCGCAGAGAACGATGAACCCATGCTTGAAAATTTACCAAAGCATCTAAAGGTCTCTCTGGGTATTTCGAACTGGGGTAGATAGTAGATCGTTAGTACTGCCTACTTTGTTTTTATAGCTTTTGGTATAAATTGGCAGGATGAGGAATTGAGGTACTGGCTAGTACTGAACATGTCCAATAGAATCAGATAATTGATTGATTGTACTGAGATTGGTTGAACGATCCCAGGAATCTATATAATCTTACTATGGTGTGTAATGACACCATAGTTTGAAATCCCATACGAATAGTTACTACAGGAATTGGGCGAACGATGAATAAGTCAATCCCGAAGGGTCCTAGTGGTATTTAACCATTCCCTCAATTCATCATAAAACTAATACATTTCGCCCCCAACGCCTACAAGTTGGAATGGGAACTGTTTACCATCAAGGGACAAAGCGTTGAACCCCATAACAAGGCAAGATCCTGAGGCTTGAATACAAGGAATATATCGCGAGGGCGTCGACATCTCTTCACCGACGGTACCTTTTCGGCCGGTTTGTGGCTGTAGGCAAACGAGAAACCCTGGTTATCCTGTGCTGGCGGGTGAAATAGAGACTTGGGCGGCATGAGGCCTTGCAGTGACCGCGACTTGCGGTGGAATATATGACGGCCAGGCTATTGGAATGAATGAATGGGGGAAAGCATTTTTTCTCACGGGGGCGAGGGCGAAAAGTTTGCAGACAAAGATTTCCGTGGGCAGGCAAGCGATTTGCCAAGGCGAGTCTTCCATGGAACGCTTCTACATATTGGCTGCGTGGAAGCCGTTTCACCTTGTTGAGCAACGTTGAGGCCAATGATTCGCAAATCGATTGGCCACGGTGCGAGCGAATATTGGCAAGCTTCTGAAGTTACGGGAAATCAAGCTGCCGCGGCGAGTGGCCCATGGCATGCCACTTCAATCTACACCTCATTTTAACTGCGTTGAAGGCCGTTTGACCTATGTGAATCAACGTTGATGAGGGGAATTATTTGTCACGCATAGCTTCGTGCCAACCACGGCTCCAGGTGGATCCAGTCACTCCACCCGCTTTTCACTCTAAACTCTTGAAATTTCTTATTTCAACGTTGAATCAACCGCCTCAACACCCAGCAAAAAGGCGGTCGCCTGGTGCGAAGGTCGAGGGAAAATCTCTGGGTCTGCCACAATGTACGCAAGTGGTCGCTGCCGGAAAACGGACTCGATATGGCATAAAAGACGCTCTTTTCCCATTGAAATGAAGACCAGGACTTTCCTCCTCACACTCCCGATCCACTCGGGTGTGCCTCGCAGGATAAGCTCTGCGTTATCAAGTGTTCTTCGTAGGGGGACGCTGCGTTACCAAGGGAGACCCGCAGGGACATCTGCGACACCAAGAGTCTCCGCAGGGACATCTGCGACACCAAGAGTCTCCGCAGGAGACCGCTGCGACACCAAGTTCTCCCTCGCAGCCTTGAGCCCTGTGATTGTATAATCTTGAGCTTCCATGCAGCCTTGAGCCCTGCGTTATCAAATTTGCGCTCGTTAGGCGATCCGTGGCGCCGCGGTCCTCGTCCTGATCCTCTGGCGATTGCAGGCACCTCTTCGTGGTGTCAGAGACTAGTATTCGGGGGAGTCCTCGAAGAAGCCAAGACCTGCTCCAAAGAATCAATAGAATCAAGAATCATCCAGTTTACTTTGTGTCATGCCCTTCAGCCTGTTTGTAGAGTTCAATAGACGTGTTCCTGGTTCGCCTAAAGTTGTTATGGAGCCTTGAATCACGCCCTGTCTTTCGACAATGGGCATTTCTTCAACGTAGTGCGAAGTAGGGCACTGACTCATCGGGCCAGTGGGGATCTCAGTGTATGATAGCCTGGTGGCCGATCTGGGCGACGCGTGCAATTCAAAGTAGTCTCCATTTGTGTGAATGCGTGTCTTTGCTGGCTACCAAAGGGGCTGAATTTGTCTTGACGTGGTGAAATGCAGGCTTTCGACAGTGAGTAGGTAGCGTTGGCGTGCTGATGAAGGCGTCTTGATGGTGAGGACACGCTGATTGCGAGGGCTGGCGATGAGGGCCGGAGGTGGGTGACGGTTGAGGATTGGTGATAATCATGGACCAGTGAGTCAACATAGATTTGCGGCGCGGCGTCACTGCCGAGCGGTGAAGTGGCTGCCAACGGTGACTACCCATCGCCGTTACCGTGGGATCTTCGTTGGCTCACCAAGGATGTAAAAGATGATAGACGATGAAACATGATGCAGTTCATTAACTGGAATCTGTCATTACACTAGATCGCAATGTAGTTATCTGCGGATAGTCTTTTTAGAAAAACTCGACTATGGCTTGGAGTTGCGTGATGGTACAATCAACATTGGTGACCACTTCAAAGATATGTTAAAGGGTACACCATGTACATCTATTGACGATTGGCTGTATCGTTGTTTTCACTCGGGTCGCTCTTCTACGTGGCTTGAGCTTCGTCGCATATTCTTTGGTGATACACAGCTCTGAGGGAATGTCGATAAATGGTCATCCATCATTGCGCAATATATATCCTCAAGCGCGCACGTTCATGCTAGCAGTAGAATTGGAAAACCATGAGAATGTCAGCGATTCAAGCCCTTTATTCTGGCCCTTTTTCGAATATTATATTCCATTGGCATGGCCAAATGAGAGACTCTTGTGGAGTTCAAAGGGGTAATGTAGCTGAGTACTGGTCGAGACTAACGGTGGCTATGATATTCTAGAACGATGCTGGATATAGTGAGGCAGATTTCGCGCCGCCAGCGCATCTGCTCGCGTGGTCTAGTCGAATATGCCTCCTTTACCTCAAAATAACGAACCGGGTTCGACTCCCGCAGGGTGCATTAGAATGACCATTCATCAAAAAGACGGTTCTCGCTCGTGTACCGTGTTCACAACCCGCTGGTTTCCCGGTTCGTCTCGCGTACGTTTTTATTTCATGGGCCTCTTGTTTTCTGTCGTCACTTGAAAATACCGACCTATGGCAGCACACGGCGGTACTATATGCAAATCTAGAGGTGAAAAGCACGCATAGATCGAGATTGTAAAAACGACGAAGTGTTCTAACCCTGTTTGTGGCTTTAGCTGATTCAATTGACAGTTAAGTTGAAAACCATTTCACCCGAGTCAATGATGTTGATGGGGCGAATTAAGTCTCAAGTCTGGGCCCAGGAGAGGTAAGGGTTCAGGTGGGGCGGGCCACCCCGTCCGCCCTCCACTCATACTATGGCAAATTCTTATTTCTTCGTTGAACAAACAGTCTCGGCGCGCAGCAACAGACGCGGCTATCCGGCCACGAAAGTTGAATCCTTGGCACAAAGGCTCAACCACGGATGAAGTGTGAAGTGGCAATGGTTCCATGCTGGGGCGTTCTCCCGCCTTCTCTGTTCAAATTCATCCACGCCGTCTTCTACGCTCTACTCTCTCCTGCCCTCTCATAATGGATAACCGTGGCGCTTCTAAGAATCAGACCGGTACACTTAGAGCTCAACTTCAAAAGGCATTGGAGGAAAATCGTGAGGACAGTTCCGGATGTGAAGATACAACAACCACAACATCTTCCGAAGACAACCATATCGTTCGTGCCGATCGTGACCGCTCAGTCTTTCACAAGGACCCCCAGAGTAGACATCACCACAGGCTTCAACCCGTGTCCGATCGGAGAAGACAAGCAGTCGACAGCTTGTCGAACAGAATGAGTGGGAATTCAGAATCTGCATCAAAGAAGTTTGTTACCCTCCCCAGTCGCATACCTCGTTTGTTGCAAAACATCTAATAAATCATTTACAGAGCCGTCAAACGAGCGAAGTAGGTAGATATTGGCATTTTTCTTACTCTGAATTATCCCAAGCATCAATTTTCGGGATGGAGCTGATACAAAGTACAGATTGCTAGAAAACAAGATCAAAATTCGTCGCCGGAAGAGCTTTGCCAGCAGAATCGAGACGCTCTCTGTGAAAGTAGAAGAACTTACTGGCAATATGGCGTATTTTCAGGAAGAGATGAAGAGAATGAACAAAACCTTGCGATCTATGCGGTTGCGCAGGTGAATGAATTGCACGTCAAGGGATGTCTCGAAATAGGCCATTTTGAGATATCGTGGATACGATACTATTTAGATTGCCTAGCTAGCTCAATACGAGAAATGTGAAGAGGCTTTAAAGTCCCGGGCCTTTACGTGTAGCTTCCGGTGCAAAGCCAGAATATGTAAAGACATAATAGCTCCGCGTGGAGATTTTCCCTGCAGCAATGTATACCTATATAGCTTTATCCGTCTCTGAAGAACTAATTTTACATGGCTCAGAATACCAATTCTTTGGGTGATTATTAGCAGTTAAGTGTAGCCAAGATATCTTCCAGTGGATCAGTTGGCTTTGTAGGCCGGATCAAAGGGTTCAAATCTAGCCTCCGACTTCGACATTTCATGGGTTTCGGAGAAATGCCATGCAGCTAGCAAGACGTCTCATTGTATTTGGAAGCCTACCAAGGAGATTTCAATCTTCGAACTGGGCTGGTTGCATTCGATTTGCAATTTTGAATAATGTGAAATGTGAAAAGATAGACCAATGGAGAGAATTTCGGCTTGAGCTTCGTCGCATACTCTTTGGTGATACACAGCTCTTAGAGAATGCCGATAAATGGTCATCCATCATTGCGCAATATATATCCCTAGACGCGCACGTTCATGGTAGCAGTAGAATTGGAAAAACCTTCAGAATGTCAGCGATTCAAGTCCGTTCTTCTGGCCCTCTTTTCAAATGTCATATTACATTAGCACGGCCAAATGAGAGACACTCGTGGAGCTCAAAGGGGTGATGTAGCTGGGTACGAGTCGAGACTCACGGTGGCTATAATATTCTAAAAAGACGATGGATATAGTGAGGCAGATTTCGCGCGTTCAGCGCATCTGCTGCCGTGGTCTAATCGAATATACCACGTTGGCTTCCTTAACGAACTGGGTTCGATTTTCGCAGGGCGCATCTGGATGGCCATTCATCAGAAAAGACGGTTCTCGCTCATGCATCGTGTTCACAACCCGCTTGTTTTCGGTTCGTCTCGCGTGTTTTTTTCTCGTGCGCCTCGTGTTTTCTGTCGCCCCTTGACACCGACCAAAGGCATCACCCGGCGGTATACTACAGGCGACAAGGCCGTGCACTGACGCGTCGCAGCGTCTCGCGTCGGGCACATGTGACAGGCCCACAATGGCAGAACATCACAGCTACGTCCGAGGTCAATAAGCACAGCTATTCTACCAGTTATCACAAACTCGCCTGGCATCCTTCGAGTAAAAATTGAGCAATTGCAATCGCTGCGGCCATCGAACGGCCGTATTTCGCGAGGCTGCATCCACTGGTGAATTCGTGCGGTTCGGTGGTGACCCGGGGCACAAGAATGTAAAGATTGCGGTTTATTGCCAGGAATGAAGCGACCTCGATGATGGCAGAGTGACTCCCTTGTCTCGCACCCGTCGGCCCTACAATGCATTCCCATTCCCGCCCAGCTCCAGGTCGATTCCTGTTTTCGGCCATGCAACAACCTTCTATTGGCAGCACCTTTCCAGCGAACTCGGTCATGATGCGTGATATAAGGATTGCCGGACTTCATCTGTGGAGCATTCGATTGGCTTGCGGCCACGTTTGGAAGGGGAAAGTTATCTTATACCAGCGGTTTGGCAAAAAAAGGTCAGTTGTCACAAACCTCGAGCCGTGAGAACGTAGTTCTAGATATAGGCCACGGGGGAAGCTTTGAATGCCATCTGCATTGGCCACAGGCAAACAGATTGCCGTTGGATATACTCGATCTAGCACCAATTGTCAGCAATTAGCGCAAGATGGGTGTTCGCAACTGACCGCCACTGACCGTGCTCGCGGCCTAGATGAGAATCCCAATACCAGCCGCAATACACTATCCCGATCGGACTTGTAGGAACAGCCGAAGCAATGCTAAGTTTCACTACTTCTCCGTATCAGCAAGACTTCTGGTGGCTAATGGTGGTACAGACTTGCCATTAATGTAGTTTGGGATCAGCGACAGCCAACCAGAGATGTAGCGGGCTCAGCTCGATTACATCTGGAGGGCCCAGGATCACTCCGTATTGCTGCAAATGAATGTTGGCAATATCTGCCAATGCATAGCTGTTTCGTCTTTGGTTGTCGTGTGGGAGGTAAATCTTCAGACGTGTCAGGACAAAGTTTCACCGAAGGAGGGGCTCATGGTATTTGGTCTGGGGCGAAGTAGTAGCTGACCTGAAAGCGACTGCTCTCATGGGGAGAGACATGGGATAGATCCAGTGCCGCGACCTGGCCTGTCGCATGCTGAGCTGCGATCTGGGCTTGACAGAGCTGGCCTCAGGCTCGATTCATTGTTGGCTGATTTTACACCGGGAGAAAAGAAACCATGGCCTTTCTCGGTGGTAATCGATGCTAGAGTTCTCTTCGATGTCGGCGAATGCTGCAATGGCTCACTGAATCTAGTATGGGACCGGGCCATGGCTGCCGACGAGGCTTCGGATCGGAGGTAGGCAAGAGGCTCAGAGCCGTCGGAATCTGGAAATTTCTTAGTAAACTGACACTTAACCTTCAATCGAAAGGGTAATGCCGAAGAGACGAAAACACCTTGGAGACTTACCGTATGGCTTAGCAGATGGCATCGAGCCTTTCTGGATTGGGCTCGCCAAATGCGCCAGGTGAATGACCATTTCTACCACGTGTTCAGAAACAATAAAGGTGCGAGCGTAGTTACATTCCATGGCTTGGCCCATAAGGCTGTTGAAGCTGGCTTAGTTTCGAAGGCGAAGAAAGGGGGGGAGGGGCATACCTCTGACAGGTCGAGGGCATTTTGACGCGCGCCTTATGAAGAAAAAAACTATCAGCGATATTTCTTGAAACACAAAGAGCCACCAACGGATAGCGATCGTACGGGAATTGAAATGCAGTACGGAGTGTTGGGAATGCGTAGGGGCAAAGCACTAACATGACTTATAAGACATTGAGTGATTCGCGATAGAAAGATTGCCATCCTACATAGAGGGTCGTCAGCGCATGATATCTGCCTTGAAAATTGCGGAATATTTTGAAACTTACGTTCTCAGATATTGCTGTCCGCTGCAGGGGACTGTATCAAAGATGACATCTATTTATCATCAATCATCAGTAGGCAGTTCATGAAGGCAACCTGTAACTCACTGTGCTCGTAGCTTGGACTATTTGGGATCCAGGAAGGTTCGCTCAATGGGTTATTTGAGGAGTAGCGGAAACGGGGCTGATATCGAGCATCTTCCGAGTTAGCATGGCTCTGAATGACTGGGAGGCAACACTCACTTGCTGTCTGAAGACTCCGTTATTGAGAAAGGCTAGGCCATTGCGATCAAAAAGGTCAGTTTATTTCATTGCATGATTTGGAGGTCAATCCATACCAAAGAGTAGCCGCAAAGTCGAGTCACGATCGTCATTCTTTGTTCCAAAATCACAAAGGAATGCTTGCGAACGGCGGTTCTTCTGGTGACGAGTCTGGTATTTATAGCATTTCAGCCAGGCATTCAGTCTGCGTGAATGAGATCATCATCATCAATTGTGAGGGCTCAAATACAAACTACTCTTAAATTGCAGCTGGTTCAACATTTTATTGGTCGTTTAACACAACATTCGAAGACATTGCATTTTTCCTGGCGACTCGATATATGCCCTTCCTTTGATCACTCTTGGCACCGTTTAAACAATGGCGAGCATGCCGCAGGAAAGCATCGATGATCCATTTCAACATTCACCACCATGAGCTCGTAAGTTAATGCGACAGTGAGGCGGCAACAGATCATGCCATTTCATTTCACCCACCAATGATGAGCACGACACCCTTACCAATGAACACCTCATCAAAGACAGGCAGACACCATGCCAGATTGCGACCCTAGATCTCTACCATCCAAACGACATATTTTTTCAGTGCCTATCGTGTATCGAAGAAAAGGAAGCACACCTACACAACATCAAGCAGATGCAAGCTATAGTACGGCGGGACTAATTCACACAGCCCCATCTCACAACAGAGTCCCTTGTATAGTGGGTCAGATATTAGGTCGATTACGTTTTCGTAGAACAAATCTCTGCGATCAGCCGCGTCTTTGTAAAGGAGGGTGGGTACTACTATTCGGAAAAATCTGCCAATTAGTGCCATCAATGGCTTACAAGCGTGCATATCGACTATGAAATGATTGGTGGATGTTTGGCCATGGCTCCCAGGAGCCTGTGGGTCGTAGATATTGATGCAATCATTGGATACTAATAATAGTTCGGAGGAAGAATGAGCCAATCGCTGCTATGAATTATCCACGTCTGCCACAAAGCCCCCGAAGAAATGATTGGCCCAAATTTGGCTGTGAGCTCCTAGGAGCCTGGGCCTACCATAACACTTCCCATAATTGGATAAGGCTGATACAATTATGTCCACAATATAACCACGTCTTCTCCTTTGGACCCGAGATAGAGACGACATTAAGAATTGGCCGTTGAAATTCAGGTGTAGTATTTGCGGATACACTCGGATGGATGGATGGATGGATGGATGATTTCATTTACCCCGACCCCTCGCGAACGATATGCAGGATTCAACAACTATATACATGTGTCTCTTCGTAATTGCCGTGTCTAATTTCCTAAGCGACCTTAATGCCTCGCCGAAGCCTTTCGTGGCTCCCTAGCCCTTCGTTCTCATGTTGTCTTCATGGTACTCGGCTTTGAAACCGTTGTGATGCTTCAGCGAAGTCCAAGACGGCTTCCACCGTCTTCGCCTTCGAAGCATGGCTAACCTTACCTCTCCCCTCTCCTCCAGACCCTCCTAGTAGGGTTGAAATGCTGTTGAACGCCTCGCCGACCTTTTCTCGGAGCTCTCGCCGAAGTGCTCTCAGCTCTGGACAGTCTAGCAGAACATGGCTTACACTCTCGCGTTCGCCACAGACACATAGGTCATTGTCGCGGAAGCGAAACGTCTTTGCATATGTTGATAGCCAGCAGTGGCCAGTTCGCAATTGGGTGAGTAGATAAGCCCGGTTCCTCGGGAGGGAACCGTAGAGGCCACGTGTGTACTTGGCTGGCAAGGTGTTGTCAATCCGGCGCAGGTGGCTGCCAGTCTTCGACCCTTTCCATTCCTCTGCCCATTGGTCCTGAATAACTTGCCTGATATGTGCTCTCTCGCGTGATATCAAGGGACTGAACGGGTGTGTCTTGCCCGGGATGGCGGCTTCTTTAGCAAGCTGATCGGCGATCTCGTTCCCCGGTATTTCGCAGTGACCGGGGATCCATTGTAGTCGAATCATTGTACCATGGTTCTTGGTGGTTTCGGCTGCTCGTAGGATGGCGTGGATGATCTGCTGTCCCGACTTGTTCCCCGGTCTTCGAATAGCTTGCAGTGCCGACATACTGTCGCTGAAGATCGTGGCGGATCTCACCCGCGCGTGCGATGCTGTCCAACGTCGAACCGCGACTTGATTGATGATATTGATAGCGTATAGAATCCCAATGAGCTCTGCCGCATGGACCGACCAGCGGTCCATACTGCCCACCTGTATTTGTATCCTGTCAGTTGTCTGCTGCCTCTCGTCGATCGCGACGGCTGCAGCTCCCAGATGACCTTGTCGCCCCGAGGCGTCTGAGTAGATCATCACGTCCGAGATGGATCGTACCGTTTCCGCTTTCTCTATTGCGACCTCTCGATCAGGTTCTATTTCGATTCTGGCGAACCCCTCCGGTCTCCATGGAGGGAGCGGGGTCGGGTCAATCATCTCGATTTCTCTCAGTCTCTCCAAGTTCATTGTTTTCAACGCCTCTGCTAGAGGGAACCTGGCGTATGATCCAATATTGTCCCGCCTTCTCTGGGCCCGAAGAAGGGTGCTCCAGATAGGATGTTTTTGGGGCAGGGTGTGGAGTCTTGTAATGGTATTCTGTGCACGGAAGCGTAGTCGAAGATGGATTGGCCGGACGTGTGCTTCTACATCCAGCGCAGCTGTGGCCACCGTTCGAAATGCCGATAGAACGCGGATGAGCGCAGTCCGCTGTACGGTGCGTAAGTGCCGAAGATGCGTCTTATCTCGGAGTGGGTCATGCCCCAAAAGACATTAAGTAGCTTTGACAGGCCTACTTGCATAGACCACTACCCCAGTTTTTCACCCGATAATTGAGGTTTCTGGACTCTTGAGGTTCACCAGGCCTCTCACCCTGGGTGTCTCTTAGTTTGCTCCTTAAGCATACATCATGGGCAGGCCAACTAGGACGACACCGCTTCAACCGACCTAGGTCAGTCTCAGGCCCCCAGTGCGAGTGAGGTAGTTGACTCCCGTCTCTTTGTACACCGACACGCGCATCCGTCCTCTCGGGCTATACAAACAGTCTCTTGGCACGACCCAGCCCTGCCACAGTGGCTGCCATTGTACACCACGCCCCGCGAGAGCTGTTGCTCTCGTTTCGCGTTACCTAGGAAGGTCTCCCTCCACTAGGCCGACCGTGTCTTGCAGAGAGCCCTCGTATACGCTCCAGCCGGCAGTGTATGTCGGTTGCTCTCTACTAACCAAGCTTGGTCCCCAGTGACTGGACAGGGCCGATGATTTACCCGTGGCACAGCCTTAACGAGCTTCATCAGTTTCCATCAGTCAACCACCAATATCTTCCAGATTGCCCGTGTGTCTCCCAAGAGGGTTGCCCGTGTCTCGGCGGTGCCCGTGTCTCGAAGGACAGCCGCACCAGAGCTTGCCCGTGGCTTCGCCTTAACGAGGTCTCCAGTAATCGACGTCTCCGAGCCTTAACGAGTTCGAGTCTTAACGAGGCCTCTGGGCCTTGAACGAGGTCTGTCCGATGTTAGCTTGACTGCCTGCGCCACTGGTTCACTACCGCCTCGCCGCATCTCGCACGATGCGATCCCAGACCGTATGCAAGCTCAGGGGTGTCCTGTCTTCTTCCTAGGGCGACACCACTTCAACTGGTAATGCAAGACCAGCGTCTGGGCCCGAGTGCGAGTCGGGTAAGAAGAAGTCGGATGGTTTTCATATGCCGTTTTCCCCTGATTTTTGGTGTGGTTGTGCGGTCTTGCCCGCGCCCACCGCGCCGGGCCGGACCGCACAACCACGTCGGATTCACTTTGGTCTCCCCAACGGGGATTAACACCGGACACCACGAGAAGGTATGAATCGATTGTCCCAACAGCCTGGCGAGGACTGTCGCCCAGTGCGAGCTCACTGGGGGCCCCTCATACACACACACACACACACACACAATTTATTAACGCCCGGCGGCTGAACCGAAAGGGCAACTATCGCTGATCTAAATTTACATGCCTTAGCTAACGCTGTGCCTCCTTGGAGCCCATACAAGATTCCTTTCAGTGTATGTCATCTCAGATGTCAATATCTTAGCCGGTCCTTGTGGGTTAGTTTTAGTGAGTAGACTTGCTTGAAGGCGCTCCTCCAAGTGTTCAACATCCTATCCTCGGCAGTTGAAGCGCGTCTACCGTCTCTGGCACAAGGTAGTTGGTAGGGATTAGATTGGGTTAGGTGGGGTAGGGTTCATCTGTGTTGGTCGACACGGTTAAGCCGCGTCGAGTCGGCCCGTGGCGATTGCGAACCGTATTGAGGCTCGCACTGCTTCTAGGTTCGGCCTCCAGTTCTGGTCATCCAAAGGCGATTTTCCACCCAGGAAAAATGACATGTTGCCTCGGTGAGTGTGGGTACATTGCAGCATTTCCGTCCGATGTGTGGTCCACCGCTGGCATCGAAAGAGGAAGTGCTCCACGGTCTCTCTGGCTTGTCCACATGCGCATTGATCCGTCTCTGCAACTTTGATTCGATAGAGGTATCCATTGAGTCTCGCCATACCAGTCCGGAGTTGAGCCAGCACGCTCGCTTCTTTCCACGACAATGGATCGTACAGCTGTCGGGTGTCTTTCCGTGGAAGCGCTGCATCCACTCGTTTGGAATGTCTCCCTACGTTCTCTGGCAGGCCTTTGCTGGCTGCGGACTGGGACCGTGCGATATTCAGCATGGTTGACTTCATTCTTGGATTCTGTGTTTGCGGGGTAGCGTCTTCTTGGATCGCGGCCCTAGCCTGCTCTTTCGCCAAGGCCCAGCAGTTGATCATTTTCGCTACTTGGGACCCAACGAATGCGGATCTCGTTGCCGTGTCCCCGTAGTCTCCTGATCAGCTTGTATATCTGGCAGATGTGTTCTTGGCCCGACTGCTGTCGAGAATTCTTCAACGTGAATGCCGCCGCTTTGTTGCTGGTGAGCAGCGTGACCCTGCACCATTTCAGTCCGCGTAGCGTGCTCAGTGCATATGCTATTGCTGCCAATTCCCCGGAGTACGGGTTCTGCTCTGCTCTTACGCCCAGTGTGACGGAGAAAGTTTTCAGCCTCGGTGTTCGGTACCGAGGTGGCTGCTTCTCAATCACCACGCCAAATCCTACCATCTCATTCCGCGCCGAACTGCTGATCGCGGTTCGCATGACTCCGCCCGCTTCGTTCTGTGTCTCTGGTAAATCGTGACTCTCCGTCTGCACGCGTTCCTCCCATGGTGCCAATGTGAATGGATTGATGGTTTCCAGTGTTTCCATATCGATGCTTTTCAACGCTTCTGCGACCTGGTACAATGGCGAACGGTGGTATCTTCTGAATTTCTTAATCTGAGCTGTACTCCTGCGGAGGGGATTGGTTACTGGTAGGGTGTGCATGTCTGTCCACATCTTCACAGCTCGCCTCCAGAGCCAGTGTTGCACCGTAGCAATGTGAGCCTCCGCTTCCGCTGCGCTGGTCGCAGCTGTGGGAATGTCCCGACAATCGCCTGCACTCCTACCCTTTGTACTCGGTTGATCAGCCCGATGGCCTTATTTCTGAAAGCATGCATCCACATATTGGAGGCATAGTCCACCACCGGGGCTACGGACAATGTGAATAGCTGCCGCGCTGTTGCTGGGGAAAGACCTCGAGTCTTCAAAGCTCCATCGTGGCCTCCAGTGCCATCTCCAACGCAACTTGTCCACATTATCTTGTTAAGCTTTGAAGCTTGGAAAAAATCACCGCTTCAAGTAGAGGAGCTGGGGTGTGTCGGGCGTATACCGGTTCACGGCCTCCGTCATCGCATCTAGGGGTTTCAAAATCGAGGGTTGATCAAGTTTAGATTTCTCTCCATGAGCCGACCTGCACAACCACCTCATCGCCAATATCAGTCCAGTCTGCGCGGGTCTGGGCCCTTTTTTTTCTGGATGGTGAAGGTACATTATGTGTAGATGTTCAACTCCGAATATGCGGCACGATGGTCGGGCCCGTAGTTTTCGTGGTAGAGGTGGCACTTGATGAGTCGACCTGGTCGGTCTGTCGCCGTCAGGTCAAATACGAAAGCCCTCCCGGGTGCTTCCAGGGACCATCTAGCGAGGCAGCCATGTCGGCTGTTAGTCTGAACGCGGTTGACTAGGTCGATTGCGCGTGACGGCGAAAGATTCTAGAAGTAGAGCGGAAGAATTACGCGACTAGATCTCCTGATTCTGAGAGAATATAATATCCTTTTGCTTCATGCCCATCTCAGCAGATCGAATCTCCTGGTCTTTCGTATGAGTCTTGACATGTTTCTTCAAATCATGGGGGCGCTTGTAAGAGTCGCCACACAAATGGCATTTGTGAGGCTTGAACGGCAAATGAGCCCGAACATGGGAGGTAATGTGGTACCGCTTGGCAGCAGTAACATTGCAGCTATCCCATCGGCAGGCCAAGCTGAGGTTGCGAGTGGCCTTACGGTCAACATGCCCCTCGCAGATGTGCTCCTGTGTTATAATCACAGTTAGAAATTTCGGGGGCCACTGATCCGTCGAAAAGCTTACATATAAGGCCTCGGCAGTGAAAACTGTCTCATTGCATCCAGCCCATTGGCAGGGCAGTTCACGAAACCTATCTGTGGACGTGCCATTGACAGCCGCAGTGGTGGGCTCGGTACGGACGGCGGTCGAGGGCATAGAGATTGCAGTTGTCTGAATAGACGCGTCTTGCTCAGTGTCCATGACAGAGGCGGATGTCATCCAGGTCTGCCGCGTGATACTATAAAAGCTTATATCACTTTCTGTCATGGCGCCAAATAAAGCTATGCTGACAGAAAGTCTCAACACGAGTTCAGACGAGCAAAGAAGTTGGGGCGAAACCAACCAACCTTTTAGAGTGGAAATGAGACTAATAGAGGCCACTTATTCTTGATAATGCGGTAGGAAAGGAAATATGCGATCCAGCATACGCGTACCAGAGATGAACGAGGAAATGCAGTGAGTAACTAGGGGGGAAGGGTGAAAGGGAGCATGCCAGGCGAAGTTAGCATCGAGGCGGTGAATTCATACGGGGTGACGCGTCGTTCATGAGTCGCGTGGGACGCTTCGGCGGCTAGCTCGAAGTCAACAAACACGTCTCCTCCATCTGGTATCAAAGAAAACCTTGCATTTTTGAAATTCGGAACGAGTAATTATAACATCCGCAGCAAATTACTTACCTTGAGCACCGCAAGTCTACTTCTGCTGGAGAGTCCGTGCACTCGGTGGCGACATTGATGAAAAGTGGGTGTTGCGTCGCAGCATTCGGCTGGATTGTGCATAGCATAGTCCGGGGAGAAATGGTCATCTTCATACCAGCGATTTGGCAACATGGTCAGTCGGTTACCCAAAACTTTCAGTTATTAGAACGTATTACCAGCTTCATTCATAAAGCTGGCCATGGTGGCAGTTTTGAATCGCCGTCTGCAATGAGACACGGCCGAAGCAATTTGCCGTTGAATACACTCCATCTAGCACCAATTATCAGCAGCTGGCGCAAGATGGGTGTTCGCAACTTACCTTGCTCGCGGCCTAGATGAGATCCCCTTATACCAGCCACAATACACTATTCCGATCGCACTCGTGGGACGGCCAAACCAGGGCTGTCTTTCACTGCCCCTCCATGTCAGCATGATTTCTGGTGACTGAGGATGGTACAGACCTGCCGTCAATGAAGTCTCGCATCAGCATAGGCAAACCAAAGACGAAGTAGCAGGCGTCAGCTCGATCATGCGTACACGAGGGCCCGGGATCACTCCGTACCGCAGGGAATGGATGTGGGCCATGTCTTCCAATGCATAGCCGTTTCGTACTTGCTGTTCGTGCGCCAGGCATATCTTCAAACGTGTCAGCACAAAGTGCAACTGGAGGAGAGATTGATGGTATTTGGTCTGGGGTAAACGAGGAACTGACCTGAAACGACTACTCTCGCGGCGAGAGATCTGGGGTAGATCTAGTATTGCGGCTTGGCTTGTCGCTTGCTCAGATACCACTGGGGCTTCATAGCGCTGGCTCTTAGCTCGTGGTTGGTAATTTGACGCATCACTGGCTAATTCTGCTTTTATATAAACCCTAAAAACCGTGATATCTCTCGGTTGCCGTCCATGCCAGGCTTCTCTTTGCTGTCGCCGGGGCTGCGATGGCTCGCTCAGTCTAGCATTGGACCGGGTCATGGCTGCCGACAAACCTTCGGATCTGACGTGGGACGAGGGGTTCATAGCCGCCCGAATACTATAAGCTCCTAATGCAGTGACAGTTAAGCTTTGATCGGACAGGTAATGCCGGAGAGATGAAAACACTTGGAATGTTACCGTATGGCTAATCGGAGGGCATCGAGCCCTCCTGGACCGGGCCCACTAAATACGTCGAGCGAAGGGCCGTTTCAATCAAGTGTTTCGAAGCAACGAAGGCGCAAGTATACTGAGAGTCAGTGGCTTGGCCCATCAGACTGGTATACCTGGCTGGTGCACCTGGCTAAGGACGATGAGGAATACGGCTAAGTCGTATCGAGGGCAATATTGACATTCGCCCTATGACGAGAAAGAGACATCAGCGATATTTTCCGAAGAACAGAGAGCCACAAACAGATAGACTCCGCACTGAGGCTCAAAATGCAGTCTCGGGCATTGGGAATAGGCAGTGGCAACGCATGGGGCAACTTACAAGACATGGGCTGGCTCATGGTAAAACAATCGGCTTCCTATATAGAGAGCCGTCAGCACAGGCTAACTACTCTCAAAACTGCCATAGTGATCGAAAGTTACTTCGCTAGTTACTACTGCGCGCGGGATTCTCGTTTGGTCAAGTCGGCTTGGTAGGGGATGGTTTCGATCTATTATAAACCATCAGAAGGTAGCTTATGGGGGCCCTTCTTACTCAATGTCTTCGTAACCTGGATTTATCATCGAGACCATTCCAGGCCCGTTGATTAAATTCCCAGAGGAACAGCCGAGAGGGAACTGATATTGAACATCTTCCACGTTAGCATAGTCTCAAATGATCGGGTAACTAAACTTACCTGCCGGTAACAGATTCCAGTGTCGAGCATAGACAGACTAGGGGCGATACAACAGGTCAGTTCGATCACAAGTATATCACAGTTCTGGTTCGGGTCAGTCCATACTGAAGGAGAGCAGCTGGCGAAGTCGAGAAGTGTTCGATAGTCTTTGCTCCAGGATGACGAGGGGACATTTGAGAACGACCGTTCTGCCGGCGAGAGTTCGGGTACTTATAGCATTGCACCCAACCCTTACCCTCAGATTGCAGCTGGTTCAACATTTAATCATTGATCCAAGGTAGAATTCGGAGACATCGCAGCTTTGTCTTGATGACTGAGTATATCGAAAACCCTTCCTCACTCTTGTCACCGTTTCAACACTCCCAGCGGTCCGCAGAAAAGCGCCGATGACACGTTTCAACATTCATCAACGTGGGTCTGTACTTTACCGTTACAGGAGGTGGCACAATAGCGGCCATTATATTCACTGATCATGAACACTTATTACGCTGATCAAACGCTGAATGTTGTTAACATCGTCATCGTCGTCCTTGTTTGGGGTTCTGCGCGAGATCGAGGTCTGGGTTACATTTGTGTGAGTGCCTTCTGTATACGCATTAAGGTATCTCCCCGTTTTAGCATCTCTATTTTTTTTTTTTTTTCTTTTTTGGTTGGTTCCTGCTATCGCTACGGAGCAAAACTGCTGCCACTCACATTGATTTTTGGTGCTGCTATTTAATTTCCCGAGACCCGTAAACAACCGGCTTTGCTCAATTATACTTCTGAGCGATAGACGAGGCTCGCAGCTTATTATTACCCGGAGGTGATTTTCTAGGGTACTTTGCCAGCCTGGGCAAGCCATGGCTAGAGGTAATATCCTACTATCCGGAAATCCTTTTCGGGGCCGCTTTGGGCGCGACGATGTACTCATTTCCCACGAGATAATCATATGGGGATCTCCGCTCGAGTTCGGACTGTTGAATAGTCCTCAATCAAAACACCGAGTTCAGTATTTGAGGCAAGACCTATTGCAAAGTACTAAACGATACTCTTCTCTATAAACCGTCTCTCTAGCCTCGAAGAAATACGGGTGATCAGTCGTGGCTTACCGTGGCCTTATTATTCCTGGGGCTTCTCAAGACTAAGAACATCTCAGGACAGTCATCTCAGAATGAGAACTCTCTCAAAACAGCTCTCTCATTCCAGTCCTTCTCCCAGCTACGAATCATGTATATGGAGACTGACCAGTTCCACACCCGCGACTGCCAAGGTTGCTTCATATTGTGAAGCCATATATTCCGCGAGGAGCTGAGACAGGTCTCCTATTTTGTCAAAATCATGGGAGGCGGTGGGGTTGCTAGTCCAACGGACCAGGCACAGCCCTCAGTTCTCCGATAAGGAATAAAAGCAATTGTCACAGTGGCCAACAATGCTGGGACATACGTACCAGCCACGTGTATACGTCGCAAGCGATCTAGCAGGCCATTAGGCAGGGAGTCAAAGGGATCGAACATGGCAATCTCCTCGATTAAAAAGCGACAATGATAACGAAGGACTATGGCGTCTTTCTTACCCCCACTTTGGTAACTTATGCGGCCATGGCTGCTCCAGAATTTAGCGGGTTCCTTCCCCTAGTCTCTGCGAAGAAGAACCGCGCAGGCTTTGACAAAAGCTTGCATGCTCTGGGCCTCGCCAGTAAGATTGGGGTGAATATCTGTTTTGGAACGGATCTATTGGGGCCCTTGCATTACGCCCATAGTAAAGACCTCGCCATTCAGAGCACTGTGCAGTCAAATTTGGAAATCCTTCGAAGCGCTACTACCACTCCTGCCCGGGTGCTGGGACAGGATAGCTTCCTCGGTTAGATTGCGCCTGGGTTTGCCGCCGACTTGCTCATATGAAACGCAAACCCTTTGGATGATATAACTGTGTTTCATCGGCCTGATGACCATTTGCTGGTGATTATCAAGGAAGGTCGTGTCGTGTCTTCGGGTTGGAATTTATTGTAGCTCGAAGCAAGCCCTCAGTCAAAGATTGAATAAACTAAATGGAGGAGGCAAATCAAGTTGAGCGGTATTGGAATCATTCTGGAAGGCCGGGAGGTGATTCTCGGGAACAGAATGAAAGCGGGGTCTGTGGTCTTTCTATAAGCGACGCTCCTCTATGTCGCTTTAATGATTGGCTTTCAGGAAAATGACTGAACGAAACTCCTCGACCCAGAACGCCTGAACCAAAAGGGTGTCGTGGGACTTATGCTGCAGGAATCTCATCAGATACAGACAATTTAGAGGCTGGGAAATGAAACAGGTTAACATAGCGTAGGCCCTTGCTATTCCCTTTGTAAAGTCAAGAAGTTGTCCCTTGAACAGCAACTCACGATTCCGAGTCAGTCACGTACGGATCGCCTCCTCTGTGCTTGTACATATGGGGTGGGGGGATAGCAGCCCTGTATGAAGGACGTATACACCCAACGTTGAGGCTTCCCGGAGGAAATCACGTTCCCTGACTGGGCTTGTGAGGAAGTGAAAAACACTAGAATGGGCACTAGGTTAGAGATCTACTGATTTATCGAGATAATTAGAATGTGCCTCCTGTCTGTGCTCCTGTGCCCAATATTGGGTAGGTGCACGACATTTCTGGCCGAATGGCCTGTGGCTAAGAATGATGGAAAAGAAGTTTATGGAAACCCCTGGAAGAAGGCTCCAGGATTAATTTATATAAAAGTTTGACTTTGAGAGCAGAGACAGTGTTTCAGTGTCAGAGAGCGTTCATATTGGGGAAATAGTGGCAGATATGATTAAGTTCAGATATATGGATAGCCCTAAAGTCTAGCCAGGTCAGTATTGCTGATATACTTGCGAACGAAAAGCGGAGTGTTGTTCCAGTTGCTGGTACCGTACTTCTATTATTTCTAATCCATTGGACTAACCTCAAAGAAACCATGTACTTCGCGCTTACAACTCATCACCGCTAATCCTATTAAGAAAATCAGAATGAGACATGCTTTTAGTCCATTATTGTGGGTGAAGTGATGGCGAGGCTGCGGTCCGATGTAAAAGGACTTGGGTGCTCATTTTTCTGTAGCATGGACTACCGTATGATTCGCAATCGGTTTCATCTTCAATATCTCTCTTCGATCCCGGGTTCCACTAGTGTCCTTCTCAACGCAACATGATGATCGTGGGCACGACCGTTATGAAACTATCAATTATTTGGGTATGGATTATTAGAAATACTATTAAATTAACGAATACCTCATAGGCCCTATTCTAGATGAAATGGGCTCCTGGGGCTGACCAAAGACCCAGCGTTACATTTCTTTTGATGAGTGCTTTCTTAGCCCTCGTCAACCTATGTGAATTAGACAAAATCACAAGTCGGGAAAGCGCTCTGCTATAGATTCGCCCTTTACAGGATCCAGTTCATCCAACCTTAATCTGCTTGCGAGCAACATCAAGCTGTAAAATCTCAAAAACTTTGCGGTCAAGTCTATAATCAAAGTTAAGTTATGGGTACCATGCATTAATAGAGCTCAGACTGTGATTTCTGATCAGCTCTCACATAGGTCCCATATAACAAGTACTGCAGATCCTGTCCGCCCATGCGCACAGAGTGCAAATTCGGTGACTTCTTATGACCCTAGGAAAAATGCCATTAAACAACTAGACATTCGAACAGGATCAATAGAGATATTCGACAAGATCCCGGCCTTTGCGAAGCGCATTGTAGAATTCTATACAAATGAGATCCTTTCACTGCATGTAATCGAGTGAAGGTACAAGAGTGGGACATTACCTTCATTGGATGTAATTCTTGGAGAGTCAGGGAAGGATGTGGGATGCTGGAAGCCCACCAGGCCGGCAGTAATCTTGAATTTCAGATTAGTGATCTATCAATCCACAACTTGCATAATTTAGCTCACTTGATAAAAGGCTATATCAGCCCTGACGAGTGTCTCCTTTTCTCGAATTCTTTCCATCAACTCCTGTAGTTGTGCTAATTTCGGCCACAACTGGTAACTTCGTAGGTGATTCCGGTTTAGCAGTCCTTTGCAGTTATAAAATTTGACTGAGCTGGAAGTAATGGTATAATTCTGCGCGACCAGCCATGTAATCAAGTCGATATGAGCGAGTAGTAGATATGTTGCATGGTCAACACATCGAGCATCGGAACGTGCCCTATCAATCAGATGGCCGTCATTCAATGCATTAGAGCTGTATTGTGACAAAGCCTTTTGGACTTTTTTCGTATTCAGCTTATTGTTTCGAAGACAAGTTGAGATGGATTGTGTAACGTGCCCTACACTCTCCAAAAAGTTGCTGGCTTCGAAGTCTGGAGTGGAGGTCATAGAAATAATACAGAGGCAATCTGCGGTCAGTAGAAGTATAATGTTTGTGTGTGTGTGAAAGTTTTGAGGTGTTGGTGGGGTTGGGATGATTTCAATGCGGGCTGTACATATTCAGTAGCCAAGGCTTATTTTTGGGGTAGAAAATTTACCGCCTTCTGGGCCTTGGTTCCCTTAATTAGACCTTGCAGCGATAAGGTCTAGATGTGCCCAGACCAAGCTTCGCCCCCAATCCTGCGGCACCACGGATCATTTTTAATTTACCATGGTTATAAGCAGTTCTTGATAGCGCGGATCCTCCCCAGCCACATAAAGGAACAGCATTGCGACACGACGCTTGAGACTCGATGTGGCAAATGATTATGCATGTAGTCCGTCAAAGCTCACTTGCTTTCAAGTTCCCGTCAAAGCAAATCGATTTGACTTTATTTTCTTTTACTTTCCATCTCTGCCTTTCAGTTTCATCGATTTATGGCGGATTTGTGCAACGGGCGCGTCTTCCAGTCCAGTGCCCAAAATAAGGAACGGAGCGAAAAGGTTTACCACCATAGTTTTACACAAGGCTGAATTTAAGCGCTTGCTTGGAACCCATAATAATAATAATAATCATCATCATCATCATCATCATCATCATCATCATCATCATCATCATCATCATCATCATCATCATCATCATCATTATCATCATCATCATTATCATCATCATCATCACCATAATTCCAAACACCTTTTTTGTTTCCTTTTGCGAGTCATACTGGGTAACCATCTGGGCCTTGGGTTGGGTTGTCCGTGTTTGGCGCCTGCCAGGTCCAGGTGTATTGCTGTCTGACGTGTTACACTCGTCATCGTCATTGCCATTTGATAAGGATTTCAAAATATGGCGCTATGCAAATTTGGAGCTGAAGCATCTGAAGGTATTCTCAGTCGCCACACCACTATGAAGTACAATAAGTGCTTCTTGCCTAACGGAGCAAATCAATGCAATATCATCATTTGGGGAGGGGGGGCGCCGAACTAGATCTGATTGGCTCATGGCCTTTTCGGTTCGGGCTATGTATGCACTTATCCTGTCGGCGCATGGAGTCGTATCTTACCACTAGCAAGCGATTGGTTGGTTACCCAGGAACCCATGTTTCCTTGTGTTTTGTATGGTAAATTGGTGCAACTCGCAATCTCGGTGTAATAACCACCGAGTATGGTCATATTCCGAGGGGATTTCAACCTGCCCTCGAACGCATGTTTTCTATTTCAATCAATCATTCTTTTGATCCTGAATTGGTTCCGCTTGATCTCATTTGTCCTGAATGCATACTAGTCCATACGCTTTTAGCTTCTTCTGACATATTCCTTATCATGTGAAATGAAGTCGCAGTAAATCAGCATCGCTAGGAACTGCCAGGAAACTTGTATTCACGATACATTGAGTTACTGTAACGAAAAATTATCGTCTTGTAGCATTTTCCAACCCATGCTTGTCTCTTGGGAGTCCTGATTTGTTGATCCAGAGTGAGGAGGGATGCGTTCTTGAGTCTTGAATAGCCTTCATTTTCTGGCGCACTCTCTTCCCGGCACTCTCAAGGGCAGCTCTTTAATTGTGATCTCTACAGTGATCTGGACCATCATGGCATTGAAAAACACTTAGTGGACGCTCTCTTAGTGGACGCTCTCTGGAATATGCTGCTCGTTTTCCTGATGGTACCCTCGTTCGCTGAAATAGCGTATTTCCAGTAGGGCCACGACGATGCCATGGCCAGTGGCTTTCATTCAAAAGAGGTTCACTCTCCCCTCGTATGCCGCCCTCCAAGGTGAATGGTAATTGAAGATCCCGCGTAGTATGAATGTTTCATCAATTTATGCAATCGCTGCTGGAGGCTGCTTTTAGCTCTCTTCCTGATCCAGGCCCGAACCAACCTGACTACCTGGACCGAGTCGTTTTCTTGTTTGATCTCTCGGCACCTCACACTTCCTGTTCTCATCCACAGGCATCGAATTTGGGGCCCTTAGTCCCGAATGAATGTTCTCATTTAATCTGGTGCCAACTGGCAAGGAGATAAATAGGGGTAAGACATCCATAGAATTCAGGGAATCAGACCTTTGCCCTCAATCCGAATCCTCCATATTGGAATCAATCCAACCCTTCTCCCCAGCGATTATTTCAACCAAAGTCATCGCCGCCGCCATGCTTTTGATCGCGATCACGTGACATTATGGATGTATACGTGATCGACTCGTCATCAGCATTGCCACTTGACAGGGATGTCAAAACACGGCATGTGCAAATTTGGATTTGAAACATCTCAGTATTCCAAGTCGCTATATCACAATGAAGTACAATCAGTGCTTCTTGCCTAACGGGCAGCGGATCAATGTGAACCCATCATTTGGCGGGTTTAAATTTGCTGTCGATGACGACAGCCTTTACGGCTCCTTTCCACCAGGGTGGTCGATATCTCTCTATACCGAGAACTTAGATGAGGGAAAGCCATCCATCAACGAGGACAGTCAGTCTCCAATCAGTCATGACTCTCCGTTTACAAAACCGACTCTCCTTGGCGATGTATTACACCTTTCTTCAATGTCAACGCCATCAATTAACGACACGAAGCCTGAGAGCGCTGTTACCAGACAAGTGGCCATGATATTATTTGCCACCTTTCTCTGGTATTTCCAAGAACCTGCACCAAACCGGCATGTACCCACGTCCAAAGGAAATGACATACCAGAAATAGCCAGAGCTACAGGAGAGTGGAGGCTAAGAGTTAAAGGAGATGGCCTTCTTAGCGGGAAACACCGAATGCAAAAACTCGAGAGAATGGGCCTAATTGCGACTGCCGATCCTTCAGTGGGTTCGCAAGAGAATCCAGAGACATTTTACGAGATGTTCATTAGTCAAAGAGCGTTCTGGCAATTGGATCCTTCGATCTATCTCTTTACTCTAACCCCGCCCCGCTTTCCTGACATCGATGAGACCCGGGATTATCTCCCATCATTGGATTCTTTTGGAATTGGGTTCCCCTTTGGCGCTGGGCCCCATACTTCCGGTTCCCTCATGCCATCATACTACCCTCCTATCCCACTTCAGTATATATTTACCGACGGCCTTCGCCATCCAATCCGTCCTAGAGCTCCACGGCAAGGGGAGGTGTTTTACACCAGGTTCGTTCCCAGCCGTAGTCAAAACCTGACTCTCCGCATACCTGTGGTCCCGATGAAAGGCTCATTGAGGACATATTCCGCAACAGAACAACCAAGCAATTGGAATGGCCCGGATCTACGCCTTGACTCTGAACTTATAAATGACTTGAAGTTGCTTCACCGATGGATGAACCACTATCCAACCAACACAAGCTTGATCCAGACGGATTCTTTAGATGCCCAGATGGAAAATCTCAAGACTTGCATGTCAAGCAAATCATCTTTTCCTGCACTAGCATATTGGGGCTCGACCGCAATTGGCTATTTGGAAATATTCTGGGTCCTCGAAGATCGCCTTGGTCGGTTGCGGGGCAATATAGGGGACTGGGATAGAGGTGTCCGGTTCTTCATTGGGAACAACGACTTTAATGACCTGAAGAACCTGGCGCTCTTCTTGAGCTCTGTGGTTCATTACTGCTGGCTATGCGATCAGAGAACCTATTCCGTCTTGGTAGAGGTTGGAGCAGACAATGAAAGGTACGTCTACAGGGTAATGGGCCTTCCAATAAATTTCCAATTTGGCAATCCCAATTTTGTTAAGTTAGTACTGATTTATGCAACAGGTTCATTTCAGGTCTACAAAACATCGGTTTCTTCAGAGAAAGCGAAGTGTATATTTCCCATGAGCATGCCGTCGTCATGAAAATTAAGCGCAGTTTGTGGGTTGCGCCTATTAACTGAAATTGTCGATCTGGGAAGTGGTATTTTACCACTACAGACAGGTTGATTCAGCGGCCACCCCAATTCCCCATACGTTTTGTATGGTAAATCAGGTCAATGCGCAATACCTGAGTTGTAACATGCCAATACAGTGGAATTTCATAAGTTTGCGGGTCCTCTCGATTATGTAATATTCTGCCAGTATCTGACGTGGGGAAAGCGGAAGCTTTACATCTTGACCGCGTTGATTTTTCCCTCGGAATTTAATAATGGCATGGGACCAATGAACGTCAATTCGGCTACGCAAAAGTCAACATTGAACGCTGAAATTTCAATCGCAACCAAGGCGAACCGCACTATCCAATGTTTCTAACATAACCTAGAAAACGCCCGATACCCAATTGCCTCAACGCCAACCGGATTCTTTCTATATTATTTCATAAATAGGCATTGCTTTCTTCATATCATCCATCTAACCCCGAATATCGTCTGCGAAACATCGAGTAATACCCACATTTACTCTCTTGCTGATGAAGAACTCTGGGTCTTGATCCTTGTAGACCTGCTCAAGGCCAAGACCATTCTCGAGCATCACGTCACAGATTTGTCGAAATGCAGCCTTGAGGGTATATTAGTGACATTTGACACCTACCGCTTACCGTATTCCTTGACGGCTTCGTCCCTAGATCCGGGAATCTCGAGTGTGCTTAAGGTCTTTAAGTCAATAGCCGCCTTAGTAGCCGAGATATCCAACCATGGGGCGGAAGACTGCAAGGCCAGAGCATTGATGCGACGGGAACTTCGAACGAAGAACGAAGTTAGGTGGTGCATTCAGTAGCATGTCGGCCTTGTTAGGAGGTTCTGGGGAAGAAAGAAGAGATATATGAAATCTCCCAAAGAGTCGTCGCAACAATATTAGCAAGGTTCTCTCCAGAGTGGCTGCCTGTGATTTCAACAAACTCAATACAAGCTTGATGTTGCTGGAAAGCAGATGACATCCAGTGAGCATTGATTACTAGCATTGGTAATGAGTTCTGGCTTGTCCAGCCATCAAGAGACAACGCGATTGAGGATGCCGAAGCCATCAAGATTCGAAGTTCACCGTCAATAGCATCAAGCCGAAGATTTAATCGGCGCGAAACAGTGTCCGCACTTGGTATAGACGCCTCAAAGTCTACAGACCTCAGCATGGTCTTAAACGAAGGCTGCTCGACGCATGTAAACGGCTGACAGGTAGATATAATCCAATCTAAGATAGCCTCTTCGAATGGGGGCTTTTTTTCTTTGGCAATCCATGAGCTTAACGGCCCTTGGCGCTCTGATTGACCGTCCTGGAAGAGCTTGTGGGTCTGCTGCAGGTGCTGTTTCAACGCTGTAGTTGAAGATCGTAGTTTTGATGCAAATCGAAAGAACCGACATGTAGATGGTGATACAATACACCGATGTTTAAGCTCGGGCCGGTCTTTATCTCCTAATCTCCACGTACCAGATTCAGGTGTTGTTTGGTAGTATTTCCACACCCAGCTACGCTCTTTCAACCTCGTCCCGTCTCTCTGCTTGATTTCGACACCCTCGATCTCGCATTCAACCTGAGATACTGATTGTGAAGGGCCTATATCCGTATCAAGATTCGATAAGCTGATAGAAACGTTGCTGGGAGCGGTCGGAGAGGTTGAAACCGGAGTAGTTGGTGAGTTGAGGGCGGACCGGACCGCCGTCTTTTTTCGAGGTCGTGGAAGTGGGGTATCCTCTGCAAGGAGGCCATATTTATGAAGCGCAGCATAATCGCGTTTATTCTTCCTGGTGTTAGGACAGTCGAATGTGGTTGCAAGTGGAGATGTCATCTGTAACCTGATATTAGTATACATATCACGCTTGTGTCATAATCCATCGCTTACTTTGGAGCACCAGATAGGATGGTTTTAAGTAGCTTTTGACCAAGATTTGGATGTTGTTCTTGGTAAAAGCACGTCCGCGCCGAGACGCGTTCTTTTAGGATCTCCGCTAACCCGATTAGACTATCTATTCACTCTACATTGTATATAACGTGCAACTACTGATATTTTGACTTCATATCTTAATACGGTCTATAAGCTGATGCAATTTGAAACAACCCAGAGAACAGATAGGATTACAGATTTGTTGGGCGATCTTGGAGGGTAAATATTTTGGATAAAGGGTTGGGGCGAAAATTGGTATCTATTGCTACTGCTCTAAAGCTTGTTCAATCAAAGCGCTCTGACAGCGTAGCTACCTTTGAGCTTGTTAATTGACTAATTATTAAACTAAATACTGCATGTGATGTCGATTGCTGACCATCGTGTAGAACAACAGATATGGTACGATAAAGTCGGACGTGATTTACCGCTTTCCAAATAAGGGTTTAGTACAAAAAGTTCGCGAACTCCGAATCGAATTCGAATCGGTCTTCAATTCGAGGTCGTACGAACCGTTATTTTCAATATTAATTCGATTCGTGCGGAGCGGTATATGCCATTTGCAACTCTTAAGGCAACACGGCGGGTGCAGGTCGTAGTCTGCTTGTGAATGGGAACCTCAAGCCTGGGCACTGATGTTTCAGGAATCGGTGTGGGGTTTACCTGCGGTGGCGCATGCCCTAGGTTTCTTGAACATTGTAAGTGGCCAGAATGCCGTGCAGGAGGGTGCGGAGAAAATTGACGGTTCGGGGGTTGATTACGTCAGTGACGTCAATGGCCGCTTAGGACTAGTTAATGCCAGTCGCCACAAGTCGATCACCACAACTGGGGAAACCTTTGTGACAATCAACGAATTTATCATAATGACCCGCAAAAATCTGTCTGATGAAGACCGAAATCAACGGGAACTTGGGAACGTTAATGTCTGGGTACTCGGCTCGAGTATTGGCTCCTTGGCTTCTGCAGTTTTCTTGATTCGGGATGCAAAAATACCTGCTCCTCAGATTCATCTCTTAGAGTCCCGGGAGCACCAGCAGATGGACTGCCCACCACAGGTGATGCGGTGAGCGGTTATGACCACCGATCTTCATGCCTGCCTATTGTTTGCGACAAATATACCGAGTACCTACTTTCTTTAGTTCCTTCGGCCGCTCGTTCAGAACAGACAGCACTACGGCTCCGCACAAATCGAATCGAATCGAACTTTGGCCAAATTCGATTCGATTCGAATTAATATCGAAAATATCAGTTCGTACGAATTCGATTTGAAGACCGATTCGAATTCGATTCGAAGTTCGCGAACTTTTTGTGCTAAACCCTGATTTGGAAAGCGGTCAATCACGTCCTACTATATCGTACTATATCTGTTGTTCTACAAGATGGTGACCAATCGATATCACATACAGTAGGTAGTTTAATAGCTAGCTAATTAAGAAAATCAGCGATAGCTCCATTTAAGCTGACAGAAATTGAGCAATTTGGCTTCGGGTTGAACAAGCTGGAGCGCAGCATCAGCAGATATAAATTTTCGCCTTAACCCTAGCCAAGATATATACAGTCAACTCTCACTTATTGCACACCCGCTCTTAGCACACTCCCGCTTATAGCACACAATTCGCTTGGATGGGCCCACTTTTTCTTGATTTTACATACAAAACTCCCACTTTTAGCACACTCACCCTTTGCACACAATTTTCATCCTATAACGTAATCCACGGCCGAGCTGCGCACACGGTCGGCCTGCGCACCCCATCGAAAATCGCGTCTTCCAGCCACTCTGCCTAGTTCAATTACCCACCATGCCACCAATTCGCACTGAATCTTCGCAGAAATCGGCCAATCAAGAGGGCAGGATCTTATTAGCCCTATCCGATATCAAAAATGAACGTATCATATCTCTTCGCGCAGCAGCAAGGCTATATGATATACCCGAATCAACACTCCGCAGTCGCGCAAAGGGTATATCATCACGCGTCGATATACGCCCAAACGGCTATAAATTGACCCAACTTGAAGAGGATTCGCTTACTGAATGGATACTCTCTATGGATTCGCGTGGAGCAGCCCCTAGGCCCTCTACTGTACGAGAGATGGCCGATATTCTTCTTGCAGCGCGTGGAACAACCCCCCCCATTGACTGTTGGTGTTAATTGGGCGTCAACCTTTGTTAAACGACGCGATGAGCTTCGAACACGCTTCTCGCGACGATATGACTATCAGCGTGCTCTTAACGAGGATCCAAAGGCTATACGAGAGTGGTTTTTGATGGTACAACGTACGATTGAGGAGAACGGTATCCAACCGGAGGATATCTATAACTTTGATGAAACTGGCTTCGCAATGGGCCTTATATCAGCACAGAAGGTAGTAACGCGAGCAGAATACTACGGTCGGCGATCAATCCTACAGCCAGGAAATCGTGAATGGGTTACTGCGATTGAAACGATATGCGCTGATGGCTATTCGCTACCGCCGTGTATTATCTTTAAAGGCCAGGTTTATATTGCTGGTTGGTTTGAATCAAATCTCCCTAGGGATTGGCGAATTGAGGTTTCGAATAACGGCTGGACTACTGATGAGATCGGCCTACGTTGGCTACAAAAGATCTTTATTCCATACACTAATTCGCGCGTACGAGGGCGATTTCGTCTCTTGATCCTCGACGGACATGGTAGCCACCTTACACCTCAATTCGATCAAATCTGCTCTGAAAACGATATTATACCACTCTGTATGCCTTCACATTCATCGCATCTTCTACAACCGCTTGATGTTGGGTGTTTTGCTGTTTTAAAGCGTGCGTACGGTCGATTTGTGAGCGATTTAGCCCGAACTGGCTATAATCATATCGACAAGCTTGATTTTCTAGCAGATTATCCTCGCGCACGACTAGAAGCTTTCCAGCTAAATATCGTACAAAGCAGCTTTGCAGCTTCTGGTATAGTACCAGTTAATGCAGAAAGGGTACTTTCTAAGCTTAATATCTCTATCCGAACACCTACACCACCAAGCAGCAGACCAAACAGCAGATCTAGCCAATTCACACCAAAAACACCTAGAACAGCGATTCAGCTAGAAAAGCAAGCTTCTATGCTTAAAGAGCTATTAAACCAGCGATCACACAGCCCGCCTACACCATCAAAAATCATGCTTGATCAGATTATCAAGGGCCACTGTATAGCGCTACACAACACTGCGCTACTAGCAAAGGAGAACTCCAATCTACGCGCAGCGAATGAAAAGAAACGTCAAAAGCGCACTCGATCGACTAGGCAGATTACTCATGAGGGGGGCCTATCGATCGAAGAGGGCCTACAGCTAGCTCAGCAGCCAATTCAGCCGGTAGAAGCTAATGAGGTGGTATCGCATGAACAGGGTAATTTGCCTACTCAGCAGGATCAGCCACGCAGGAGGGCTCTGCCTACCTGTAGTGGATGTGGAGGAAAAGGCCACAAGATTAATCAATGTAAAAAACGCTAGATTAGTATTAATTAATGTGTTTCGGTTGCGATATTCTGTTTTAAAACTATATCATAGGGGTGGGTGCGCAGGCCGACCGTGTGCGCAGCTCGGCCGTGGATTACGTTATTTGCTGAGTCATCCGCTTAGTCAGTCACATCGACCAATCAGAATGCCTGAAATCTCCTATCTTCCACCTCTTCCAACTGTCAGACCAGCTACACAAGCTGCTCTACCACCAGCAAAGCGTGCTCGATTAGGCATATCAGATGCCCAAAAGCAGGCATTACGTGCCTTCTGGTCTAATTCGAGCCCTAGACCAACCCAATCCGCGTGTGTAGATTGGTTTTTGTCCCAATTTAAACATAAGATTAATCGTACAACGGTCTCAAGAATTCTATCATCTCAATATGATTATCTTGATATAGGGCTTACTAAGGCAAATTCACGATTTTCTTCATCTTTCTGGCCTATTCTAGACCAGAAGCTTTCGAATTGGGTGAATAAGCATATTGAATCAGGGTTTCCAATCACTGGTCCTTTGATCCAGATCAAAGCAAACGAGCTTTGGTCTCAGATCCCTGAATATCGAGATCAACAAAAACCTGCTTTCTCAGAGGGTTGGCTTACGCGCTTCAAAAACCGGCATAATCTTCGATATCATACTTTCCATGGAGAAGCTGCTTCAGTCCCATCTTCTGTACACAATCATATAGAAGAAATTCGTACGATATGCGATCAATATGAACCATCTGAGATATATAATATGGATGAAACTGGCCTATTCTGGAGGCAGATGCCAAATGGGGGTCTTTCCCATGGAAAAATTGCTGGAAAGAAGAAAGATAAGACTAGAATATCTCTTGTCGTTACAACAAATGCAGATGGATCAGACCGATTACCTTTATGGTTAATTGGAACTGCAAAAAACACCACGTGCGCTCCGGGGAGTTAATTTCCAAGCTCTAGGATGTGTCTGGCGTTGGAACAAGAAGGCATGGATGCGTCAAGACATTATGAGGGAATGGTTATATGCTTTTTATAGGCGTATTCCTATACATAAGAAAGCATTATTGCTTTTGGATAATGCCTCTCCACATATTGCTGGTCTGAAGTCTATCTCACCACCTGCTCATATTAGGGTTCTTTTTTTCCCAGCAAACGCAACTTCTATATATCAACCTCTAGATCAAGGGATTATTCAAAATTTGAAGCACTATTATCGGAAGAAATAGATGCGCTGGATGATTGCTATCCTTGATCGAGGTCTTGATCCACAAGATCGTATGAATATATCTTATACACTCTTTTGGTTAACCCAGGTTTGGAAGAGCTCAATATCAGATCAAACGATTAAGAATTGCTTCAAAAAAAGTACTTTAATACGTTCTGAAGATGAGACCAAAGCTATCCCAGATGAGATAGAAGCTGGTTTTCAACTAATTCCTGAGCCAGGGTTAACTAGTGAGGTTCAAGCTCTATATAATGAAGCAGTTGAGAAGCTTGGTCATGATGATATTATACCATTTGATCAATTTTTGAACCCTATAGAGGAAGATATTATATATGAAGATGAGACTGATGGGCAAGATATATATTGTGATATAGAGAGCTCGGAAGCACAAGATATTGAAGAAAATGGGCCTCCACCAGAGATTCTGTCCAATTCTGATATAATGGGTCATCTACAGGATATATTACTATGGGTTGGAAGCAAGGAAAAGAGCACATCAGACCATATACGTCAGGTTGAGAGCTTAATCAGCGAGTTTGGCAGGATTCAGGTCGAGGAGAAGCGTCAGGTGACCCTAGAGGATATGGGATGGAAGCCTAAATAGGCAATGGGGCTAAGGGCTAGCTAATTTATTGATTATGTCATCCTCTCACTTATTGCACCTCCCGCTTATTGCACATGATTTTCCTTGGATAGGAGGGTGTGCAATAAGTGAGAGTTGACTGTAGTTCTACTCCCAAGATCGCTCAACAAGTCCGCAATCTTATCTGTGATCAGTTTTATTTCAAATAATACTAGCTCATAGACCGTATTAAGATACGTGTAGTCTATCGATATGGATTCAAAATATCAATAGTTGCACGTTGAATACAATGTAGTGTAAATGGATAGTCTAATCGGGCTAGCGGAGATTGTACAAGCACGCGTCTCCGCGCGGACGTGCTTTTACCAAGAACAACATCCAAATCTTGGTCAAAAGCTACTTAAAACCATCCTATCTGGTGCTCCAAAGTAAGCGATGGATTATGACACAAGCGTGATATGTATACTAATATCAGGTTACAGATGACATCTCCACTTGCAACCACATTCGACTGTCCTAACACCAGGAAGAATAAACGCGATTATGCTGCGCTTCATAAATATGGCCTCCTTGAAGAGGATATCCCACTTCCGCGACCTCGAAAAAAGACGGTGGTCCGGTCTGCTCTTAACTCACCAAATACTCCGGTTTCAACCTCTCTGACCTCTCCGAATGCTCCCAGCAACGTTTCTATCAGCTTATCGAATCTTGACACGGATATAGGCCCTTCACAATCAATATCTCAGGTTGAATGCGAGACTGAGTGTGTCGAAATCAAGCAGAGAGACGGTATTAGGTTGAAAGAGCGTAGCTGGGTGTGGAAATACTACCAAACAACGACTGAATCTGGTACGTGGAGATTAGGAGATAAGGAGCGGCCCGAGCTTAAACATCGGTGTATTGTATCACCATCTACATGTCGATTCTTCCGATTTGCATCGAAACTACGATCTTCAACCACAGCGTTGAAACAGCACCTGCAGCAGACCCACAAGCTCTTCCAGGACGGTCAATCAGAGCGCCAAGGGCCGTTAAGCTCATGGATTGCCAAAGAAAAAAAGCCCCCATTCGAAGAGGCTATCTTAGATTGGATTATATCTACCTGTCAGCCGTTTACATGTGTCGAGCAACCTTCATTCAAGGCTATGCTGAGTTCCATGGACTTTGAGGAGTCTATACCAGGTGCGGACACGGTTTCGCGCCGATTAAATCTCCGGATTGATGCTCTTGACAGTGAACTCCGAATCTTGATGGCTTCAGCGCCCTCAATCGCGCTATCTCTGGATGGCTGGACAAGCCAGAATTCATTACCAATGCTAGCAATCAATGCTCACTGGATGTCACCTACTTTCCAGCAACATCGAGCTTGTATTGAGTTTGTTGAGATCACAGGCAGCCATTCTGGAGAGAACCTTGCTAATATTGTTGCGACGGTTCTTGAGAGATTTCATATATCTGATATAGTTATGACCATTACAGCTGACAACGCATCTAACAATGATACACTACACCGATGTCTTTTCCAAAGGCTATGTCAGCGGTACGATGAGTACCTGGCCGAAACTGTTATTCGAGAAGGGACGATGAAGTTCACCCAGAACTCCCAAATCCGCTGCTTTGCTCACATTCTCAATCTGGTTATGAAAAAAGTATTGAGGTCGTTACGCGTCAGTTCACATAGGGAAGCTTGTGACTTCCTTGATGATGTCACTAAGAGGAGCTGGAAGACAATGACTGTTCCTACTTCCCCGATTGCAAAGCTTCGGCTACTTGTCCTTTGGATTGCGCGATCTCCGCAGCGAATACAGAAGTGGGATAATCGGCCTGGCTGTACAAAAGCCATTCACTACGAAGTTGATACTCGATGGAACTCTACTTTTGTTATGATTGAGAGAGCTGAAGAGTGTCGCCGGCAGCTCGAAGATACAGTCAACGATGAGCCAGATATTGAAGCCTTACGCCTCACACCTAACGATTGGAGACACCTCTCAGATATCAAGAAAATCTTGGCTCCCTTCAACGAATATACTGAGTACGTCTCTCGGGATAGCCCCTCGATTCATATGGCAGCGCGGATGTTTGAAAAGCTCTGTTCTATACTCTTGGCTATTAAGGAACGGCGAGGCAATTGGCAGAATGTCTCGCCAGCTCTAACTGTTCCTATCTCTGATGATATCACACTTCTGGAGCACTACCACGACTACGTCAAAGATAACGACATATACTATATCGCAAGTGTTCTGGACCCTCGAATCAAGACCAAGTGGCTCAGAACTCTGCCAGATGGAGAGAGGATTATCAACCGAATCAGAGAGTTCCTCAAAAAAGCATATCCCACTCCGAAACAGCCTATATCGACTGCTCTAAACACCAGCTACAAGAGCTTCGAATATAGATTTCTGGAAGCCTTTCAGCCCACACAGTATAACGTCGCTGAGTCTGATATCGACCAGTATTTCGATAGCCCTACAATCAGCACTGGCTTCGATATAAGTCAGAGCCAGACTGAATTTATACGAAACTGGTGGAAGATCAACAAGCTTGAATTTACCTGTATGGCTAAGGTAGCACAAGATCACCTTGCTATACCAGCAGCAGAGGTGGATATCGAGAGATTATTCAATAATGGGAGAGATGTGCTTGGAATTCGACGTTTCTCCATGAAAGGAAAGACGCTTGGGACATTATTAAGGCTGAAAGATGCTGAACGTTGGAAGTCTGAATAGTTACATAGTTGTAGGTTTTACAGCGTAGAATAAAAAAATCATGAACCGTACCTAGAACCACCTTCTACGTGCAAATCCAATGGATACAGTGGCCAGGGTTGTTGAGGTTATGGCTGTCCGCATGAGCAAACCCCTACTTGAATGATGTTACTAGGTATTAGTTCGCGAACCTGTTCGAAATTCGCGAATTTTGACGATTCGAGTCGCCTATAGATTCGAAGCCCGAAACCCAAGGTTCGAATTCGATTCGATTCGCTGAAATCCGCGAACTTCGAACAGTTCGAAAATTCGTGCGGAGCGGTATTCATGTTTCACCATTTGACTAGTGCACCGTATGGGTCTGCTCAAGACCAATCGCTTCAGGCGCTCGGAGTTTCCTGCACTTTTCACGGAAGCCTAGTCGTAAGGTGGGATTCGGGGAATTATGAGTTGATAGCCGAAAATAGTTGATCGGAATGTGAAGGGATCAGATTCCATTTGCGATCCTCTTGCTCGGTTGTTAATTTCAGTATCGACGGACTTATTGATGAAAACCTTCCACTATTGCATATAGACTTATTGCGGATCTTCGAACTACCATCATGAATCAGAGTACACTACTCAAATATAATTGGAAAATATTATTGAAACAACCTTTCCTGTCCCCAATCAAATTAGTCGTCAGGCTTTCCTTGTCTCGTTGTAGTACTGTAGTAACCATCTTCCCGTATCCACTTAGTTCCCAGGAGATCGATGTAAGTATTGCTATACGCAAAGACGAGGTCGATAGCAGAAAAAATTGTTCAGCGAAAACATAATCGACCTAGTGACTCACTAACTATACAAGGGACTCTGTCGTGGAATGGGGCTGCGCGAATCAGTGCCTCGCCGTACCATAGCTTAGATCTACTTGATCTTGTGTAGGTGTGGCGCAGTTTCTCCGATATGTGAAGTAGGCAATGAAGAGCCCTGCGGTTGGGCTGGTTGAGATCTAGGGTCGCAATATAGGATGGTGTCTGCCTGTCTTTGATGAGGTGTTCGTTGCGTGGAGTGACGGGCTCATCACCGTTGAGAAGAAATGATTTGACCTCGTCGCCTCACCCGTCGCATTAAAGGGCGGACCCACGGTGGTGAATGGTAATAACCGTCGTCGGTTCTTTTCTGCGGCATCCACACTGTTGAAACCATGCGAACAGCCAGAAAATATTTTTCATGTTCTTGATCACCAGGAACAAAATGCAATGTCTCTGAGAGCTGCTTTGAACCAATGATGAAATGTTGAATCAGTCATTATTGAAGAGTAGTTTGTGTTTGAGCCCTCACAATTCACAATGATCATCGCATCGAGATAGGCAGAACGACGGCCTGCAATGCTATAAATACCCGATCCGTCGCCAGCAGAACAGTCGTTCAAAGCATCTTTGTCACCCGGGTCAAAGAACATCGAACGTAGTTCGTGTCTGCGGCTAATCTTTGGTATGGATTGACCTTCAAAACATGCAACTAAGTGAGCTGACCTCTTACATTGCAATAGCCTAACCTTTCTTAATCAAGTCTTCGAAAAAGTGAGTGTAGATGCCCAGTCATTTGAAATCATCCTAACGCGGAGGATGCTCAATATTAGCCCCGCCTCCGCTATTTCTCTGAGAATCCATTGAGCGAACCTTTCAGGATCCCGAATGGTCCAAGCTGCGAGCACAGTGAGTTACAAGTTGCCTTCATGAACTGCCTACTGATGACTGATGATAAATAGATGTCATCCTTTATACAGTCCCCTCTAGCGGACAGAAATAAGTGACAACGTAAGTTTAAAGACTGCAGCAATTTTCAAGGCAGATATGACGTGCTGGCGACCCCTTTATAGGATGGCGAACTTTCTATCGCGAGTCGTTCAATGTCTTGTAAGTCCCCCTAGTGCTTTGTCCCTGCCCATTCCCAACGCCCAGTACTGCATTTTCAATCTCAAGATGACCGCTATCCGCTCGTGGCTCTTCGTTCTTCAGAAAATATCGCTGATGATTCTTTTTCGTCATAGGGCGAGCTCCAATTTTACACTCGACCTGACCGAGCTATGTTCCCCCCCTCGTGCTCAAAACTAAACCAGCTGCAACAACCCGATGGGCCAAGCCACTGAATCTCACTACGCTTGCGCCTTTGTTGTCTCTGAAGACGTGGTTGACACGGCCACTAGGCCTGGCGGATTGAGCGGACCCAATTCAGAAAGGCTTGATGTCCTCTGGTTAGCCATACGGTAACAGTCCAAAGTGTTTTCATTCGTCTCTTCAGCTTTGCCCTGCCCGGACAAAGGTTGACACTCAATGTCTTAGTAACTCGCAATATTCTGACGGCTATGAACCCCCTGCCCCACATCCGATCCGATGGCTTGTCGGTGGCCATGAGACGGCCTCACTGTTGACCGAGCGAGCCATCAGAGCATCCGCGACAACGAAGAGAAGCCGAGAATCGACGGCCACAGAAAAAGACAACTATTTCCCCGAGGAGCATCAATCAGCAAATTGAAACGAGCTATTGGCAATAGTCTAAAGGCCAGATATTTCAACCACTGAATCAGCTGAGCAAGTGATAAGACAGGCCGTGGCTTAGATCTACCCTAGATCCCTCGCCGCGAGAGCAGTCATTTTCAGGTCAGGTCGAAGTTTGTCGTAAAAAAATACCATGAATCTCTTGTCTAGTGGTGCTTTGCCCTGACACGGTTGAAGATTTGCCCAGAGCCGTGCATTGGCAGGTATGGCTACATCCATTCTCCGTGGTGCAAAGTGATCCCAGGCCCTCGTGCCCGTGGGATCGAGCTGACGCCTGTTACCTCGTCTCTAGCTTGCCTATGCTGATGCCCGACTATATCTACGGCAAGTCTATACCACCTTCGGCCACCAGAAATCATGTTAACATAGAGGGGCAGTGAGAGACAGCCCTAATTCAGCCGTTCTGACGAGTCCGATCGAGAAAGTTCATTATAGCTGGTTGGGGACCTCATCTAGGCCGCGAGCAAGGTTAGTTGGGAACGACTGTCTTGCACCAGCTGCTGATAGTTGGTGCTAGATTAGGTATATCCAGCGGCAAATTGCTTTAACCCTGGCCCAATGCAGGCAGCGATTCGAAGCTGGCAAGTACGCTCTCGTCATCAGCGAAGAATTTGGGCAACCAACCGACCATATGGCCAAATCACTGATATGAAGATGGCTGTTTTCTCCCAATGTGGCCGCGGGCCGATCGAATGCTCCCTCCTCGATGTCATGATCGAACGCCATGAACTCATCAGCAGAAGCAGCCTCGTAAACTATGGCCAGTCGATTGCTGCAACGGTTACAACTGCTCAATCATTACTCGAAATTTGCCAGGTCGGTTTGTGATAACTCGTGGATAAGACGTAATTGTTGACTTCGAAAGTAGCAGTCATATTTCTGTCAGTGGGAATGTCACGTGTGCCCGACGCGAGACGCTGCGACGCGTCAGGCACGGCCTCGTCGCCTCTAGTCTACCGCCGAGTGCTGCCTTAGGTCGGTATTTTCAAATGACTACAGAAAACATTTCATAATCACGAGGCCCAAGAGATAAGAACGTATGCAAGACAAGCCGGAAAAACAAGCGGGTTGTGAATACAACGATGAAATGCATAGACGGGTACCGTCTTTCTGATGAATGGTCATTCAAATGCACCCTACGTGAATCGAACCCGGTTCGTTATTAAGAAGCAAGCGTGACGTTTTCGACTAGACCACGCGAGCAGACGCGCTGGTGGCGCGAAAATTGCCTCACTATATCCACCATCTTTTTGGAATATCATAGCCACCGTTTAGTCTCGACCATTATCCAGCTATATTACCTCTTTGAGCTCCACAAGTCTCTCATTTGGCCATGCCAATGGAAGATGATATTCGAAAAAAGGGCCAGAAGAATGGGCTTTAATCGCTGACATTCTGATGGTTTTTTCCAATTCTACTGCCACAATGTACGTGCGCGTCCGGGGATATATATTACGCACATAATGAATGATCATTTATCGACATTACAGTACGTTGCGAAACCGGTGCAACAACCTCCACTCTCCGAGAGACTTTCTAGACTCACCGCCAAGAGGCACTAGAGCACTTTAAGAATAGTTCCGGAATATAAATCTTCCTGTATCAGTCTCGATACTGTTATTTACTTTCATTAAATACGGTGCCTTGTCTCGTAATTGTATTGGCGACCCAGGGGAACTAGAATTTTCCAAGGAAATGCAAACATATCAAACACTAGATTTGGGGATTGCCTCGAGAACCTGGCAACCTGGACACTTCCCTCTGCCACTCCTATGTCCAAGTGACGGGCTGGGGGTCTTACTCGGCACCGGAACTTGCAAAGAGTAGCTTGCATTACTTGCTTACTATCCTGTCCTTACAGACTACTCATGAACTTGCTTATCATAATACTCAGCCTGTCAGCCACTGCCTTTTCATCTTGACACTGTAACATACTAGGTCGAAGCTAACACACGACCATGTTAATAGACTCCTCAGTGGCATCTTCTGCTTCGGGGGATGACTTACACTCCTTTCAACGATGATAATGATGATGATGATGCTTACCGACCTGAACTGCCTAATCAATGGGAACGGACTCCCTCGTATGCCCCCACCCCTGGTTACCCGGACCGCGAATGGACACCATCAGTAATCTGCCGTTCACCCGATCTTGAGAACATAGTTGGTCAATATTCACCTTCTTTGCATCTACATTCAATCGACCAGCAGGGTTTTGATCCTATTGTTGAACGTGCGGATGGGAGTGCTTGGGATGAACAATCTCCGGAATGTATCCACTACCAGATCGAGTGGAGGGTCAAATTGAACAATCGAGTGGTGGTCAAGGATACCAAACAGGACCTGACTCAACCGCCTAGATCCTACTGGGAACAGATAAAAGAGGACGCTTGTAACATTCTACGACGGAAGACAGCCCGTGGCCGACGGGTGAGACTGGATGATACTGACATGGTGTTATCGGTGAACTCCCAACGGAACATTGACAAACATTTTGAAGGTACTAGTGTTGATTGGACAGTGGTAGAGAAACAGCTACTAGCGTGGGCGTATCTTTTCCGACGTGGCAAGAAGATCCGACTTCAGATATCGATCAACTACATAGAGGATAGTGGACCTCTTCCCTCCAGAACAGATAAGAGAGGAAAGTCGTCGGTGACCACACGGATGCTCGCCGACCGAGACGCTCAGATCGACGCGGAGCAGGTCTCCGGCCAACATTCCGTCTGGCGTGATGTGTATCGTGTCATGCGATGTCCTGGGCCTCCATGTCGCCACGAAGGACAATATTGCTGGCAAGATCCAGAGGGAAAGAGGCACCACAGATTAAGGACACATCATCTGAAGGCCCTCATCAAATATGTGGAGCAAGGTGGAGTTCTCAAAACCCACGCTGATGTCCCCGATAGTGTTCGCGAGCAGCTCTATGCCGAGGAGAACCAGCGTCTGGACAAAAAAAAGGAACCTGCGGAGAATGCTACAATGGGTTCAATGTGTCCTCCCATCAATATCACTGTCCTCCCGGCAGCATCATCTCAGCAATCGATATATCCTCCTGCTAATGACTCCATGCCCACCGGCCCCGGTTGTACAGAATCAATCATGGTTGACGGCCTCTTAGATGTCGCCGTGGATGAATACACTGAATGGCAGCAATCCCGGGTGAGCAATGAGACTTTCAGGGAGAACATCAACAAAGCACGCGATGTGACCCTCGAAAACTGTCTCGACCTCATGCAGATCTATGAGGATCAAGACCCAGGTTTCTTTGTCAAGCACGGCGTGAAAGTAGGTGCCGCCCGGCGATTCGTTCGTGACATCGGTCTTTGGGTGAAACGACGCAAAGAACCGACTTGTAACGAAAACATTCCTTTAGTCTAGATATTTTATGTACTGTGATTTGACAATCAGCCTACACTGGTATGACATGCTGCATTTATCCTTTTGCATGGGTTCGTAATGAACTGTAATTCCGTTCGGCGATCAGATTCCCATACCAAAGTAGGTAAGGCCGCTTGAAAGTCCTTTCCAAATACGCTGGCACGGTACAGTATCATGGTAGGGAGGATATTGTCGGATTTTAACGAATGTCATTATTGTGAGTAGAGTTTGTCCGCCACTTAATGAGGTCAATATTGTTTCAGCTTTAACTCCCACTGGACGTCAGACCTTCTGGGACCAGTCCTCGCATCAATTTTTGGACGTATCAACCTTGACGTTGGTCCTGCAAACGAGGCAAAGAGGCGCTTGTAGTTATAAACTTGGCTTAGCGATTTAGGGTCACATGATGGTGAGGCTGAGGACTGCCCCACTTTCAGCTCGTGGGAGTCCAGCAAGGATGACTATCACAAACCACACACGAGGCACTTTACTTCATCATGACATCGATATCATTTGGGGACAGAAATCGTGGACTCCAGGTTGGGCAGAGCAGTGGCTCGATCCACGCTGAAATTCATCTGCCTCCAGGTTAGAAAACTCAACCAAGATCAAGGCCGCCTGACTAATAACCGCTGCTCCTGTAGAGCGACTAGAAACTCCGCCGAACCCATTATCAACTGTCCCATTCGCACGCGATCCAGACTTCGTCTATCGTAGGTCCCTGCTTCAGTCGATTCACGAGAAAATCTCGATCCCAGGATCGAGAATAGCCCTAGTCGGCCTCGGCGGTGTCGGGTAAGTGGGAAGCGACCAGTTCGTGTCCCGTAGCTCACAAGTGAGAGGAAATCGCAACTTGCCATCGAATACTCGTATCAGATCCGATCAGAGTCACCAGAGACATGGGTTATCTGGGTCCACGCAAGCAATGAGGCCCGATTCGAGCAAAGTTTCCGAGACATCGCCGACCAGCTAAAGATCCCTACTCGTCAAGATCCTAAATCCAACATATATAAACTGGTCGAAAACTGGCTGCAGGATGAGAACAAGGGAAAATGGATTTGTATCCTTGATAATGCGGATGATGACAAGTTCCTTTGTTCGCCTCCGGCAGCTAGGAAAGGGTCTTTAATGAAAGCGCCACCAAACGCCTCAACGAAACCTCTTTTAGAATACGTTCCCAGATGTCGGAATGGATCTATAATCATCACAAGTCGAAGCAGAGAGGCTGCGCTCAGGATGGTCAAGCATAAGGACCTTATTGACGTAAACCCGATGGCAAGGTCTGAGGCACTAGAGCTTCTTCAGAAGACTCTTGATCAACCCGAGGAAAGCCAAGAGAGCCAACAGTTAGTGGAAGAACTCGAGTTTATGCCGCTTGCAATAGCCCAGGCCGCATGCTATATTCGAAATCGGGCGCCTCGCTATTCAGTATCACAATACCTGAGAGACTTTCAGAAGAGCGATAGCGAAGCGATAAAGCTTCTCAAAAGAAGAGGCCGGTCACCTTGACCGGGATTGGGAAGCAAAGAACTCAATTCTAGTGACTTGGCAAATATCATTTAACTATATTCGCGACGAAAAGCCATCTGCAGCGGAACTACTTTCTCTTATGAGCTTTTTCGATCGACAAGGCATACCGGAGAGTGTTATCCGCCAGCCACCGGCTAGCTGCACCTCAAGGACAGAACTCTTCGACAACTCTTGTGACGGGGAAACATCTGAATCCGACGGAGGTCTGGAATTTGAAGATGATGTTACAACTTTACGGAATTACTCATTCATATCTATTAGCGAGAATGGGACTTCCTTTGCTATGCATCGACTAGTGCAACTGACTACGCGCGCATGGCTGAAATCTCATGGAGAAACAGAACGGTGGAGGGAAACATTTATCGCTAATGTGTACGGAGAGTTCCCTACGGGTCGATATGAAAATTGGGGGAAGTGCCGGTCTCTCTATCCTCACGTTCGGTCAGCGATGTCTCAACGGCCAGAATCACGAGAGTCTCTCTTGAGATGGGCCACGCTACTTTATAGAGGCGCATGGTATGCGTCAGAAAGCGGCCATATTGCGGATGTAAGGGAAATGGCATCGAAATCGCAAAAGCATAGAGTCGAACTGCTAGGTGCGGAGGATGACGAGGCCCTTGCGAGTACGGCGATGTTGGCTGAAGCCTATTCACTAGAAGGCCGATGGGAGGAGGCGGAACAGCTCTTCGTGCAGGTCATGGAGACTCGCAAGACGAAGCTCGGCGTGGACCATCCCGACACGCTGACGAGTATGGCCAACCTGGCATCGACGTATAGGAACCAGGGCCGATGGGATGAGGCTGAACAGCTCAACATGCAGGTCATGGAGACTCGCAAGATGAAGCTCGGTGTGGACCATCCCGACACGCTGACGAGTATGGCCAACCTGGCATCGACGTATTGGAACCAGGGCCGATGGGAGGAGGCTGAACAGCTCAACATGCAGGTCATAGAGGCAAGGAAGACGAAGCTCGGCGTGGACCATCCCGACACGCTGACGAGTATGGCCAACCTGGCATCGACGTATAGGAACCAGGGCCGATGGGATGAGGCGGAACAGCTCGACGTGCAGGTCATGGAGACTCGCAAGACGAAGCTCGGTGTGGACCATCCCGACACGCTGACGAGTATGGCCAACCTGGCATCGACGTATTGGAACCAGGGCCGATGGGAGGCGGTGGAACAGCTCGACGTGCAGGTCATGGAGACTCGCAAGACGAAGCTCGGCGTGGACCATCCTGACACGCTGACGAGTATGGCCAACCTGGCATCGACGTATAGGAGCCAGGGCCGATGGGAGGAGGCGGAACAGCTCTTCGTGCAGGTCATGGAGACTCGCAAGATGAAGCTCGGCGTGGACCATCCTGACACGCTGACGAGTATGGCCAACCTCGCTTCCACCTGGAAATCCTTAGGGTATAATACCCAAGCTCTCGAGTTACTACGAGATTGCCTGGCCAGGCAGCAGCAAATACTTGGGAGCAATCATCACCATACCATATCCGGTTCTCAAACCTTGCTGGAGTGGGAAACAGAGATGTTGGATATTGGTAATAAATGAGCAAGGTACTTGAATATACTATTTTTCCGTCACAATGGAGCTAGCGTAGTGGTGTAATTTTATAGAATAATTTTGGAATCATAATAGACTTCATATAGGGTGCGCGAAAGAGCTTGCCGGTATGATCCTGGCTAGCAGACTCTAGTGGCATATTCATGTTCAGAGTATTTCGAGAGATTGCAATTACCCACAGCAGCCAGCACATGCTCGCAAGAATCGACGGTATACCGTATACTGCGGATGATCTACTCGAGAGAGTCTTCATTCTTTATCTATACATATCACGATTTTCTAATTAGGCCTCAGGAAAACGTTCTGAGTCAACCGGTGAAATGGATCTCGAATCCGCTGTAGCCATGCTACATCTCCTCTATAGCCACGCCGGCATGCCGGAAACGGCCCTTTGCGCTTTTCTCCCTCGCGCCGACGACATCAACACACCAGTCGAGGAAGGTATCAAATCCTTGGTCAGGATTACCTTCATAGGACTGCCAATTTCGCCGAATGAAGGCTTTCAACTCAGCAAAGAACTCCTCAATAGGATTCAAGTCCGGTGAATATGGAGGCAAGTACACCAACTTTACCCCGGCTTCCGAGCACATCCCTTCTATTCGGTCTGAGTGATGAAATGATGCATTGTCCATGACTAACACAGACTTCGGCTCTGGCCACTTCCCACAGTGCTGCAGAAGCTGCTCAATAAAGTCCTCAAAGACGACGGCATCGGTTGAGCCCTGGAACACTCGAGACATAACAATACCATCTTGGGCATAGGCGGGTAGTATCTGATATCTCTGATCACGATGGAATTTGGACACTTGAATTGGCGCTATACCCAGTGGGGACCAACCTGTTCGCCTGAAGCCTATCCTCTTATCACATCCAGACTCATCCACATAGACAAGGTGGTAAGACTGAAAGTCTGAGATATAGTGAAAGTATTCGTCACGGAGCTCTAGGTTGCGCTCTCGGGCCATGACGCGGGCAGTCTTTTTTGACCAGCCTTTGGACCTAAGGGCACGACTGATGCTTGCTTTCGTCGCGAGAAGAGCGAATTCGTCCCACAGGAAAACCGCCATCTCGTCGAGGTACAAGGTAGGTTTCTCGAGCAGGTGCTCGCATAACGCGTCGAGCATGACTGGAGTGATGTTACGGGGTCGTCCGCCCTTATTAGGCGGTGCTTTCACGCTGCCAAATACGTATATTAGAAGAGATTCTTCGAATACTACTCTTGTTGCATCCAGCAGCCTCTGCCATCTCCGAAACAGATAGTTCCCCACTGTGGATCATGTCATAAATAAGCTCATGCTTGGAAGCAGCTAGGTTTGGAGCCATCTTTGGTTCGACCACTTGTGATTGATTGTTAAGATGAGGCGTCCCGAGGAAGTCTATGTTGGAGGAGGGGTAATGAGGTACCGGATGTATTGAATTTACAAGCGAATACGTTCCCGTAATTAATGTGTAAATTACGTAAGAAGCAATACAACGTTGAATTGACAGGGGTACTTCGGAGAACTCTTAAAATAGACTAGTGGATCTTGGTGGTGGGTCTAGAGAATCTCTCGAAGTGTGTAGGAAGGTGCACCGGTTTCGAGACGCACTGTACCCAAGAGCGCCCCCAGTGAGCTCGCACTGGGCGACAGTCCTCGCCAGGCTGTTGGGACAATGGATTCATACCTTCTCGTGGTGTCCGGTGTTAATCCCCGTTGGGGAGACCAAAGTGAATCCGACGTGGTTGTGCGGTCCGGCCCGGCGCGGTGGGCGCGGGGCACGACCGCACAACCACACCAAAAATCAGGGGAAAACGGCATATGAAAACCATCCGACTTCTTCTTACCCGACTCGCACTCGGGCCCAGACGCTGGTCTTGCATTACCAGTTGAAGTGGTGTCGCCCTCAGGAAGAAGACAGGACACCCCTGAGCTTGCATACGGTCTGGGATCGCATCGTGCGAGATGCGGCGAGGCGGTAGTGAACCAGCGACGCAGGCAGTCAAGCTAACATCGGACAGACCTCGTTCAAGGCCCAGAGGCCTCGTTAAGACTCGAACTCGTTAAGGCTCGGAGACGTCGATTACTGGAGACCTCGTTAAGGCGAAGCCACGGGCAAGCTCTGGTGCGGCTGTCCTTCAAGACACGGGCACCGCCGAGACACGGGCAACCCTCTTGGGAGACACACGGGCAATCTGGAAGATATTGGTGGTTGACTGATGGCAACTGATGAAGCTCGTTAAGGCTGTGCCACGGGTAAATCATCGGCCCTGTCCAGTCACTGGGGACCAAGCTTGGTTAGTAGAGAGCAACCGACATACACTGCCGGCTGGAGCGTATACGAGGGCTCTCTGCAAGACACGGTCGGCCTAGTGGAGGGAGACCTCCCTAGGTAACGCGAAACGAGAGCAACAGCTCTCGCGGGCGTGGTGTACAATGGCAGCCACTGTGGCAGGGCTGGGTCCTGCCAAGAGACTGTTTGTATAGCCCGAGAGGACGGATGCGCGTGTCGGTGTACAAAGAGACGGGAGTCAACTACCTCACTCGCACTGGGGGCCTGAGACTGACCTAGGTCGGTTGAAGCGGTGTCGTCCTAGTTGGCCTGCCCATGATGTATGCTTAAGGAGCAAACTAAGAGACACCCAGGGTGAGAGGCCTGGTGAACCTCAAGAGTCCAGAAACCTCAATTATCGGGTGAAAAACTGGGGTAGTGGTCTATGCAAGTAGGCCTGTCAAAGCTACTTAATGTCTTTTGGACCACCGCTCACCATTATACCAAGTAGCGGACGCGCTGAAAAACATCGATATGGAATCGCTGGAAACCATCAACCCTTTTACACTGGCACCATGGGAAGCACGCGTGCAGACTGATGAGCCCATCTCAGAGGGGTCAACTGTACCAGGCGGGTCAATACAGATTGCGTTCAGCAGCTCAGCGCGGAACGAGCTGGTCGGATTTGGTGTGGCGATCGAGAAACAACCACCACGCTATCGGAAAGTAAGACTGAAGACCTTGTCCGTCGCGTTGAGTACGAGAACAGAGCAAAATCTATTTTCCGCGGAGTTGGCGGCAATGGCGCATACACTGAAGACACTCGTGGGATTGAACGACTTTAGGATCACGTTGATCACGAGCAACAAAGCGACAGCTCTCACGCTGAAGAATCCGCGACAACAGTCGGGTCAGGAATTTGTCTGTCAAATCTACAAGCTGATGAGAAGACTGCAGAAGCATGGAAATCAGATCAGCGTCCGGTGGATCCCCACTAGCGAAGACAACAAACTACTAGGGCTGGCGAAAGAGCAGGCGAGAGCCGCGACGCAAGAAGATGCCATCCTGCAAGGACAGGTCCCCAAAATGAGATCGACCACTCTAAAGATTGCGCGTGCCCAAGCAGTCCCCAATAGCGAGTTGCCCGAGAATGTAGGGAGACACTCCCGACGAGTGGACACAGCACTCCCAGGAAAACACACGCGACAGCTGTATGACCGATTATCGTGGAAAGAGGCGAGCGTGCTAGCCCAGCTCCGCACGGGCATGGCAAGACTCAATGGATATCTCTTCCGGATCAATGCCGCCGAGACAGATCAATGCACATGTGGACAAGCAAGAGAAACTGTGGACCACTTCCTCTTTCGATGTCGGAAGTGGACTGCACACCGGACAGAAATGCTGCAATGTACCCACACTCACCGAAGTAACATGTCCTTCTACTTGGGAGGGAAGTCATCCTCCGATGATCAAAAGTGGAAGCCAAATTTGGAAGCAGTACGAGCCTCAATACGGTTCGCGATCGCTACGGGCCGGCTTGAAGCCACTTAACCTTGCCGACGAACGCAGATAGAACACCTTCTCCTACTAACCCCAACACCTTGTGACAGACAGTGGACGCGCTTCAACTGCCGAGGATAGGATGTTGAACACTTGAAGAAGCGCCTTCAAGCTAGTCTACTAACCAATACTTACCCACAGGGACCAGCTATGAGATTGGAAGTTAAGATGTCAAATACGGAAGGAAATGATGTATGGGCTCCAAGGAGACACAGCGTATACCCAAACATGCATGTACTGGTAGATTAGTGATAGTTGCCCTTTCGGCTCGGCCGCCGGGCGTTAATGAATTGTGTGTGTGTGTGTATGATGAAATAAAAGAATGAGAAATCAAGGAGTTTTCGATAATGATAAACGGAAAGGCGATATCAGGCTTATAAGAGAAAACATAACAGAGTTATCGTTCATTCAAGCTTCAGATACGGATCTCTCGAGACAATTTTTCTTTAGAATAGAGCACAGAGCACATGAATTAATTACCGGGGCTTTCTTTTTTAGCACAGTTTGGTCTTACCTTGAGTCTTAAAATCAAAATGAAATTCATTTGAAAGGATGAGTAGCCCAGATTACCATCTGTGCTCGTGTACACTCGTTGTATTTCTGATTTATGTATGTATTGTCAGTTCAACTACCATTTCTATCTGAAATTTCCGCAGAGGTTATGGACGAAGAACCCCGGATCAAGGCATGGCAACGTAGGCAGGGTGGAGTACGGCGACATCATGAAGTGCTGGGTGAAAAGAAGGGGTTCCAAGCGGGGCCACATAGACAGTCGGAAGCGGGCTGTCTGCGTCGCAGAGCATACTTGGGAGATGATGCCGAGAATCTGCTTGCGCACCCGAGAAAGATTTCCCATCGCGGTCTCGAATCGTGGCAAGAAAAAAAGGTGCTCACCCATCAACTCCTCACTGAGAGAGTCAAATCTTGAAAGACGAAATTCCACCCAGTAGAGCTTTCTCCGGTAGCAAGAAGGCGGAAAAGTGCACAAAAATATCCTCCGCCTTGGTAGACGGAGACAGAGGATCCGGACCTGTCCACAGAAAGCTTTGTTGGGTTTCATGATTCGGATAAAAAACACAGTCGACCAAAGATAGCCCGTAAATCTCAGAGCTGGAGACCCCTGATAGGTCAAAAGGATTTTGCTTCAATCCGCGGCGGTCGGTAGCAAGGCAGGGGGGTACAGCGGGTACGTTAGAGGACTCCTGCCAGGCTGCGTGGATGTCATCATCGGAAACAAAGTCTGCTTGATGGTAAGTATACGTTTGGGGAGATGTGAAATGGACTTTACCAACCCATTTGGGCCAAATGATTCATTTCCTCGGACGTCGGTAGTTCAAGGAGCTGGAGAGAACAGAACTGGATCATTGGTATTAGATCGACGAACTTGCGAGTTAGAAAGGGAGCGAGCAATAGGCCAATTTAACCTTCTTATCAGAGCCAGACATCGTATTTATCAAAGGTCCATCGATAATTCTATTTGAGCAAGGTATAGATAGTCACAAGCTCAACGGGAATTAGCTCTCGACTGCATCGACGTCTCAACGGTCATCCCCGTTCATCGTAAGAGAAGACTATCCAGCGTCCTCGCTTTCATACATATTCACCAATGTTTGTTGATCACTCAGAGATAATTTTACTAGTCAAAATTCCGGTCGCACGTCCGTAATATCGACACGATTCCATTTTGAACAGCGTGGGTTGCACGCCCACGGTCCCAGAGTACCAGGGCCTGCTCATTACAACGCTGCTGTAGAAGACCATTTTCGGCTTTTAGTTCGTCATTGGACAGCGAAAGTTGGCGTCGTTCGCTCTCGAGTCGGATTTTCTCAGCAGATTTGACAACATAACATTGCCAGAGACATAAAAATAGGTCGAGTAGGTCGAGAGCTGGCCTCGATATGGAAGAGCCCATCCGGAAAATCTGCTTGGCCTCAGTTGGCAAAAGGCTGGCAGCGCCAGTGGTGTTCTATTACATGTCAACTAGGCTCCCATTTTGCTACTGGGAAGATCCTGACCTTGAACTCGCTACTTTCACGGCCCGAAGATTCTCGGAATAAGCTATGCAGGTCGGCGGTAGTGTCATCCACACAGTGTTTGGAGAGCTGCCGCTGTCTTTTAATTGGTCGCTCGGTCGATGAAGAGCGATCTGGTGCGTCCATTTCTTCATGTACGAGCTGCATGGGCTGAGTGAAGAGAATCTTCAGAGGTTTCTTATATGCTATCATGGAAGGAGACACGCGAAGCCCAACATGTTCTCCACGCCCGCAATTATCAGCTTCTTACCCGTAATGGAGCTCTATAACGACGCATGTTTCAATCTAAGCTCGTTTGCCATATCGCATAGATGAGGATCAACAACAGGGTCGCTCATGAATTGAGGCGGAGAAAAAAAGTTCCGTGACAGTATTTCTCCCCGATTACTGTCGAGCTATCAATGCCGCGCCCTATGAAGGTTGGCATTATTCTCAATCCATCAAGTTCCTGGCCTTCCACCATCCCATTCCATACCTCTACCGGCCTTTCAATGCAGTTTGTATCGCCCTGCTGTACAAGTCTTTTGCTGATTTTTGAGAAATCCACCGATTCTCCATTTTAATGATGAGGCTGTACTTGCACCGCGACAGCTGTGGAGATCATTGACCCGCTTCTGGATTGCCTCCCGAATTGGACCCTCCTCGGCAAAATAAAGCGATGCCCCCAAACTGTTACGATCCATTCTCCGGTCCTGCAGCAGCATTTCAACGACCACCAAATGTCCGCCTTTTACTGCAAGCAACAAAGGATCCTCGAACCAGCGATTCTGGTGGTTGAGATCAACTTTGGGATGGCGCAGTAAAATTCGCACCATCTCCGAGTCGCCCGCCCGGGCGGCGATGCACAGGGCGGTGTCTTGGACGGTAACAGTGCTCTGGTTAATTGCCAGAGCCTCGCCCTGCCGGACCAAGAGCTTTACCGCTTCCAAGCGGCGGTTTTCCACCGCTCGACAGAGGGGGGGGATCTGCCAACTCGGTCGCATTGATCTCTACGCCTCCCTTGTTCAAGAGCATCGCCATCGCATGGGTGTTGCCTTTCGCGGCCGCTTCGGAAAAAGGAGAGACGCCTGCCACACAGAAGTTGGGGTCGATGCCAGGTATCTCGAGAAGCCACCGCAGAGCGACTGTGTCACTCCTTGCGACCGCGTGGTGCAGCGAAGTGGAAGGCGTTTGGGTCTGACCACGACCACCCACGAAGTTGATATCAATGCCACCCGCCTTTAACAGCCTCTCGGTCGTGTCATCGCGCGATAAGAACGTCGACAACCAGAGCGGAGTGTTGCCGTCTTTGTCTCGACAATTTACGTCGGCGCACGTGTGGCTCAACAGCAATTCCACCACTGCCAGACGCCGACATCGAACAGCGAGGTGGAGTGGAGTATCTCCGTTGTGATCCTGAGCATCCAGGGCCAGCTCCTTCTGCGTCAGAAGTAGCTTGACAGCGTCTGCGGATCCATGGGCTACTGCTTGGTGGAGCGGCTGCTCGCTGTTATCAGTGGTCTGATACCCGGCGGATGGCCTGTAGAAAGAGAGCAAGTGCCCAGCTTCCTGTGGGCCTACAAAGATCCACTTCATGGATGGCCGGCCGATGCGCCATGCCCATGCGCGGGGTGACTTGCCAAAGTCATCTGTAGTGAAAGGATCGCTGCCGCTGGAGAGGAGCAGATGCGCCAGGCCCGTTTTGCCCCACCAGACCGCGAGATGGAGGGCCGTTCGTCCTCGCCTGTGCGGGAGGTCAACTTGTGCACTTGGGACCTCCAGCAAACTCTGTACCACAGAACAAGTTCCGTATGTGACAGCATACCATAGCGCGCTTTCTTGCGCCTGGTTTTGGAGGTTGATATCCAGCGTGGGGCTTTCCAGCAGGAGCTGCAATACGTCATGGGATGAGTACTTGAGAGCCCTCATCACCGGGGTCTTCCCTCGAAAGAACGCGTTGACATCTGCCTTGCGATATAGAAGTCTTTCGGCGAGGTCAATATCGTTGTTCATGGCAGCGAGGCCGAGCAAATTGCTGTTTTGACATTCGACGTTGATTGCAAGTATGGCCGGCTGTAGCCTGGCTCTGAGATTTCGACATGATCTCGCAAGAGCAAATCTCTCGCTGCTCTCGAGATATGCTGCAACTCTGTATAAGACTGGGTTGGGTAGACCTCGCAGATGGGGCTGCTTCGAGTTTAGTATGTAGTTGCGAACGTCAAGCATGTCCGTTACGAACCATAATGAATGTTGGGATGGCGAGCAAGGATAGGGCAATAAAATCGCGCGTAGAATTATGGCCTCGTGAAAAGAGCGGCCGAGCCAGTTTATATTGTGCGTCGTGCCACTACACGGCAATCATCGTACCTGAACCCACCAGGGTATCTTGTAGTACAAGAATGCGTCGCGAAGAATGAGGTTCCTTAAAGCGTATTGTAAGAGCAGCACTGCTCATGCCCCCAGGATTGCATTCATAGTTCCTAGGAGAGCCAGGTTCCGGGGAGCCCCCCCACGTATTTCCAGGCACTACCTTGAACCCACAATGGGACTGGTGCTTGAAGCAATGCACTCTGGATGCAATGAGACTACAGTGGAGCGTTCAATGTGAATCTTGGTCCTGATTTCTACCCGCAGTCTTATTTGAGTGGGTGTGACAGTTCATCATCATGCCGTTTCGAAGGCAACTATTCGAGGTTCGATCCAGATGGGCTTAGACGACTATACATCCCATTCGTCCGCTATACGAAACACCCTCACCCATATGGGCCCTATCATTTTATCTAACAGCATTTTGTTCCGTTTGACTTTTCTATCCTTCTCTAAGGCCAAGAATCCTTGCATGTGTGACTTCTGTTAGGTGGGCGAAATTCAGTCAATCAGTGTTTTGACTCGTCTGAACGACCGATTCTCTTTGAGCTTGCTAATTTCGTCAAAAGCGCCAGGAGATACCGACAACTTACGTCGGTGAACTTTGTCGCGTTGGCGCGAGGCTGATAAGAGAGAATAGTGGTCAGGATACGGGCCAAATGGGCAATATACGGCCTGTCGTAGACCATACTCCGTGTCAAAGGAAGCCATAGCTCTCATTAATCGTCATGTTGTTCTAGGACAGCGGATGTTACGAGGACAGCGAAACGCGATAGCAATGTGAGGGTGATTTGAGACACGACTTGCTCAGTCCATATACTTCCGTCTTTTGCTTCTCGGCTCTTGGGCAGATGAAGCTGTTTTTCTCTCGATCCGCGGCGGACCCGAATGATCGATTGGCCCGTGCCTGTGTTGGACATCAACGAGAGGCTGATCGCCGACGACAACGGAGGGTCCAATCTCCGCCACTGCTAGGGGATACATAGGCTCCGGTATTAGACCGTACAATGCAGACCTTTCGTTGAGTGAAACCATCGCGTAGTACCTTTTGAATTCATCCAAGTCTGCAAACAGGCATTGTTTGGTCCGCTGCGGAACGAACTGCTGACGGCACCCGCAGACTGCAAGGTCCGACGAGTCCAGAACTATATGGCAAGTATCAGAATTAATTGTCAACCCTAAGCGATGATCGATCGAGGCTTACCTGGGTTCGGATGCAGAAGCTCCTGCTTCATGCTGATACAGCTTTCCTCGTGTAGTATCACATGATACGCCGCCCTATCGAGACCATGCTTCCGAAACAGCTCTGTCTCGTTATCTTCCCAAGCAACCGTCAAGCCGCCCTTCGAGGGCGTCAAAGTGATCTGGTGTGGCATGTACCGGAGTAGACGTCGGATATGGCGCATGTACCTCATCTCAGTGGTCCGAGGGGTCTGAGAGTCTCCAAACACCGACGAGATGGAAAGTGATAGGAGCTCCTCAATGATGTGGCCGCAAAAGAAAGGTTCGCGCTTTCCGCTTTCCCTCTTCGCACTACGAAGAATCCAGTTCCGGCACGATGTTCGCTGATGTGTATCGTCAAAGTCCAGCCATCGGCGGTGGACCTTGAGTGTCCTTTGCTGAGGATTATACACAACATCCGCCCTACTATCGAATCCTTCGACATAAGCCACTTGAATCCCCTGCATCGAATCCAATAAGGCAAAGCATGCTCTCAGTGCCTTCGGCACAGTTCTCGAGAAGGTGGTACTCGGGGGGCTACAGATCTCGGCATTTTGGAAAAGCATTGAAAGTTCTTCCGCAGCACTGCGGATAGGCGTAGTCGACCGCAGTAGGCGCCACAATTCTCGCGACAGCTTCATGGGCCTTTTTCCAATGGTCTCTCGTATCATCTTGACATCCTAGATTTGCGTTAGCCTGTGACAAGGGACACGGATATTGGACTTCCGACAAACCTGGGCTCCGGATGTTTCGCAATAGAAAAAGTCCTTGCCCTTGGACTCCTGTAGCAAATACGTCCAGATGCGAGATATCGTCGAGGGTAAGAGCAAATCAGCAGCCAGACTAACGTCCATCAGCGCTGGTGTCTTTCGGAGGAGGCTCACGTATATCGGAAGAAGGACGTCCTCGTGCGTTTGGAGGGCGGACTCCCAAATCCGGCACACTCGCTCTGCCAGTCCATGCCGGTCCATGAGCCATCGCCGATCGCGATTGAATTTCCCCTCTGTAAAGTTATAACCAAGTTTGAACGGGTAAATCGAGTTTGTTCCAGAGATTAGCACACCGTGGGCATAAATCCTACCAAGGAGATTTTGGTCAAAAAGCAGGTCCCCGTGGCTTGTCTCGACAACCGAGGACGGGTAAGCGAGGCCACGAATATCCAACGATATTTGCAGCCACTCAGGAAATTCTTCAGGTGCCACCGGCCGACCCTGGGTGGTGCGTCCAGGGCCGATGAGCACGGCCACATCTCGTTCGGGGTGGAAGCGCAATCCGGCAATATCTTCGGCCCAGTCCGTCCGGGTGGACCCAGATTGGCGCGATGGGGTGATGGTGCAATGGAGGCGAGACTTGCATGGCTCCCGCAAATAAAAATTCCAGGAACACCGACTGGCCGCCACTTGCAACCTATACCCATCCCGAGACAGAGCCACGGCTGCCAGCTTGAGTCCGTCGCCGTGGGAGCCCGCCAGTTGGTTCTAGTCGCCCTTGGTCGTGAAGCCCAACTCGAGAGCCTCAAAGGGCAATTGCAGGCAGGCGTTCGCCAAAGTGACCCGACTGGACTTTTTGTCATACTTGATGAATCCCAGGGATCGGCGGCCCTCGGGGTCCGCGGGGTCTGGTACCAAGACGGCGTAATGATCGCAGGCGTCGACGAAGTATGGCCGGAAGGCGATTCGATCGATCTGGAACCGTTCCAATATGGCGTCCTTCCTGTTTTATGATTTAGTCTCATGATCCGACAAGACGACAGACACATACCAATTCTGATATAGTTCCCGAAAGGCATCGGCAGAGGTCCAGTGACTCACGTAATGAGGAGAAACGCCGAGCGAGACAATTCGCCGCGAATGCACAGCAGTTGGGGATGATCCTTTCTGGCACTGAAGAAGTTCGCGTTCAAGTTGCTGATTCGCGTCAGTCATCTCGCGACTATCGTCACCGGAGTCAATCTCCATGCGGTCGGCCATCCTTTTGCAGGGGGGTAGGTGTCCCTGAGAAACTAGGCTCTTTGTCGGCTATTTATATTCCGTCCGTCTGTAAGCCTAGCGCATAGCTCTAGTACGGTAATGCATGGCCAACTAGATAACGGTAACCAACGTCATGATATCAAGATAGAGCCAAGCAAAGGATCTTAATGGGAGAACGATGGTCAACCACCACCAATCCTGCGGCTGTTTGCCCCATCCCTTCCACCTAGACATTTGTATCATTCTGGGCCTTGCCATAGATCTGTCTATCGCCGCCTGGCTTCAAGGATGGTATGAGGCTTTTGATCATATATGGAAGTCTTCAGTCATGGCCTTGCGATGATTCTGCATCGTCGACAGTCGGTGCTCAACATTACGCAACAGTTGCACCCAAGTTGTCAACAAGAATCAAGATCTTTACGGAATTCGGGAGTGCCTCAATCAAGTTCAAATCATCTTGTTGAGATGAGTTCACGACACGCTGTTTCTGGCCGACTCTGCAGACTGACTGCGGTGTACTCGTTTCACCCGCGTCACCAACGTTGACGAGCCAAATGATTTGTCACAGGTCATCTGGGCCAACCAGGGGCCTCTGGTGGGTCAGCGCTTTCCGTGATTCAACCATCTTAATGCCCAGTGATGATCCCTGCCAACATATCCCAGAATTACTTTTGCTTATTCTTAGAACTCAAGCATTATGTTCCTCACCCGTCATCACATTTCTTCAACCTTAAGCTACCCAGTACTACCGCACGCCCATAATTCTATAAATTGAGATGATCTCTGCCTTGCTTGAAATATCCAAGTCAATTGTGGCACTTCATATTAAAAATGCCAGAGAAAAGAGAGGAAAGTGACAATGAGATCCTCGAGGTCCTATCCAGTTACGGAGACCTGAATATTGAAGAGACGGATAACGATTCTACCTACAGAAGGTGACATGTCGGAAACCAGCGAGGATCGCAGATTTGTGGCATCAGAGAGCGATGATGCCACATATTCCGACGAAGAGTCGCTAGGATCCAGTCTTCCCTGCATACACCACCTCATGGATGGTCAGGAGACATCGAGCAATGTAAGTGTGCCCATGGGATTTCTTTGGGCTGCCGAGCTAACGGGAGCAACCAGGTCGGCAAAAAGATACCGATTAGCGCCATTGCCTCTCGCTTGATCTCCGAAGATGGAATTTCAGTGGTACAGTATTTGGTCTTGAGGCAATCGTGGGAGCGCGAGATGCCGCATGAGTATGTTGTGAGCGAGGATCTGTCTTCTTCGCCAAGGTCATGTATCTAATACGAGAAAGTTTTGGATGCCGTCTCATTATTCAATATCGAATGCTCACCACCAGCCTTCTATGCAATACCGAGACGAATACTCAGATTGAAGTCAGTTTCATCTCACTGGATGGCAAGTCGGTCTGTCTCGCGTTTTCTTCGGAGCAGGTTACCGATGGATAAAGTGCCTCGCCAAGGGTTCAAAGATCAGGTGTACTTGCTTCGGAGCTCAACTTCTTTTCTTCGAAATTCTATCATCCCTAGCACTGCAGTACTGTAACAACCAGAATAACACTGTAGTTCTGTCCAGAGACTTTAAAACCCATCGAACACATTTGAAATTTTGCGTATGCGGAATTCATACGTGCACGAGTGTTGTGAGTCCCGGAAAAGACATACTAGGGAGAATTCTTTACGTTCGGTCCATGATTATGAACTTGGAAATACGCCTGTCTGGCTCTGTCACACAATTAAGAAATTTTTGAATTAAGGACGTCTGTATCGAAAGTTTTCTAAAATCTTTTCTTTCGGCATCCTTACACAGAAAAAAGTGAATTCTGTTGGACAGGAAATGGCCCTCACTAGACACAGTAGCGTATTGTGTCTTCCTGATCATCTGAGTATCTATATGTGACACAATTCCTTCTGTATAAGATAGAGTGATCATCATTTATACAAGATGACTGATATGAAAGGGTACTGGTACCAACAAGAGAAAACGAGCTACAGGTGCCATTTCTTTCAAGCGAGCCTGAGCAGTTAATTACCAGACTTTGGTCACTATAAGGATTGAAATTGCCAGCCCAGCAATGAAAAAAGCAAGATGTACCCCAGAGTTCCAGCCATAATCGAACCCATTATGGCGTATAAGCCCCATGGGGTCTTGAACCTGAATGTTCCTTGGCTCTCAGCCGCCGGTGTAGCAGCCGTTTCTATGCCTGATGGCAGCTTTATAGGAGACGTGGCCAGAACTTTCTGGGCGGAGATTGAGGAGTTTAGTGTGCCTGGTAAATTTGATATTGTGGTCATAACTGGTATTGCCATCCAGTTGAGGTCTTTTGGGGCTAGTGTGGCGTGAACCGAACTCTTGTTGGTAGCATAGCAGAATGCATACGTTGTTCCAGTAATATGAACACGAGAGGGACGCTGTGCTGCAATGATTCATTAATATCAAAAATTCTTTGAGTGCATACGGGGTACCAACCTATTCTTTTTGTTGACATCCACCAGCTCTACGGAGTCCTTAAGGATAGCCGTCATTCCTGCTTCGGAAACGCCCCAGTCAGATGCAGCGACGATTTGAAGGCAAGTCACAAGGAATGTTGTCGCTTCATCATCCTAGAATTTAGATGAGAAGTCAATTCAGATTCTTGAAGTCTTATATCTCGGAATTTCCTCACATACGGTAGATATGCTCGCTTCCAATTCACGCCCTTGAAATCCGGGCAATAGGAGGCTGACTATTTGTCCGAGAATTATTGTAGCTGCACCTAAAAAGAAAATGCAGTAAGTGAGCAACATGTTCACTCAGAGTTTCCGTCTCAAGCTTCGGAGGATGACTGTTTCAAGTTCGGACACTCAATCTGTCAAATCAAAGGCTTGATATACTGCAAATAGCTTGGAGGACGGATTATTGTATTATGACTGAAAAAATCTTGACTTGTTCAGCAGGAGCCACGCGAAATCCTAAAGTCTTCTCTTGATAGACGAGAAAGCAAGAATTTATCAGTACGGCATTGTGGGAAGCGTTTGTGATGATCTTGAAGATCCTGTTGAGTGACCTCAAACGACTGGTAATCAAAAGCTGTTATAACTGGAACAACCGCTTTTGGGGTCGGAGAGTCCTTTTTTCTTTTAGAGGCTCTTTGATAGGTTTCTAAGGATTCTCGGGGTTCCATCTGGTCACTTGGGCACCCCTTGAGCGGCCACGAAATTGCAAATGGAGCCGTACGACAGTAGTCAAAGGGCGCATACAAATTCTACCGATGATTGTCCCTTTAAGTTGATAGCCAATATTATTGTATCAATTTTATGGGAGCAACAAAAGCTTGCGGCCTGTTAGCGATTGGAAAGTTAATAGATTCCCATTTAATTCCACAACAACTCATCACAAAAAGGCTTTACAGATACGTTCGGTATGAGTTCTTTGGCCAAGTCAAGATTTTGCTGACCATGTTAAACATATTGAGAATGGAGTGTGTCCAAAAATTCCTGTAGCTTAGTTAGAAACGGAATTATAAGTAGCTTCACGCGCGTCGCCAAATGCCTGGTTTAAAGAGCAAGACAGATCCTGTTTTTGACGAAAACCCCCATCTTCAGCTCCGACAGAGACATGCATCGCTTGTTTATTTATTCTACACTCATCTCGGCGGTCTTTGGCGGAACGCTTCAGATCATTGACCATAATAACCAATGTTTTGTGTATTCCACGGGGAACTTCGACTGCACCGGGATCTCGGAGCCGTTTGCGCCTCTTGACGGCATATCATGTTCCCGTAAGTAATACAATCTATTGACGAGAAGAATTTTTTCTGATATCTTTGAGACCTAAACCCAGAGATCAAAGGCACACACTCCAATTCGTCGTCGTTCAAGGCCATGCTATGTGGCTCCGGTCAGAATACCGCATGGGTTGAGGTTCATCGAAGCGGCTTGATCAACTTCCACAATGAAAAAGGGGATGCGACAAGTTGCAAGGTCGCGGAGGCCCTGCTTAAGGGAAGCTTGTGCACTGCCACCGATAAATCAAGGTCTTCGACGAATGGTATTGAATCCCAACTGACTTCGTCGTCTACCACAACCATTCATGTGTCAGTGACAGCACCATCGGCGGCCCCGACTACTTCCTCGGGCCCGAACAGCTCTTCGAATATGACAGGTTGCTAAACAAAAGAATTTGCTTGATTTTTTAAGCTTGTGCTAGGCTATGCTGCTTCTGTTCTATCAATTAAGTCTACCATTTGACTATGGAGCCCCAAGCCCGGCATGGGATGTTCTTCTTTTCTTGCACCTCGCTGCCCAGGTTTCCAATTTACAATTTACAACCAGTCCACCTTTTTAGCACGAAAATAAAATAAGAAAAAAAAATTCTTTGTATGCCTGAAGATTATATGAGAGTCCTGCATCTATTGAAATAACATGAATAATCATCCCAATGGATCTGACAAAAGGGAGCCAGAGTTTCAAAGCAAAAACTGGGTATTTGGTATCTAATCTCATGCTGTTGTCTACTTTTAGTATAATCGCCGGACCATAGATCGGTCGTTTAATCATTGCCGCTAAAATGGGCAACCTCTATTGGGGTTTCTGACTCTAGAAAGTGGTTCTAGAAACCGCTGAATTGATAGCAAAGCTAGTGTATCAATATTATCCGCATGCATCACACGCGAATTACATCAAAATCTGGCTATACATTATTTATTTGCAACCGGCGGCAGGCGAGGAAAATTTTTTTGGAGGCAAAAGCATTTTCATGTCACATCTTGGGGGAAATATTTCATACTTTAAGGCAGCCGAGATCTCAGACGCAAGCCATGAAATGGAAGGGGTGGTCATTGCGGAACATAAACATCATCTTCTAGGTTAAAGATTTGAATTTTCTCGATATTACAAAGCTGGCCAGCCCTCCAATGTCAATCGACCGCGAAATTTAGGGTTGCAGGCAGGACCCGTATTGTCCAGGGTTGCCACATAGCGGTTGCGACCGCCCATTTTCGTATGTGTCAGGTAGTGAGCCTTCAGATTATCCGAGCGTTTGAAGCTGCGATGACACTCTGGCACCCAGCATACGTACGGCCTTTCATCTGAGTGGCATATCAGATGTCTCTCGAGGGCTTTTCGGCGCCTGAATTGGCGGTCACAGCCCGGGTACGTGCATTCGAACTGCCGCTGGGGTATTTTGTGTGGCAATTTCTGGAATCTCCAATCCGGAGGTACCTGAGAGGAAGAAGGAGGCGCGGCGTTCGCAGGCTCTTGAGAAACTGGGCTCGTTGCAAGCGCTTCATTGCTGTCAAGTCGCATAAAATAGGAGTTGCAGGTAGGGGCCACCTTTGCCTCAAGGGCATGAGGCTTGGAGGATGACTCTAATGGGCTGAAAGGATACGAATTGGGCATATTTTTTAGCCAGCAAATGACAGGGATCGGCTCGCAATGGATGAAGCCAGGATCGGAAAAGTGTCCTGGTCGTTGAAAGCCGCAACCGACGACACCATTTCGATGAATCTGTCGCAACGCTTCTTCAGGCTTAAGCACCCCAAACGACTGTTGTGGAAAGGCCGTACAGATGGGACGTGTGATGAAGCAATTTTCAGAAATTAAGGGCCATTGATTGTTCGGCTCGTTCATGATTAATCTTTGACTCAGAGAATGCGAGGTCATTTGGAAACAATCGTTCGGAAATTGCACGCAAGGGATATGGCTCTGTGACAGTTGGCTGCTTTGTACAGAGTAGAAGAAAGCGAAATGCAACATTGGCGATCGCATAATCCAAACACCAATCTGCGACGGGAGAGGTTTGGGCGGCAAGATTCTGAGCGTGCGATAGACCGAGGCCGCCAGTAGCTTGATACAAACGGCGAGCAGATATGTATACAAAAGAAAATGGCGATATAAAAATCGGTGGAAATATGGAAAATTTCCTCAATACTTTCATGGAATACTTTTGACAGCTCCCAGTTGGCGCATTTTACAATTGTAGGAAAAATGCGTTTGAGCGATATCTCATTTATCACTGTTTCAACGGCTGAAGTGACGGTGATGATTCCACGCTGAGACAACCAAAGCTTACTCCGACTGTGCCACTTTTAAACTTTTCTCTTGCACGAATTTCTTCATCTTTTGTCAGCAATTAGCAAGTTAACGTTGCTCCACTTGTTTCAAACTGAGTTATTTGTCGACCACATATTCCTTGCTAATACACGATTGGTTATAACAACATCATCAAGCGTTGAGCATTATGAAGAGCCGAATTTACTGGCTTTATCGGTCTTCGTTGCTATAAATCAAATGAGATAGAGCATAATCTAAGTCTACTACATATACCCAGAGTCTCGAATATATTACTTTCAGAAGAAAAATAGACCCTTTAACTGTGTGCCACGACACACAAGGGGACTGTTGGTATCACCAGCTAGGTCCTGTGTACACAGTTAAGTGAACAGTTTATGCTTCTAAAGCAAAGGTTGATTGATTCGTGTATATATCGTTCTGTCTCCGGTCAAGGCCAAATACCCCTGAATCCATGCGGCGGGAGCCGCAGCTTAGCAAGATTACGTACAACATGTCTTTGCTTATTCTGACGGGAGGATATATCCCGACAGGGACGAAAAGACCGATTTCGATCCAAATTTAGCCCCAAATGAGCGGCTGAGATCGGTATTGACAGCCGAAGAAGCTCATACGCAGGTAGGGATCATTTTAACCTCTAGTTTCGCGCACGATGCTAATCAATGCAACCGGTCTCCCAGCCGCATGCGGACGAAGCGCCCGTAGTGGGCCAAACCCTCGTAATTCCAGTCGGCCCCCGCTGCACTTCCCCCCCCCATATGTCGGATTTTTTACCTGGTACTTGATCCAGGATTTGTGCATGACCAGTGGTCTACGTGTGGAACTATGTCTGACCTGTTTATACACTAACGGTCCGCGTGTGTGGAACTGAATCCGCCCTGTGTAAGAATCTCAATATAAGCAAGGATTCCGTAGGTCCTATTCATCGAGGAAGTGGTGTCCAAGAAAATGACTACTTATTCGAGTCAGTTCATTTCAATCCCTTCCACTTCTGCTCTTGGTCGAGAAGATCATCGTATATTTTGACCTCGGTCCCGCCCAGCTAAGATTCTGACTAGGCCGTCCCTATTCCTATGTTAGATGCGGCGGGAGTCCAAGGGTATACCATATTTCAACTGCCGTCATTCTTGGACTTTGTCACATTCTTATACTGTTATGTTCGGGGTCTTGCCTTTACAATATTCTCACACTAACAATATTGTAATATCTATCCCATGCTACATGCAGCGGGAGTCCAAGGGTATACCATATTTCAACTGCCGTCATTCTTGGACTTTGTCACATTCTTATACTGTTATGTTCGGGGTCTTGCCTTTACAATATTCTCACACTAACAATATTGTAATATCTATCCCATGCTACATGCAGCGGGAGTCCAAGGGTATACCATATTTCAACTGCCGTCATTCTTGGACTTTGTCACATTCTTATACTGTTATGTTCGGGGTCTTGCCTTTACAATATTCTCACACTAACAATATTGTAATCACATCAAGTCACTAGTACCTATCTTCTAGCTGCTAGATTCGCTAGATTCCTCTAGAGCATTCTACAGCTAAACGAGAATTACACAAGAATAAGGGGCAAATGGCAGTAGGGAAGCTATACTTTAGGAGATTCAGTTTGTATGTTGTAAATATACTGCATTATTCTCTCCAATGCAGGCATACTAACAGGAGATGTGGGAGCACGTCCCTTGCGTACTGGAATAGTTTTACTCTATAGCATTCTTGTTGATTGAAAAAGAGGAAAAATGGGGGTGCGTTCGCATAGTCTATGCACTACGGGGGGCCAGGGCCGTCTCAACTATTTTAAATTGGTAGGTGTTGAAAATCGAGGTTGCATTGAAGAAGGTCTTTGGAAATCGTGGCTTGAAGTATTTAAGTAGCAAACGTCTCTGATATACAACACCGCCAACATCCAACACCGTTAACATACAACACTGGTCCGACTTACGGCATTGATTTCGTGGACAACTGAAAATCATGTTCCTCAGCCTCCTCACCTCTGCTCTCCTCTTCTCTAGCATCAGCAATGCGCAGATTAACCTCGGGACTGCTGCGTCCTTTGCTGTTCTTGGTGGCTCAACAGTGACGAACACAGGCCCAACATTTATTACTGGTGATCTTGGCGTCTGGCCTGGGACGTCTATCACGGGTGGGGGTTCAATTACGCTAGTTGGAGCTGTACACCAAACTGATGGGGTCGCTCATGGAGCACAGAATGATCTGACGACTGCATATACTACCGCAATGAATCTGGCATCTTCGACCTTGGCATCAGCGCAACTTTCTGGTCAAGCACCTCCTCCTGGTGTATATGATTCACCTACCTTGGATCTTAGTGTTGGAGGAACTCTCACGCTTAACGGAGGTGCGAATTCAGTTTGGATCTTCAAAGTCGGTTCCACCCTGGTCACTGGATCAGGCTCGGTAATTGCCCTGACTGGAGGTGCCCAAGCTTGCAACGTCTTCTGGCAAGTGGGTAGCTCAGCGACCCTGGGAACAAATAGCGTTTTCGTTGGGACCATCATGGCGTTAACTTCCATCACAGCGCAAACTGGCGCGACCATCAACGGACGCCTTCTTGCACGTAACGGAGCTGTGACTCTGGACACCAATAGAATCATCAATCAAGGTTGTGGAATTACTCCGCCTACGACGACAACAGTAGTTGTGCCCACACCCACGACAACTACTGCCGGATCACCAATCATCAATGTGCCTATTTTAGGGCCCATCGGGCCCATCGGGCCCATTTCGGTGCCCATTGACGCTGGCAGCGGCAACATCGGCGACAACGGCAACGGCAACGGCAACGACAACAACAGCGGCAACGGTAGCGGCAACGGCGGCAACGGCAGCGGCAGCGGCACCAGTGGTAACGGTAGCGGCAACGGCGGCAACAGCAACGGCAACGGCAATAGCGGTGGCGGAAATGGAAACGGCAATGGCAACAACGGCAGCGGTAACGGAAATGGCAATGGCAACAATGGCAGCGGTAACGGCAACGGCAATGGCAACGGCAATGGCAATAGTAATATCGTCACATTGTCCACGTCACACACAACCACGTCACCCACAACCACGTCGTGGAAACCATACTCAACTATCACGTACAATCACCCCGACCACAACCAAGACTACAACCAAGAGCACGATCAAGACTACAACCAAAAGCACAACCAAGACTACAACCAAGACTACAACCAAGACTACAACCAAGACTACAACCAAGACTACAACCAAGACTACAACCAAGACTACAACCAAGACTACAACCAAGAGCACGATCAAGACTACGACCAAGACTACGACCAAGACGACAACCTAGGATGGGACTTTTAATGGAATATTGGGAGGGATTCCCCTTCCCATCAGATTTGGGATGAATTTCTGGAAATTTCATATGGGAATTGTCCACTTGGTGTAACAATCGAGATCAGCCTCTATTTCCTGTTTGGGACTAGCGTGGCTCGCAGCCTATCTGCCAAGCCTCACCTCCCTCTTTGTTTCTTCTTCTTCTTCTCCAGACCTAAGTTAGTATCGCGTATTCAATGCACTTGTTTTTCGACGATCTGGCCATCTTTACACTTGGTGCTAAGCTCGAAATGTGACTATATTCGGGAAATGATATACGAAGTGGGCATTCTCTAAGTTTTTAGGATTACCATAGCAATGGAACCCGGCCCCGGAATAGGAGAGTAATTTCTTAAAACTTTGGGATCGAAATATTGCTGGAACTTGAGTTAGAAACAGTTTTACTACTATAGTTTATTAATTCTACGTGGTTGTCATTTTTTATAGTTAGATTGTCGACATTTCTGTATAAAAATTAACTATTATGTTGATTATTACATTGAATCCTTTCATGTCCCAAAAAACCACATTCAGAACACTTTGGTGGCGCCCGTACGCGTGGCTGAACTACAGATGATGCTAATTCAGTCTGTATAGCTTCCCGGGCCTCCTCTTGTCTTTTATTCTGACTTTGTATAAGATTATGATCATCTCCAATCGATAAGCCCTCTGGATGATTGATTTTCCGCTTAGATCGCTTTCGTTTTGTAGTTGTTTCTCATTTGCAGCCCGTAGATCATGGTTTTCTTTGGTAAGAATAGCAGCACTATTCATAGTCTGGAGGAACCCATGTAAAGCTGACTGACCAATGGAGCCTGAGGTCACCGTCGACAGCCCACATTCCAGACCCCATGGACTTAGGTGTCTGCCCCTTAAATACTTCGAGATTCTATTGTAACGGAGGTCCTTGAATCAAGCATGATTTTCCATATCTACCAATGTAAATAATTGCCGACATTCAAACTCGGCCGAGGTATGGTGCCTTATTTCGACCAAGGAGAATACCACAGGGTAAAATGTGCCCCTTTGCAAGACGCAGGCTTCCTCATTCTCTCATAAAACATCTCATTGAAATACCATTGAATTGATGACCTTCGAAGGTTGTTAACATGAGAATATAGGAAATGGAATGCAAGCCACCAGAATTTGAGAGCACGAGAATATGTCAAAGCCCAAGAATGAAAGCAATAGGAGGCTAATATACAGTAAAATTCGAAAAAAGTATAGCCCTTGGGCACACACACTTTGTTTCTCGGCTCGTAATCAAAACGGGTTTAAGCCTAGTTTGGCTAAATCGTAATAAAATCCGTTTGTGAGTGGCCATTAACTTACTGGAAGACGCGCGCGTCGCACGCATCGGCCCTGAAACGAAAGTCAGGGGAGCTATTAAGATGGTAGAAAAGGATAAGTAATGTTGAATTGTTATATGAAACATAAACGTGGGTGCAGTGCAACCCAACCAATCAAGAAGAACATTCCCGATGACTAATACCCGCAACACGAACTGACATAAGCTTCGGTGTTCTCAGCCGTATTTATTTTGACAGTGCAAGTATATCGGTGTATGAAGTTTTTCTTGGTCTCTGCGAACGCCTCTCGGGAGTCGGTGTACTTGTCTGTCGAGCACTTTCAGTTCCATCCAGATTGTCAGCCCATGTAACCTGAGTGCTTTCCTCATCTTCATCCTCGTCGGCAGTACTGGTGGCCCTAACGTTCTCTGCAAGTTGGGGGTCATAAAACTGAGACGTGGATTTGGACGGTGTAGTCGGACCAGCCCTTTGGGACCAGCGATCAACGCGTTTCCTCTTCCCAATTGTAGAAGAAGGGGTTGGTGGAAGGCTGCTTGTTGATGTTGGGAGAAAATGTATGTCGTCTGTTACGACAGCTAACTGGCGGTCCTCTTTTGTGAGGCCGAAGATACGACCGGTCAAAAACACATGAGTATCCAAATTGAGCGGTGGAAAGTTTGCCCAACGTTGCCCGTTCTTAAAGAAAGCCGTTATTGGAAAGGTATGAGGGGTACGGGTCGATGGATTGTAAACAGTTGTTTGAAGTCGATAGTGAAGTAAGTTCTGTCCGTCATTCAATTGTCCTCTTCGTTCAAGAACGATGCCGAGAAACGTCACGATAGGCTGGGCAGCGCCGGGGCAGTGCATGAAGTATGAATCTGGATCCTCTTGATTACCCGGATGGCTGCACAAATATAAGTAAAAACTCTCAATGATAGGGGATATATACTGACCGGTCTAAGTTATGAGCGTGCAGAATAATGTGGAAATCATCATCTTCAGACGATGTAGTCAAAAAGGCACCGGATGAATACACAAAAGCATTGGGCTGGCAAATCTCAGATCGATTACCCTCGTTAAAAAACCTAATCAGAGTAGGGATTTCACTCGACTCAACATCATCTGACTCGATATCTTTGAATGGAATGTTCAGGGCAACACGTAGTTGCATCGAAAGTGCTTTACCTGGACGCGTTGGGTCTGGTTCAACGTGTTCAACAAAATCACGTACATGGAGAATAGCAGGAAAAGATTTACTGGATGGAATATCGTGAACAGACAACCAAGTTGATGAAAATTAAAGACTGCTATGGAATACGACCGGAAATCCATGCAGAAAGAGAGAGCGGGGCAATAACTTATTTGCATGCTCTAAAAAATCGCTTTAGTCGAGGCACGTGCCTGGTACCACCTACAGTCTGCAGATACGAGCAAAAATGTGACGAATCTGAAAGTATGGGTAGTCTTGTAGAGAAGCGGTCCACGAAGGATGCGAGACTACTGGGTATGGATGTAAGTGGGGTGTGTCCAAGGATGATTGGATGGATTTGCTGTTTATCCAGCATGATTCGCCCGCCACACACGAAGAGTCTCTTCTTGTAGCAAATCTAGCCTTAGCATTTCTTCCCGTAAATTAGGATCAGGCTTCTGCTCGATGTCTGCCATGCCGATGGGCTGCAAGAGATGAAGACCACCAAGTGATCGTAGACGTGATAGCTGTACGTATGTTGAACAGTATTTTCGATGGGAGTCTTGCCGCCGATTCTTGCGGTCGTTTTTCAAATCTAGAATGGCTGAATCGAGGGTAGCACCCTGAATTTTGTAGTCGGTGAGACAAAATGCCGGACAGACGGGGATTTGTTTCCGTCGGACTGAATAGCCTTTCACGTTGATAGACATCTCGAGTGGAAAGACAGGTAAAGATCCGTCTTCAAACGAGGAATACGTCGCTTGCGCTCGATCGGGTTTGAAAAAGAGACAAAATGGTGGCTTAGTGCAGAAAACGTATTGATCGTCCAAAGCTACGAATTCCGCTGATCGCACGTGGCTCGCTTTAGGACGGTTGGATGATATATTTTTGGCAGTGACTTACCTTCGGGATCAACCGCCACACCTGTCGCCCGGCCAGTGGCACCATTCACCAAACCCATTGGCGTGGAAATATTCGTCAGAACCATCGTTGGCATTGAAAGAGTGTACAGAATGAGCCCAGGAAAAGGGATCTTGGCGCCTTGTTCAGGCAGACCAAGTAGGTCATCAGCTCGCAGGCGAAGGGCAGTTGGGCCAGAGGATTTTGTTCGAGTATGAAGGGCTGGAAAGACGAAGATTTTTTGACCTCTGGCTCGAGCAAAACGTTCAATTTGAAGCCGATTTATGACGTGCCGTAGCGAGTTCAATTTGACAATAGCCGGTGATGCTTGCAACTGGGGATCGGCAAGCGAAGAAATGGCTTTTGAATTGAGCGTCGCCAAGTCATCGAAGGTCAGTGTACCGGACCTTGCACGACCTAGCAAGTCTCTATATGATACGTCCTCAGCCTGGCGCATTTGCTCATCGAGGATAATTATCTGTTTAAATTGATTCCATATCAATTTGCCGTCCTGTTCCGTGTCATTCCTTGGAAGTTTCCATAAGGGTTGGCCCTGGACTGGAAGAAATTGATGAAAATCACCCATTAGGATCACCACAGGCAATCCTCCAAAAAGATCGGGTGACGATCTATCCAGGGACCGAGCAACCTTGCAGTGTGTATTGATGATGCTCAATGCGGCCAGATCGATCATGCTGATCTCATCTATGATCATGACGGTTTTTCGAGACCACAACCTCCGAACCCTAGGGCTAACCCCACCCCGTCTATACCGATTCAGTGAGATTCCAAGAGACGTGTGGTACGTGCTACCCCCGATAGAGTCAGCAGCTGCCCCGGTAGGTGCCATGAGAATGACTTCCTCCCTGCGATGTATCAGGCCCATGGCTGCGACAATCGCTTTAATGACCTGGCTTTTCCCTACCCCTCCCTCACCTCCTACGTAAAGCAAGGTTTGGCACCGGGAGGTAGAATCATAGGGGTTGCTACCACAGATCAGAAGATCAGTCATAACTTTCTCCACGACAAGGCTTTGTTTCTCGTTCAGTGGCACGGTGTTACAAACGATCGACGTTAGTGATGCGCCTGTTGGGTCCTGACCTATATCAGATTGACGGTTTTGCAAGTCATCGGAAGAGCCTGCGTGGGTTAGCATAGGGACTAAAACTTCATCGGTCAGCTCAACATTGAAGTCATCAAGATCAGAGGTAAGTGCAATGGTATTGTCGGGTTGATCTGAATCTATGGGTTTGGTGAGATTATCAAGTCTCTCTTTCCATTCCTGTAATGTCAAGGAAGAGATCAGTTGGAGACCAGTCGATTCGTATAGGACGTCATCTGAAATTTGAATTGAGGCAAATGTGCCAAACTGGAGATTGGAGGATGGAAAAACTGTGGAGCAAAGATTGGGGATCCGTTGTTGTGCATTATATGCATCATTCGACCAGGCTCGGCTTATAGTTAAAAAGGCGGCCAAAAGCGTTTCCTTGCAGATAGAGTCACTGGCTTGCAAACCCGAAATTGACTCGTCCTCGGAATCTGATACAGGATACGGTGGAATGGTGAGTTCCTGATCTAGTGGGGATGTATATTGACTAGACAGATTGCGCAAGGTCATGTCAGCTTGGCAATCATCTTTTGACTTCCGTAAAAGCTCGATGTTTTGCGCGAAAGTTCGAATATAGGAAGGAAGTGTTGGTTCAACCGACTTCCAGATACAGTGAAGATCTTCAGAGGAGCTGCCAGCTGTAGTAGGTGTTTCACGACACAGCGAGTGTAGCTTCTGCCAAGGAATGAACAGACCAAGGAGGATCTCGGCTAGGTCATTCTGAATCGCTGCGGTTAGAGGGTGACCACCTGAGACAGCATCTTCCGAGGCCTGATACTCTGTTAGGTCACCCTGCAAGGTGACAGTCGAAATTTGAGAAGTAGACCGGGCCAGCCTTTGGACCTGCGTCCGGTGTCGCGGATGCGTTTCGTGAAATGGTATATCTTCCGTCGTCGCATCCTGAAGTCTCTTCGTGCGAACTAACATGGAATACTCGAAGATACACAAGGACGACAGCAGATCACCTCGAAACTTGAAGTTATCGAATATGTTTGCAGGAGTGGTGGTCCATCGATCATAGTTGCACGGTTCCTCCCCTATGGAATCTGATGGTGTCTGACTTTGAAGCCGCTCAGGGTGAATTATCGACCGAACATATCGTCTCAGCCACCACAGGTTGATCCGGGCAAAGTTGTAATTCGACGTATAGTACGAGGGAAGTTGAAGTATAGTGCTTGCTACCTGCACACCACTCACCTCGCGGTCTTGCGAGAGACTGTTGAAACAGCGGAGCGCGAATTTGTCCATGTCTTTCTCGCGTAGCCGTAAATCCACTTGGCGCGGAGCAGAAGCAGAGTTTGCGCGGTCAATTGCTTGTTTGAGAAGGGCCGCTTTGGTCACTATCTGCGCTGGTGAGACATCATCCTTTGTCGCATAATTCGTGATGTAATAAAGAAGCGACAGTGATTTTGACATAGTTGGAATCCAGGAAATATCGTGGTTTGAGCGGATACAGCTTGCTATCGCAGGGTTCCAGGGATTGACCCAAGCATGATTCCTCGCAAGATGCACAATGCCGTATTCATCTACTCTAGACCTTTCCAAAATATCCCTCGGCATGCCAAAGCGACAGGAACCAGAGGCCGACCCTCGTCGGTGGTATTTAAAACAAGTTGCTGTGTGATGTTGAGAGTGAAGCTGTCTGGATTGGGCAACAGAATTGCTATCCAGAAAAAGCTTATCTGCAAATTCACCGTCCAAATCTGGTGCGCTTGGCGAGGGCGGTATTGCCGAAGCGGTTTCCTGGTCAGTGCTAACAGGCACGTGGAGACTGTGCACGATGATAGACTCCAAGAACCTGATCATCCGACCGGCGAAATCATGGTCTGTAAGAATACGGTCTCGTAGATGGCTGAAACCGAGATTTCCTCGTAGCCAAACCAAAGTGTGCAGATGCAGCATTCCCCGTCCATTACTCTCAACGACACCAAAGTAGTTGGACACGTCCCCAAAGATGCCTGATTCGGCAGATCTACCCCCCCCAGGAGGTCGTCGAGAACTGCTTTGCATGTGTGGTGGAAAAATCGTGCGACAGCTACCGGGTCAGAGGTGGCAGTGGCAGATCTGATTGCCTTGTTCACATCAGAAGGGGACTCCGCCGGAAATTGCAGACCAGCAAGGACGAGTACAAGAGGATTCTGAAGGTCAGCTGGGTTGATTGTCATCCATAGAGCAGGCATTCCCTCCCGCACTATAAGACCCCGGAGCTCGGCGCGCATCTGCAATTTTTGGAAAAAAGACCCCGGAACTTGTACCCCTATGGCGGTGATATTCCTGAGCAGCCCTCGGACAAGTGGGTCCGAAGGAACATTATGGCCAACGATTTCCTCAGCGGCTCTCCTCAGGCGATCATAATTTAAGAAATCTAGATCCCGTGTCACTGAAGCCCATTGGGATCTTTTTATCAATAGCGAGTTGCCGCGACACGAATTGCGCAGCTGGAGGACATCATATAATAAGTACATAAATGTCCTGTGCCGAGCAAATCTGATCCTGTCAGTCTGAAAATTACACAATCACAGAGACGACATACCTCCGACTGTGATGACGCAGTGCCCAGTTAGCAAAAGCTGCAAGTGAGACCACAGTTTCTCTACTCTCTAGATGACCCCCTTCGCCGGTGGGGAAAAGCGTAGGAAATGCAGATGTGAAGTAATGATGATCTTCCCATTGGTTAAGTAGTAAAGCCTGGCCCCGAATACAGTATTCAATCACAGGGCGGTGGTGTGGGTTGTCTGAGGAAGAAAGCTGGCCCATCTGATCCGCAGAAAGAACTTCTGACCGCATATCACTGGATGTGCGATTATTAAGAGCATGTACAGTATTGAGCAGACGCAGGTCATGATTCTGACGATCGCCATTCAAATCAATCGTAACAGAACCAGTAACGGGAATGGAATCTTCGACGAAGTGGCTTGAGCTATCCTCCGCGGCCTGCCAGTCGTTCTCACAATTGTCCTCCTGCAAGTTGACA